GGTCATTGCATTTTTAGTTAAGTGCAGTTTTTATTGCACTCTCTAGCTATTTAACTGTGGTAGTTGTGAACTTGTGATAGATCAGAATATGTATGCAGAATACTTTGCTGTTACTCTAATGAAATCATGTATTTTGCTGTTATGTACTATCTTCTTCGGTTCTGATTGGGTACGTGGCTATGAATTATAAGCCTTTATGTATACATTAAAAGGCTAAAGTCATTGTTGTTCTGATGTATCTGTGGTGTATTGTGGGTAAAACTTAATGTCAGCTAGGCTGGTTCTTAGGGTTTTTACCATCGAGTTATCCTAAAAAGCTGGTATCAAGAATGGTTGGTAGGACGATGGAATCTGAATCTATAAAAGCTGAACAGTTGCAAGGAGGTTGGTCTCTGTATCTTGTGGATTTACAAGGATTTTAAATCCAACGGTAAGGTTTTTGTTAACCATTGTAAATGAAGTATAAGACATTGACATGGTTTCTATATATATCTTTAATCATTAGCCTTTGTCTGGTTCATAGTTTCATATGATATGTTGACTATTGTCTGAATATCACTTGTCCTAGTTGCATGCACGCCTAAAATTCCTTTTTCGTGTCAGGTACTTACATAATGACCAAGCCTTCGTCTGTATATTCTTTTGGATACAAACGAGAGAGAAAGAAACTGGACCTAGCGGGGAAAGTACAATCTGCAAGAAAGTGAAGCCTGTAACCTGATATAGGTCTCTTTACGAGGTCATTTGGTTCCTTTTTCTTTTTCTTGATTCTCCTAAGAAAGAGATCAAGAAAAGCTTATAGGCTTGATGGCATAGATAATAAGGATTCGTGTACTGTATTGTGTAGTAGTATCGAATGAAACTTGGTTGTGGAAGATAGTTATGGATTCTTTACTGTACATCTGAGGCTTCCTCTTCAAATGTGAAAAAGCTTCGTTAATGTAAAATGTGGAGTTTGAAAAATAAATGACAAGAGTTTGATGAAAAGGTTTTAGAGTAGGAGGTTGTAAGTTCAACATGTAGAAAGAAAGATCGCCTCAACTCTCTAACATGATTTGAGTTAATATTTAAAGGCATAGAAGCAAAAGAAAAGACTAGAGAGTAATGCAATAGAGAAATGACCAAAGCCTATGGCGAAAATTACACAGGAGAAGGTTTAAATGAGAGAAAAAACAAACTACAAACACCATCTAAAGCACAGTAAATACTAAACCTTAGAAAGTGGCATCAATTTATATTCAGAGTTACCTTAATTCACAATGTAGTACGAAGAAACAATGGTTCAATATCTGAAGTGGATGAAGAAGGGACAATACTAGTGGCTGGAGCTGTAACAGAAATGGTCCAAGAATCAGAAATCTCTAACATATCCATTCCTTCTTCCTCTTCACCATCGCCATCACCACTTTCATTGTTTACCAATGAATCTTCTGGAGATGAAGATATCCTCTCTAACTCGGTAAACACTTCTCTCATGTATGGCCTCTTCTTTCCCTTTGAATTCAAACATCTCCTTGCTAGATTCGCCACTGCCATTACTTGTTCTGGTTTGCACGCATCTTTTATTCGAGCATCCATAATATCGAAGAACTTGTTTTCTTTCATGGCAGCTCTAAAATGATCTGCCAAGCCTCTGATTTCTTGAGAGTCTGGTAGGGTTATTACAGGCTTCTCCCCTGTGATTAGCTCAACAAGGATAACACCAAAGCTATAAACGTCACTCTTATCAGTGTACTGACTAGATCCATAGTACTCTGGATCCACATATCCAACTGTACCTGAAATAAGTGTGGTCCAGTGAGTATGATCCACAGTCACTGTTCTTGAAGTACCAAAGTCAGACACCTTGGCTCGATACTTCTCGTCTAGTAATATGTTTGTTGACTTGACATCTCTGTGATAGATGGGAGAATTCGCAGCAGAGTGAAGATATGAAAGAGCTCCTGAGATATCAACCGCAATGCGTAGACGCACGCCCCATATCATTGTGTAATCATCAGATTCTTCATGAATGTGTTGGAAAAGGTTACCGTTGGGGATAAACTCATAAACCAAAACAGGTACTTCCGTCTCTAGACAACATCCCCAGAGCTTGACGACATGTCTATGGTTGACTTGTGAGAGAATAACGACTTCGTTAATGAACTCCTCTAGTTTGTCTTCATCTACGGCTTTAGATTTCTTGACAGCAACGGTTTTGCCGTCGACAAGCATTCCTTTGTACACAGTGCCTTGACCACCTTGTCCAAGTATCCTGTTGTCGCTGAAGTTTTCAGTGGCTTTTTCAAGCTCACTTGAGGTGAATACTCTTGTCTTCTCTATGATGCCTTTATTTGTATCAAGTTGTTGTTGCAATAATAGTCCCCCGTTACGTTTAAAGAATTTTTTTTTCCTCAAGAGTAATCTTTCTCTTTATAAGAAACTTTCTCAAAAACCATATTCCACCTAATAGAAACAAGGGGCCAAAACTTGCACCTAATCCTGAAAAATGATACAAAGAGAAGAGTGTGTTGATGATCATCACATATTTTCATTTTCGAGATTATGAATAAACTGTAAAGCTGCATTCATTGACCTACCTATCATTACTGTTACCATCTTCTCGCGCGTCTTATCGCGCACGCAATCAAAACTTCCAGGCACATTTACGCAGTTTTTGCTCTTTCCACAAGACTGGCCAAGCATAGTTGCATCATTGCGTGGAAGGAGGCATTCATCAACATCTGGATATGAAGTATTTTTTTTAAAGGTGATTACAATAATTATTTAGACATGGAAGGTTTGTGATATATGATTATACACATGAAAAGAGACTAGTTTAGTAGCAATTTACTAACCTTCACATCCGTTAGAGAGGTAAGGGTTGCCTTCATAACCGTAGTTGCATCCACAGGTTGCATAATTGGTCCCAGAAATGTTGATATTGTTGCATAGGCAACTTGTTCTGTATTGAAATTCAGTTGATAAGCTTGTGAACTCGTTTGAGTTTTTGCAGCCCAAAGAATTTATGTAAGAAAATTTCTTCGTTTGAATGACCCATCGTATCCAAACTGTAGCATACCCATTAGCATAAAGCCTTTCTGGCTCTATTTCTTCTGATGAGTAGTCTTCACTAGTTAAGAAGGCCACTCTACATTTTTGGCTTTCATTATTAAAACTCTCTATACTGACACCCATCATCTGGCGAGTATCAGTATCATCAGGTAGACTTGCACGGCAGAATCCATTGCCTCCGCTGCTGCTTCTTTCTTCTTCCCTTAACTCGCATCCCACAATGCTCGGCTCGATGTTAGTCAACGACGCGTTGCTGTTGTAACCAATAGCTATGAGGCTGTTTCCACCCCCAATGAAAAATGGACTGTCCGTCAAATTCAGGAGTGATCTATTAGAATCTTTTCCATCACTGGAACATCCAACAGATGTTATGGCGACTCTGACATTGACCGAACCATAAGAGTTTTGAGTAATGGAAGCACCAGCTCCAGGAAGATAAATATTCACAACTTCCATGCGCAGCTTGGAAAGGAACGGGAAAGTAGCGTTTCTGCATTCGATTTTGTACCATTCGTTGAGGTAGCAACCTTCTTGGATCCCAAATGGGTAAGGGATCTTTTTGCTTCCACATGTTTCGGGTTGACACGAGCTCGAAAGAGAGACAACATTTGAAGCAAGGATGAGCACAAGAAGAGGAGAGAGAAGAATCGACAAGGAGGAGGAATTGGTTTTGCACCTCATGATGTGGCTTCTCTTGTTGGACAAGTGCTAAACAAGCGTAGGAAACTCTCACGGTTACTTGCAACACAGGCTACAAAGGAACATGAGATGTTTTGTGAGAACTTTGGGAGATATCATAGAAAACTTTTAGGTGCTGTTTAATTTTTTTTTGTTCGGAAAAATATAAATCAAACAGTAGTCAATGGTCAATACCGTCTTGTTTGAAAGATACGAGATATTCTATTGAGAAACGCTAACGAGTGAATTATCTTGAAAATAATTTTCTTCTCTTTTATAAAAAAAAAGAATATTTTTCTTCTCTCAAAACTGTGGAATTGTCGTTGAGTTCTGGATGGAGAAAGTTTCTTGTTATGGACAAGTCCGAGAATTTCATGTTTACATGGTAAACAAGTCGATGCCCAAGCGTAAGCGTTAAGTGCTTGGTTAGAGCTATGTCTCAACATAAAAAGTTGAACTGAGATAATGTTTGGACTACTCTCTTAAGGTAACTAGATCAAAAATTCAATTTGTTTCTCTGAATAATCAATTATCTATTTGATTCAGTCCGTAGCCATCATGATATTCAATATTCTGAATATCTAAAAAATAGATTTATAAATGAATATCATATTCCATCTATACAAACAAACTAAAATTTTAACAACAAATAAAAACCTAAAAATAATATAAAATAAAAATATTTGATTGAAAAAAATAAAGTTATCACTTTTAGAATTCTAATAATTTTAATAAATAAAATGTTATAAAAATTATTTAAAATATTTATATAAGTTATATATAAACTCTTTAAATATCTATCTAAATATATATATAACGAATATTAGTTGCTAAAAATATTAGTAATTGTGATTTGATTTGTTACTTAAGAAACTTAGATATTTCTTGTGTCACGATCCAGTTCGATACAGAGAAGAGACAGTAGCTTTATAGACAGTGGCTTTAGTGGAATCCCCAAACGATTTGATATGCATAAAGACTTCCAAACAATGTCGGAAGCCGGAGTCCGAACCTAAAACATGATGGTGTCTCAGTCCCATCTCTTACCATTCGACCACAATCACTCAGTCAACTCACTTTTCTTCTTACACAAATATTTCTTATTTCAAACAAATGATTAGGGTGAATGATTTAGGAGAACCACACAACTCTAGCCAATTCTCCAAATAATCAAACAAAATGTTACAACAAAAACATATACACAAACTTCACACAGATCTTTGAAAACAACATCAATTTTATTCACCATTACCATGCTTTCTTATAGTTTACCATGTGGGAGGAGGAAACAATGGTTCAAGATCTGACAAGGATGACGAAGGGACAATGCTAGGGGCCGGAGCTGTAAGAGCAATGGTCCACGAATCAGAGATCTCTATCATATTCATTCCTTCTTCCTCTTCATCATCATCATCACCATCCTCATTTTCAATCTTTACTAGTGAATCCTCTGAAAATGAATATATCTTCTCCAACTCGGTAAACACTTCTCTCATATATGGCCGCTTCTTTCCCTTTGAATTCAAACATTTCCTCGCTAGATTCGCCACTGCCATTACTTGTTCTGGTTTGCACGCATCTCTTATTCGAGCATCCATAATATCAAAGAACTTGTTTTCTTTCATGGCAGCTCTGAAATAATCTGCCAAGCCTCTAATTTCCTGAGAATCAGGTAGGGTTATAACAGGTTTCTCCCCAGTGATTAGCTCAACAAGGATGACACCAAAGCTATACACATCACTCTTGTCGGTGTATTGGCTAGATCCGTAGTACTCTGGATCCACATATCCGACCGTCCCGGAAATAACTGTGGTCCAGTGAGTATGATCCACGGTCACCGTTCTTGAAGTACCGAAATCCGACACCTTGGCTCGATACTTCTCGTCTAGTAGTACGTTTGTTGACTTGACATCTCTATGATAGATTGGAGAATTCGCAGCAGAGTGCAGATAGGAAAGAGCTCCTGCGATATCTACAGCAATGCGTAGGCGCACACCCCATATCATGGTGTAATCATCAGTCTCTTCATGTATGTGTTGGAAGAGATTACCATTGGGGATAAACTCATAAACCAGAACAGGAACTTCTGTCTCTAGACAACATCCCCAGAGCTTGACGACATGTCTATGATTGACCTGTGAAAGAATGACCACTTCGTTGATAAACTCCTCTAGTTGGTCTTCATCTACTGCTTTGGATTTTTTGACAGCAACCGTCCGACCATCTACCAACATTCCTTTGTACACAGTGCCTTGACCACCTTGTCCAAGTATCCGGTTGTCGCTGAAGTTTTCAGTGGCTTTTTCAAGCTCTCTTGACGTGAATATTCTTGTCTTCTCAAAGTTGCCATCTCTTGTTTTTAATTGTTGCTGTAACAATATTCCTCCATTACGTTTGAAGAACGTTCTTTTCCTCAGTGTCATCCTTCTCTTCTTAAGAATTTTCTTCAGCAACCAAATACCACCTACTAGGACTAAAACGCCAAAACCTGCACCTACTCCTAAAAATAGCACAAAAAAGGGTAATATTGATGATTATCACATGTTTTATCTGCGAGAAATATCTTTATGATGTTAACTAAATCTGAAGATACATTTAATAAATTACCAATCATTATCGTTCTGGTCTGATCGGGCACGCAATCATAATGTCCAGCCAGATTTACGCACTTAGTGTCCTTACCTACGCACTTCGCACTTCCACCAGAAAAGGGTTCTAGGCACTCATCAATATCTGATGGATAATGGATACGAAAGAACGAGATTTGTAATCAGTTGTCTATGTATTACATGGAAGCCACCAAACGTTAAAGATTTTCTAATCCATGTTTACACACAGAAAAAGATAATTTTTTTGAAATTTTTTTTTACTGACCTTTGCATCCGTTAAAGTGGTAGGGGTTGCCTTCATGACCTTGGTTGCATCCACAGTTTGTATAATTGGTCCCAGAAACGGTGATATTCTTGCATATACAAGTTCTGCTGCGTTGAGTTTTAAATGGTAAACTATCGAACTCTTCGAAGTTTATGCAAATCGAGGAGTCTACGAAGGAAAGATTCTTCCTTTGAATGACCCACCCTAACTTAACTATAGCATACCCTTTAGCAAAAAACCTTTCTGGCTCTGTTGCATTTGATGACATGTAGACTTCATCAGTTAGGAAAGCAACTCTACATTTTTTTGGGCTTGTCGAGTTTCCATCATCATCATCAAAGCTCTCTAACCTGACGCCAATCACCTGGTTAGCATCCGTTGCCATCCCTTCGTCATCGTCCGGTAAACTTGCACGGCAGCATCCGTTGCCATCACAGTTTCTTTTTTCTTCCCCTTCGTTATTAACACAGTTTTGAGAGCCAAAAGGTAACACGTTGCTCGAACACCCGGTTCTATCGAAAAATGGGACGTTTTTGCTAGGTAACGTCTCTTTGTTTGCAGTGCAACTTAACTCGCATCCCACAACGCTCGACCCAATGTTAGTCAAAGACGCCTTGCTGTTGCAACCAACAGCTACGATGCTGTTTCCACTCCAATGAAAAATGGGCTGTCCGTCAAATTCAGAACAGATTCAGACTCTTTTACATCTCTGGAACCCGCAATGAAATAAGGGCTAACCGGCGATGTAGACTCATTTCCATCTCTGGAACATCCAACAGATGTTATCGGGACTTTGACACGAACCAAAGATCCATAATTTTTTAGTCTAGTGTATGTAACATCTCCATCTTCAGGAAGAGAAATATCCACAACTTCCATGCGCAGCTTGGAAAGGAACGGGAAAGTAGCGTTTCTGCATTCGATTTTGTACCATTCGTTGAGGTAGCAACCTTCTTGGATCCCAAATGGGTAAGGGATCTTTATGCTTCCACATGTTTCGGGTTGACACGAGCTCGAAAGGGAGACAACATTTGAGGTAAGGATGAACACAAGAAGAGGAGAGAGAAGAATCGACAAGGAGGAGAAACTGGTTTTGCATCTCATGGTGTGGCTTCTTCTGTTGGACAAGTGCTAAAGGCAACTCACACGGTTACTTGCAACACAGGCTTCAAAGGAACATCAGATGTTTTGTAAGAACTTTGGGAGATAGATATCAGAGAAAAAATTTAGATGCTGTGTAATTTTTTTTTTTTTGTTCGGAAAATATAAATCAAACAATGGTCAATAGTCAGCGCCGTCTTGTTTGATAGACGCGCCACAAAATATCACTATCATTTTGAAATACGCTAGTGAGTGAATTATCGTGATAATAATTTTCTTCCCACGAAACTGTGAACTTGTCGTTGCGTTCTGGAAGAAACAAAATTTCTTGTCATATGAAAGTGTCCGAGAATTTCATGTTTATGTGGTAAACATGTTGAAGCCCAAGCTTAAGCCCATTCAGCTGAGTATTTCGTGAGAGCCTTGTTTGAACCGAGATAAAACTTTGGACAATCTCTCGTGGCAACTACTTGTGCAATGAGTGAGTTTTGAGATAGTCAGTTGTATTGTCGACGATAAGAACAAACTGATTTGGGTGTTGGATTCCGACAATATTGGATCTCCAAGTCAAGAGTTTTAACTTAAACTTGAAACTGTTTTTACTTTCTTGCTCTGTTTTCAGTTTTCTTCTTACCCAGATCGTTTTCTTATTTCAAAGTTCAGACAAATGACTGAGTGTGAGGCCATGAGGTAGGTTTAGTCTTACCAAAGACCTTGAGCTTTATCATCTTAAACCTAACATAAATGAATACAACCGAGATGGCTTTAAAAGCTAAAAGTATAATTATACCACAATATATTATATTTGTGGAAAACAATATAAACAACAAAGTAGCACAACTTAGTTTGTAACAATAAACAACAAGTACCACAAATTTCATACAAACTCAAGTTGAGGTTAGTTGCCAACACTAAATCCCACGATAATATAACTTGAGGTTTTCTTGTATATAAGATTTATAATAAAAAGAAAAATAAAATAAATTAGAAAGTGCATAACTAGCGTTTTCATTGAAGAAGAATAACAATTGTTTTTTGGAAAAAAAAAATATAGACCAAACAATCTGTTTTCACTTTTCAGTTAATTAATTGTGGATGCTGTCTCAGTGATCTACTCAATATAAGTAGAGGCATTAGTTTTAGATATGTGTCAATGACTATATACAGTATTAGGAAGATAATCTTTATATTAAGAGAATAGAAACACGTGAACTTTCCAGAATCAAATAATCTTGCCAACTTAAATCACGCGCGAACGTTTAAACCGCCTTTCCCCGTTGTATTTAATCTGACCGTTGTTTAATTAACACTTCAACAATTATAAACCGTAGGATCTATCTGATATCCTAAACCGACTCGGATCCTGGGGTTTTTGCTCCGCGTATAAAAAGAGGTGTCTACTTCATCTTTTATCCACGAATCTGTCGCTGATCGCTTCTGCTTACTTTTTTTTTTTTTTCATGTGAGTTTGGTTTCGCATTGCGATTTAATTCGTTATTTTCTGATGGTTATCTTGCTAGGGTTTGGGTTAGATTCGGGTGATGCTGATCCTTCGCCGAGGTTTCTGATCGATCGATTTTTTTCCGGCGAGTCTCTGAGGTAAGGGTGTCTCGTTGTTTGGTTGCTACTGTTTCTTAATCTTTTGAGATCTCCTATTTTCATAGGAATCAAATAAGAGCGAGAATTGATCAACAAGCAAGAGAAGCGATCTTAGTCATGGTATCTTCTTGTTGCGTTATCTTGTAACTCTTGCACATATTATGTTTGGGCTCTCAAACGAAAAAAGAAAGATAGATAGAGGATGTGTATGACCTTTGCCATGACAGGTGCGCTTGCTTGGCAGGTCACAAAACAAACCCTTTAATAAAAAAGTGACAGTTTTTGTTTCTGCGGAGGGAAGGGAGATGGTACGGGATTGGTTTATGTTCTTTCTTTTGCCCGGCTCTTCCTCCCTCTGCTGTGTTTGTGCACGCCTGTGTCTCTCTTTTTACTTTCTTGCTCATTCATATGCTTCTTGCATACCATGAACATGCTTCTTGCATTCTAAAATATGCTTCTTGCATTCTAAAATATGCTTCTTGCATACAAACGTTATGCTTCTTGCATACCACTAACATGCTTCTTGCATGCCACATTATGCTTCTTGCATAACAAAAACATGCTTCTTGCATACCATGGATTCTTGCATAACACATTATGCTTCTTGCATAACACGAATATGCTTCTTGCATACCTTGAACATGCTTCTTGCATACCCCATTATGCCTCTTGCATACCACAAAGAGAATCACAGACCCAACATTGTGGCATCACTTGTGCCTTTCTAATATATGCGGCTTGCATATAAACGAAGAATGAGCATCACTTGTGCTCTTTATAATGCTTCTTGCATGTGCTACTCATCTCAAGGGAAAACGAACCTGAGATTGAGACTTTGAAGACCAAAACAAAGGTAATCAAAACTAAGTCTAGTAGATCTTGATTGATTGCATCTTTGGTTAAATGCTGTTTATTTTGCATTCTCCAGCTACTACTTAACTGCATAGCTTGTGCTAGATCAGAATATGTTTGCAGAATACTGTTCTGTTACACTAGTCTAATGCAATCATGTCGCGTGCACTCACTCTCACAGATTATTGATAAATTTTCAGAATACTATTTTGAATAAATTCTCAAGCTAAGATGAATAGTGGATTTGTACTATCTTATTCGGTTCGGATTCTGGGATATGCGGCTATAGTAATTGTTGTGCTGATGCGTCTGTAGTGTGTGGGTAATACTTAATGTGAGCTATGCTGGGTGGGTTTCAAGAATGGTTGGATGGGTTTCAAGAATGGCTGGGTACTTCAAGTTCCAAGTAGGACAATGGAATCTGAATCCTTCAAACCTGAACTACAGAGGTTGGTCTCTGTATTGTGTGGATAAACACTGTTATCCAACGGTAAAGGTTTCTGGTAACTATTGTCCATGAAGTATAAGACATTAATGCATGTTTTCTCTATTTTCTTTTAATCATTGGCCTTCGTGATACATGACTATTGTCTGAATGTTACTTATTCTAGTTGCATGCACGCCTAAAATTGTTTTTTTTTCGTGTCAGGTACTTACGTAGTGACCATTTAAAATGAGCAAGCCTTAAAAGAAAACAAACGAGAGAGTAAGAGAGTGGACTTATCCGCTCAGATCTGCAAGAACGTTAGGCTGCTTAAGGTGGCTGTAACGTGATATAGGTCTTTTATGTTCGAGGTGATTTGGTTCCTTTTACTCTTTTTTTTTCATTCTCTTTAACAGAGAGAACAAGAAAAGCTTATAGGCTTTGATGGGCATAGCATAGATAATAAGGATTCGTGTGTAATGTTTTGTGTAGGTAGTACTTGAATGAAACTTGTCATTGTGGAGGATGGTCATGGCAAATTTTGTGTACATATGAGGATTTCCTCCTCAATTGCGAAAACTGAAAAGCCTTAACGCTGTGAAATAAGTCTTTGTTCAACACTTAGAAAGATCGCTTCAACTCTTTAAAGGGATTTGGCTTAAGCAAAAACGGAAAAAAGAAGACCTCACAGGAGGACTAAAGTGAGATGCTAGAGAGTGTTACGAGGGCCATATTACCATTACGAGAACAGCCTCAAGCTGTGAAAGGCCGAGTTGATTGGCCCAAAAGGTGTGGTACTTGGTGGGCAAGGTCTTCTAGAGAGATAATAGTGAGGTGGCAAGAGAGGGAGCAAAAGCACATGGTCTGTTGGGTCATGTGAGTGTCTGAGGGGACGCACGTGATGGAGGAAACCACAAGGAAAGTGAGTAAGGAGTAGATGCTAAGGAAGTATAAATAAATACATGATAGGAAGGAGAAGGATATCAGTTGTTCAAAAAAAAAAGAAAAAAAAAAGGAAGGAAGGAGAAGGGTATCAAGAAGATTGATCATGATGTCCATGTCATGTGAGAGAGGGTATTCAATGCTTTCTTTCTTTTGTAACCTGTATTATTTTATCAATACAATATTTATTCTAGTTTTATCATGTTCTCTGGGAATCGTTACCTTGATCGTAACAGAGAGAATGACAAAGTGTGTGGCGAATATTGCAATGTAAGATGAATTGTCTTTTCAAAATAAGACACAAGAGCAGGTTTTTAATGAGAAGAAAAACAAACAAAGGCAAACCACAAACAACAGCTAAAGCACAACAGATGCCAAACCTTCGAAAGTGGCATCAAGTTATTCAGCGTTACCTTCACTTTCTACAATTCACCATGTAGTACGAGGAAACAGTGGTTCAGCATCTGACAAGGAAGGGACAATGCTAGGGGCTGGAGCAGTAACACCAACGGTCCACGAATCAGCAATCTCTATCATATCCATGCCTTCTTCCTCTTCATCATCACCATCCTCATTTTCAATCTTTACCAGTGAATCCTCTGAAAATGAACGTATCTTCTCCAACTCGATAAACACTTCTCTCATGTATGGCCGCTTCTTTCCCTTTGAATTCAAACATCTCCTCGCTAGATTTGCCACTGCCATTACTTGTTCTGGTTTGCACGCATCTTTTATTCGAGCATCCATAATATCCATAAACTTATTCTCTTTCATGGCAGCTCTGAAATGATCCGCCAAGCCTCTTATTTCCTGAGAACCTGGTACTGTTATTACAGGCTTCTCCCCTGTGATTAGCTCAACAAGGATGACACCAAAGCTATAAACATCACTCTTATCCGTGTACTGACTAGATCCATAGTACTCTGGATCCACATATCCAACTGTCCCTGAAATAAGTGTGGTCCAGTGAGTATGATCCACGGTCACTGTTCTTGAAGTACCGAAATCCGACACCTTGGCTCGATACTTCTCGTCTAGTAATATGTTTGTTGACTTGACATCTCTATGATAGATTGGAGAATTCGCAGCAGAGTGAAGATACGAAAGAGCTCCTGCGATATCAACCGCAATGCGTAGACGCACGCCCCATATCATTGTGTAATCATCAGTCTCTTCATGTATGTGTTGGAAGAGATTACCATTGGAGATAAACTCATAAACCAGAACGGGAACTTCCGTCTCCAGACAACATCCCATGAGCTTGACGACATGTCTATGGTTGACCTGGGTTAGAATTACGACCTCATTAATGAACTCCTCTAGTTTATCTTCATCTACAACTTTTGATTTCTTGACAGCAACGGTTCGACCATCTACCAGCATTCCTTTGTATACAGTGCCTTGACCTCCCTGTCCAAGTATTCTGTTGTCGCTGAAGTTATCTGTGGCTTTTTCAAGCTCTCTTGACGTGAATATTTTTGTCTTCTCGATGTTGCCTTCTCTCGTTTCTAATTGATGCTGTAACAATAGTCCCCCGTTACGTTTGAAGAACATTCTTTTCCTCCGAGCCATCCTTCTCTTCTTAAGAAACTTTGTCAACAACCATACCCCCTAGAGAAAAACTTTTCTGGCTTGGTTGCATTTGATAACGTGTAGACTTCATCTGTTAAGAAAGCGACTCTGCAGTTTCCGAGTGTCGAGTTTCCTTGATCAACGCTCTCTACACTGACACCGATCACCCGTTGATCCTGAAAACCTTCTACAGTTTCCTCGCAGCAACCATTACCATCGCATCTTCTTTCTTCTTCCCCTTTGTTCTTTGTACAAAACGGATTGCTAGAACACCAGTCATCGTCAAAGAAAGGGATGCTTTTGCTAGGCAATCTCTCTTTGCTTGCAGTGCAATTCAACTCGCATCCCACTTTGATTGGTTCAATGTTAGTCAACGATGCTTTGCCGTTGCAACCAACCGCTACGAGGCTGTTTCCATTGTCAATAAAAAAAGGACTATCCGTCAAATTCAAAACCGATCCTGAGTTTTTTCCATCTCTTGAACATCCAATAGAGGTTATGGAGCTTTTGATACGAATTGACCCGTATGAACTAGAAGAATAAAAACCCTCTCGCTCATTCAGAAAATAGATCTTCACAACTTCCAGGCCCATCTTGAAAAGGAAGGGAAAAGTACCATTTCTGCATTCGATTTTGTACCATTCGTTGACATAGCAACCTTCTTGGACTCCAAAGGGGTATGGGATCTTTATACTTCCACATGATTCGGTTTGACAGAAGCTTGAAAGAGTGGCAACACTAGAAGCAAGGAGGAGCATAAGCATAATAGAGAGAAGAAATGACGTGGAGTAATTGTTGTAGCACCTCATGATATTTGCTTCTCACAGGAATATTATGATGATTACTTGCAACACAGGTTACAAATTAACATATAATGTTTTCACAAGAACTTGGGAGATATCATAGGACAAGTTTGGGGGTTGCTGTGTCGGAAACAGTTTTCATCTCAAAAGTATAATTCAACCAGTTGCGAATTCTGAAAGGTCAAGGCCAATAGTCAACTCTTCTGTTAAACTATATTCCAAATATTACATTTTCTCCTAGTCCCAATACTTTTTTTATCTGAAGTCTTAACAAGAGACAACGATGGAAGAGTGATCGATTAGACTTCTGTATATAAAAAAAGGATGATAAATGTGGAAAAGATAGTAGACAGAGTATTTACAGGTAAAAAGAACAAAGGAGGTGAAAGAAAGAAGCGTTGAATGTTGAATGTGACAAAGTAAGAAAAAAAGAATAGCATAATTGACTATATTCTTTTTGTTCTAAACCAATATATCTTATCTAGTTTACAAGTTTGCTTTCTCCTCAGCCAAATTCTGAATACAAAAGCTAACTCTCTCACTCATTTATATACATGAAATCAGATGCCAACAAACCCACACCAAACTGTTTATTTCACATCACAGTCAAAACACTACGGTTACAAGAAAAGAAGGATTCTTACAAAATTTCAATTTAGTTTTATAAAACTAGAGAAGCCTCCTCCTGAAGTTTCTGGTAGTTGATTGATAAGTACGTACGAGAAGACCGACACCAATCCCAAGACCAACACATGCACCAAGTCCAATCCCAACACCAACTCTTACACCTGCATTGAACCATGACATCTCTCCATCTAAGCCCTCATTTCTCCAATACATGTCTTCACTGTATTCTTCTTTGTAATTCGCGTATTCTGCTGCCTATAGATAAAGAGAATGATATTTTAGGACGTCAACGATACAAAGTAATCATACTTTCAAAGATCAGCTTTGCTAGTTACTTATTATACAAGTAAGCTTCTGTGCAACAACACGCATTGCCTACTTACTATTAAACCTCTAGTCCTAAAATGTTGAAAAGGAAACACTCTTATAAGCCTAGAATGATTCAAAATAGTTGACAGACTTTTTAAATCAACAATATGTGGGCACCACCATTGGGTCAGACAAATGGATAAGAGCTTCAAGATAACGAAGGCATATGGGAGATTTTTATTTGTCTCCTTCATTTGTAAACTGTGTCTAGCCACATGCCACATTCACCAGCAAGGGAGACTGGTCCACTTCAATAACATTAAATGTTTTTTTTTTATCTTCCTAACACTATCAACAAACATGTATTTATTAGGGAAAAAGATCCAAAAAATCATAAGTTTTAATCAGAGATTTTTGAGGCTATGAGAAGGCATAAGACTGTATCAGGCATGTATGAACATTGAAGAAAAAATTCAGATAATGTCAAATGAAAACTTGAAAGTTACCTGAAGATCAAACTCAGAGGATATGTCTTTCGGAGGCTCTTCTGCAGTTTCATACTCAGGAATTGAATCCAACGCCATTCTTCTACTTTGCTTCTTTCTCAAACCAAGCTGCAGAGTCTTGGTTAAGATGATGGGTGTTCCTAAGAAGCAGCCAGTGACATAGACCTCAATAGTTGGCAAAGCAGGCAATAAATCTTGAACATTCTTGTTCTTCTCCTTTAAGAAACCAGACCCTGAAGTGATCTCAGCTTCACAAGTCATATCCCACTGCTTCTTGAACCCATTACTATCAGACATCTCAAGAGTACCAGACAAAACTAGCTCGTTTCTGTCATAAACCTCAAACTTTACACTACCATTTAACCTGATATTGTCTGTGCTTACATAAGTAGCTTCTTCAGATTTCTTATCAACACGATCCCTCCTAAGCTGTGAAGAGCACCCTTCCGAGTACATGCTCATCCTAACACCGTTTATCTCCAGAAGGGTGTCTGGATCCAGAGGAATGTGGTTGATGGTGAGGACCTCAGGGGTTGAATCTTCCACCTTGAGATTACTAATCCTCACATAAAACACTCTCAAATCTAACCAGGGGGAGGAGATTATGGAGCTGTGATGATTATACTTATGATATCTAGATATCTGAAAGGCTTCACCATTGTTGAGTGTCTCACAAGGCTCCTCCATGACACAAAGGAAGAGGATGAACGAGTGTTATAAACACACAAAGTTAATTCTCACTCCAAAACCTAATCGGAAAAGTGAAAACACTTGTGTGTAAGCCTTAGACCTGGTTTTGAGGAACAGAAAGACTTATTGTAAGAACATGAAAAGAGAATCATTCTGTCCCGAATGAGAATATTCCCATCATCATGCAACACACAGACAATAGCAATAACAACATAAACAACACACACGCTGAAGATTAGAAACTCTCAAAACCCTTTCGAGATTGGACCAAGATCAGAAATAATATTCCTTCAAGAAGAAAACTACCTTTGCCAACACTAAAAGCTTCCAAAAACTATGAAGATCCCAAGAGAATGAAAAGTATAATATATAAATAAAGAGAAAACAAAACTCACCAAAGAAGAAACCCTATCCACGAATCCTCTAAATCAGGTATAAAGATGACTGTCTCTAGACTAGTAGTGTAAAATATAAATCTTCTTGTCAACGTCTAAGAGAACAAAATTTAAAAGATATTGAAGGGAAGGGAAATATTGTTTATGGCCAATGTTACACTTGTGTAATCCACCAACACCACCAAGATTACAGCTTTTCTTTTCTATCTAATGGGAACGCACCGCGTGTCCTAGGAATAAGATGGACCCGCTTGAGCTGTGATATGGTTTAAGTATGTCCTTGTCTGAAGAAAACATCTCATTAAATGTCGGTAAAATAGAGAAAAGTCTACGAAAGACAAAAATATCAGAAACAATGACCTAGCGATCTTATCTCAGTATTTAGACATATGACATCTAACGACCGACCTTACTGGCCACGTCATGTTCCGACCACAAGCAAACAGAGACAGGTTGTGTAAAGAGATGAGGATGTATACAAGTAACTCAACTGTAATCTCTGCAGGTAGATATACAGACAGTAACAAAAGTAAAAAGAAAAAAAAAAAGAATCATGGACGCCACAATGTCTTCTGAGCACATAACATTCCTTCTTTGTCTTGAGCATAAGTCATACGTATCTCCCAATGCAAACTTCTAAATATTTCTTCCAGTGGCTCTAATATCTCCACTTTCTCACGTACCACCACCCAACCTCCAGGCCTTGTCAATCTATCCATCTCCACCACGATCGCAGCCGGTTGCTTACACCTGTCACAACAACAAAAATGGAGATTTCTCATTTGACAAGCAGTTCTAGATTCAATCACTACTAACTTTACTAATACCTGTTCTTGAGCCGTGAGAAGAGATGATCAGCATGAAGAAGGTCATAAGATCTTGGATATGTTCCAAATGGTTCACACCAATCATGATATATACCGATGAGACCTCTCTCGTATATGAAAGGAAGCGTATCTGGCGAATGAACAGGCACTACATTCATTACCCACACGCTCTGGTTCACCAATGAGGCTGCAAATCTGTTGATATTTTGTAAGATTTAAAACCAGCAAATGTAAATTATGTTCTAAGAAGAGCAATAGAGAAATCTTCTTTCACCATACCCGCCATATATTGCGGTCATGTCCATCACATTCCGGATATGTAACCAGTCAATGCCAAGTCCAGTGAGGTAAGATTTGTTAACCATAGCTTTCCAATGATCTGCATCACCAATGGCTTTCTCTTTGCTGGTTAACCACTCAGGGTATGTTTCAAGTCTTTTTGGCCATTCTTCAGGCCACTCTGCTCCATGCTGTTCTATAGCTGACGGTATCTCATATAAACAGATTTTCATCGGCACATACCTAAGCCAAAAGCTCAGACTCACCAACAAGTTCATGAAAGAAAGATAAAAGCTATATCACCCCATTGCTTTACTTACCAAGCTGCGTCAGGGTTTTCGTTTTCCTTGCAAAGAGGTGGATTCTTCCTCCTTCTCAATCCATAAATATCATTTGATTCTGGTTTCTGATATATTCTCACTCCCATTTCACTTGCTTCTTCTGTTTTGTGTGCAAGAATGTTCCAACAAATAGAAGCTGTTAATGCAGTCATCGCTGCACACCAGAGACCAACTTTGTCACAAGAAAGAACTAAATACAATTAAAAAAAAGTCGCTAAATACTAAAACACACCTTCATCATCTTCAATCTTTTCATTATTACTTGACAATATGAAGTATCCATTAGGCCTTAAAATCCTGTTCATCTCTAGGAGAAGTTTACCACCTGAGATAGCAAAAAGCTCAAATAATCATGACTAGTCTCCAAAAGCAAACTGAAACTCATGGCTATGTAAGAGAGAACACTTACCATGAGAATGCCAGTGGACTCGACAAGCAGCACAGTGAATGGTATCGAAGACTCCACTAGGAAAAGGAAGCCTTCTACTTGCCAAAGCACTGACAAAAGTAGGAAACCCACGCTCAAGAGAGACCTGTGCTAGGTCGACTAGATCGTCTTTTAAGCCTAGAGATATTGTCAAGACATCCTTATCTAGCAGTGCAGCTACAAAACTTGACTCTGAGCATCCAATGTCCAACACTATACGAACATTCTTTCCCCATTCAATATCTGGTACCATCTATCAAACACCAACACGTCTCTTACACAGAGCTTGCATTCAGTGGAAATTTAAAGTTCAGAGAGTAAACAAATGATACTCACCTCTTGAATGAATTCAAGGTACTGAAGAACATTTCCGCTGAAGGCAGTCTTGTTCTGTGGAAAACTTAGGTATTCACCGGACTCATTCACCCAGTTATGCTTCTTAATATATGTAGCTAACTTTGGATGCGCCACGTTCTTATACAATATCTAATATGAATAAAGAAAGGCATGAGATTTAAACTAACTTAAATCAAAGAAAACCAACTTAAAGAAGATCATCAGTCTTAACCTTGGATTTGCTTTCAGGCCAGGGAACAGGAGGATCATAGCCATCATGTGGTAAAGGAACAAGACACATCACAGGCTTCTTAGGACAACTCCTCTCTCTATGTCTGTAACTCTGAAGCCTCCCTATTAACCCATCATTATCAATACATGGCATGTAATTATGCTTGCTCCTAGTGTTACACATTCTCCAGTTATACTCAGCTTTAGGATCAAACACTGGACCTTTCCTCTTCCTCTTTTTAGCTAACTCTACTTCCTCCTTCTTTTCTTCCACTTCTTCATCCACTGATGCACTTGATTCATCCCCATTTCCATCAGACTCTCCTTCATTGCCATCTGACTCAGCTCCCTCCTCTCCATCTTCCTTATTAGACTCAGACTCCTCAGTTTCTGCTTCTATATGTTCTTGATCCTCTTTAACCACAGCTTCTTCTTTTACTGCCACCGGCTTAGGCAAATCCTTCTTCTTATGTGGAGGATGAGACACAACATGCTCTTTCTTTCTCTTCGTTTCATGTTTATGAACAGACCCACCAACGTGTCTCCCCTCTTTAGATTTCGAACTCGATTCAACTTTGCTTTTCTCATGTGATCTGCTAGATTCAGGTACCTCGTTATGAGCTGGCTTGGTGCGAGATGACACTGGCTCAGCTATGTCGTCGAAGCTTTCTCTCTGAACATTGAACGAAGAAGCATAGGAAGATAAAAAAGACCAGAAGAAAACGAAGCAGAGACCCAAAACAACAATGAATGCCATCTTCACCCAAATCCCACGTGGCTGTTTAATCCTGCGAACGAAATGAGCAATCCCCATTTTTCTCTTTGTCTCCATCATTACAGAAGAGACCACTTCAACGCATATGTCTGAACAACAGAGATCTCCAAAGACCACTTCAAACCAAACTCAGAAACCAAAGGATTTGAGCTATAATCACAGAATTTAAGCAGGATCTAGGCGAGTTTCAAAGAGTCTTGAGCTCGGACTAGTGGGAATCTGCAGTATACCCAGATTGGAAAAGTTACTAAAAGAAGAAACTTTATGGATTTGGTCGAAATGGGATCGTAAGTACGGATAAAAAAATCTCAGATTTCTTACCGGGCAAGAGAGAACAAAAACAAAGTATGAATCTTTGCAGCACCCAAATCCAATTTAAGCTTGAGGAGTAAGTAATCACACAACTGGGAATTACAACTCTTTTTTTTTTGCGTACAGCTTACACTAAGATTTATCCTCTATGTTTTTTCTCGGTTTTTTCCACGTTTAGTTGAAAGTTGAAAAAGGAAAGAAATGTTTTTTTTTTACGTTCGGTAATAACTGAGAGCTTTGTCCGGTGAGTGTCAAGAGCGGCGAGACAACCGGAGGTGACGGAAATTTTCCATAAACAAAAAAAGAAATCGAAACAGATCACTAGCAATTTGGCCCAATGGGCTTTAAGTGAAATAAGTCTGAGAATGTGATTGTATAAGCCATAATAAATACACGGTGATGTAAGTAACTTATACAATGAAATACGTAAAGTTCAAATAAGAGAATGCGTGATAGAAAATCTCAAGTTCCAATGAAAAATTAGGATAGCATTGACTACTGTATTTGCCACATTTATAGGTGATAACGAAGTCAATAATGCTGTTCAACTTTAGATAGTCTTTCATCAATCACAATAATAGTATTTTATATCCTGAAAATCTTAAAAATATAAATTGCTTTTTTCAGTTGTAAATTTTTACATTAATTTCTTTTTTTCGGTTGTAAATAACTATAGGACAGTTTATTACATTGTATGACAGTTTATACTACTAGGATAGTTTTTTACAATTACAAACTAACTCTGTTTTTTTTTTTTAAACTACGTAGCTTCCACAATCTTTAATTTTTTTTCTCACTTTTTTATAAAAGAGAAATAATTTAATAGTGAAAACTGTCATGTTAATAAAAATTTAAAATTGTCTTTATATGTAATATTTTCATATATTTTTTTCGCCATCCCACTAGCACCCTCTCCCCCCCCCCCCAACTCTTTTCCAAACTTACTTTTGGAATAAAGATAAACACTCATTTACCACAAAATAACATTTTAAAAAAAATTACAAGTATTACAAATTTTATCAGTTAAAACTTTAAGAAAATTAGTGTTGTTCAATACGTATCTCTGAAAGTTCATTTTTGGCACACGCGCAAACATTTTCTAAAAGGAAACATATTTACAGATAGAGATGCTAAATTTTCATTTTTTTACTAATAAAAGTATTAATTTCTTAAAAAAGAAAGAGGAAAAAAAAAGACAGGTCACATGGTCTTCACGTTCCTCGGGTCTCTATATTACTGAGTGCTTCCGTTTCGTCAAGATTACCCTTGGACCCTCCACTTACCACTCCTCCTTCGTTTTCCTCTTCTCTCATTTCTAAGTTTCTGGGTTTTCTTTCTCAAACATAAACCCTACTCAACATATATATCTTTTCTCTCAAAATTCAAACTTTTGTTTTGGTGGTCTTCGTCAAACTTGTCTCCTTTTCCAAAAAAAACGCCTGAATTTAATAATCTTCCGACAACATTGTCCTCTTCAGCTTCTTTCCTTTTTAAAAAAAACACAAACTCTTTTTTTTTCTGTCAGTTCAATAAATCTCAAACCTTTGACCATGGCCGGTACCGGAAAATCACGACTCGTCGACGGTGACGGTTCCGTCGGAGTACAGATCCGACAAACCCCTCGACTCCCCGACTTTCTCCAAAGCGTGAACCTCAAGTACGTAAAACTAGGTTACCATTACCTAATCTCAAACCTCCTAACACTCTGTCTCTTCCCTCTCGCCGTCGTTATCTCCGTCCAAGCCTCTCAGACCAACCCCGAAGATCTCCGCACTCTCTTTCTCCACCTCCAGTACAATCTCGTCATCGTCATCACCTGCTCAACGATCCTCGTCTTCGGGCTAACCGTCTACGTCATGACAAGACCAAGACCCATTTACCTAGTCGACTTCTCATGTTACCTCCCTCCTGACCACCTCAAAGCTCCCTTCACTCGCTTCATGGACCACTCTCGTCTCACCGGAGACTTCGAGGACTCTGCTCTCGAGTTCCAGCGCAAGATCCTCGAACGGTCTGGTTTGGGAGATGAGACTTACGTCCCTGAGGGTATGCATCACGTTCCCCCGAGGATCTCTATGGCTGCTGCTAGAGAAGAAGCTGAGCAAGTCATGTTCGGTGCTTTAGATAGTCTCTTTGTGAACACTAATGTGAATCCTAAGGATATTGGGATCTTGGTTGTGAATTGTAGTCTCTTTAATCCGACGCCGTCTTTGTCTGCGATGATTGTGAATAAGTATAAGCTTAGAGGGAACATTAGAAGCTATAATCTCGGTGGGATGGGTTGCAGCGCGGGAGTTATAGCGGTTGATTTAGCTAAAGATATGTTGTTGGTACATAGGAAGACGTATGCGGTTGTTGTCTCCACGGAGAACATAACTCAGAACTGGTATTTTGGTAATAACAAAGCGATGTTGATACCGAACTGTTTGTTTCGTGTTGGTGGCTCCGCGGTTTTGTTGTCTAACAAGTCTAGTGACAAGAGGAGGTCTAAGTACATGCTTTCGCATGTGGTGAGGACACACCGTGGAGCAGACGACAAGGCTTTCCGTTGTGTTTATCAAGAACAGGACGATACAGGGAGGACAGGTGTTTCTTTGTCGAAAGATCTGATGGCTATTGCAGGGGAGACTCTCAAAATAAATATCACCACGTTGGGTCCTCTTGTGTTGCCGATAAGCGAGCAGATTCTTTTCTTCACGACGCTTGTTGTGAAGAAGCTTTTCAACGGTAAGGTGAAGCCGTATATTCCGGATTTTAAACTTGCTTTCGAGCATTTTTGTATCCATGCTGGTGGAAGAGCTGTGATCGATGAGTTGGAGAAGAATCTGCAGCTTTCGCCGGTTCATGTTGAGGCTTCGAGGATGACTCTGCATAGGTTTGGGAACACGTCTTCGAGCTCGATTTGGTATGAGTTGGCTTATATTGAGGCGAAAGGGAGGATGAGGAGAGGTAACAGAGTGTGGCAGATTGCGTTTGGGAGTGGGTTTAAGTGTAACAGTGCGGTTTGGGAAGCTTTGAGGAATGTGAAACCTTCTAAGAACAGTCCTTGGGAAGATTGTATTGATAAGTATCCGGTAACTTTAAGTTATTAGGGGTTCGTTTGAGGAATTTGGGGTTTGATCTTTGAAAATGTTAATTGTTCTTGTTGTTTTTTTTTAATTATGTTTTGAGAGATTTTGTGATGTTTTGAGTTACATTTCTTGAGCTCATGTGTTGAGATCTTAGTTGTGTAATGAAGAATTCACAAACAAACAAAAAACTGCAAAGTAAGATGATGGTCTTGTAACCTTAACTACCGGTGAAAACCATGTTGGATTGTGTGAATATGAGCTCACCACAACAGTAATCTTTTTCGTATTTTTAAGTAATGTGGTAACGGTCTTGTAACGTATCTATTAAATTAATGTGTGTTTGAAATCTCAATTTTTAATAAGTCAATTTGGACGCGTTGAATATGCCAAGATTTTTGTTGAAAACAATAATTTGTACTTTCTCGGTTTATATTAAGTTTTATTTTATCTTTATACATACGGATTAAAAAGAATTAATTTTACATATTTTCTATATAAATATACAATAAAAAAAATCGAAAACAATACTCATTTTATAACAAAATAATTTATCCACAACGACACTTAATATAAAAAACGAAAACAATACTTATTGTTTTAGTAAAGTTTTTTATCTACAGCTACACTTACTATAAAAAACGAAGTGAGTACTATTTTGTTATTCAAATCAACCATCCGTTTGCATTGGGAAATTTGCATTGGGAAAGAGTCTCTTCATGCACCAAACATGCAGAGTCTCAAAGCCATAGTTCTCACATGATTTCTCACACTGATATTTGCTTTCTAATTTTTCTTTGTATTAGCCTAATTAAAGAAAAAGTTAATAAGAACATTTGTTAATAATCTATCACTAAGAGGTCAGTTGATCAACTTCCCTAAATCTTCTATAACTTTTGGTAAAATGATTAGTGAGGAATTAAAAGGGAAGATCAAACAGATGACCGGAATTATGAGTGAAGGAGGTACTGGAAAATATTTAGGGCTGCCTGAGTGTTTTAATGGATTAAAGGATGAGATGCTCCATTATATTCAAGAGAAAATGGGAACTCTGTTTCATGGTTGGTCATAGCGTCTCTAACAAACAACACCAAAGCATACACTCTCACTCTCTCAACTCAGCTCTTTAATATAAATATATTGCTAATCCGAAAGATTACACACAGAAAATGAAATGCTTTTACAACATGAACACATTATATAATCAATGTCCAAAGAAAAGACACTGAACAAAGCACAAATGAGAAGTCTTAAACAAGGACAAAAGAATGCTATGTAATGGCCAAAAAAAGGTGAAAAAATGAATGCTGTCTTCTTCTTCTTCTCTTGAATCATCTGAACAAAGCTTGAATCTCTTCAAGCGTTTTGCCTTTAGTCTCAGGAACCCAAAGACTCACAAAAGCCACAGTAAATCCACAAACCAAAGCATAGAGAGTAAACGTTCCACCACTGCTCCAAGCTAACAGCATATTTGCAGTCATTGTGACTAACCACGAGACAAACCAGTTAGCCAAAGTTGCTATACTTCCGGCTAAACCTTTTATATTCACTGGAAGAATCTGTTTTCACAACAACATGCATGATTGATTATTAGTAAGAGATTACTACTTGTTCTCATGTTAACATCTGATATTCAGGGTACCTCAGACATTATCAACCATGGAATTGGTCCCATCCCTAGAGAGCAAGCAATAACCATAGTCTGTAAAGATGTAAAGAAGAAAGTTATTTTTGGTATAACAATGTAATAAATGTATATAACAAAAAAAACTTACCACAACTCCAACTACAGAGACCATGCTTAGAATGTTGTACATATCTGACTCAGGTGATACGAATTCCTAACAAGTGATTAATAACTCAGAGTTAACTTGAAACCCTACATAACAGAAGTAGTTATACCGTAAGTTTAAAATTTACCTTCAGGTAAAATGCGACTGCTACAATCACCAGGCTTATCGTCATCCCTATAGAAGAGATCTGCATTTTAAGAGGAAAAGCTAATCTTTTGTTTGCATTTTACACAGAGTTTGCATCAAATAAATCCTCACCATGAGCAGAAGTCGACGACCTGATTTATCCACCAACCATGTCGCTATTGCAGTCGCCACTACCTGGTTTAGAATGAACAGAACAGTTAAAAGTGAAAACTAATGTCTCCTAGATTTAAGCTAATTGGAGTTATATTACCTGAACAGCACCAACTCCAAACGTTGCAACATTACTTGATGAGACCCCTAAGTGAATAAAATGGGAACAAAGCAGCATATAATTAAGAGAGATTCTGTTTATTCTATCTCTTAGGAACATTCCAAGAATCAAACACAAACATTTGACTCAACCTGCAGATTCAAAGATTGTACTGGAATAGAACAAGACGCCGTTAATTCCTCCTAGTTGTTGAAGCACAAGAAGTCCTATACCAACCTGTAACACACACACATTACATGAAACATGTGAGTCTTTCTTTCTCACACTGAGACAATAGTAGCTCCAGACGGTAAGAGTAACTGTACCATTAGTGGGAAATAGTATCTCCTACGCTTGAGGTCTACAAACCGAATTGCAGAACGTTTGGTAGATGATGCAACAGATCGCTGTATTTTGGAACACACAAAACACACATTTTTAGCAATCCCTAAACTCGTTACATATGAAACCAGCGTCATGTTTGAGCCAATACCTTAATCTCATTAACCTCAATGGTAATATCAGTATCAAAACCACGAAGAACTTGCAACGATGTTTCAAAATCATCTGTTAAACCCATCTTTGCCTACGTTTTTGAACATCAAGAAAAGAAAAAAAGAGATAAGGATCAGTAAAACAACAGACTCAACGATGTAGAGCAATGCAGATCTAAAGGCTTACCAGCCACCGAGGAGATTCAGGAACGAAAAACAGACCAGGTATTAATAATGTACATGGCAATACTCCTAGAGATAGAAAAAGACAGTCAAGAAAGTGATTTAGATGGTATGGTTTTTCTAAAGCAAGTTCAAAATGTAATGAGAGTTACCCAAAACTGCAAGAATTCTCCATGGAACAAAGAGACCAAGTAGATATGCCAACATTATCCCAATTGTTACAGAAAGCTATATAACCACACAAAACATCCATCAGCTCATAAAATGCAACAAAAGTAAAAGTGAAGCTAAATTAAACATGGCAAACCTGGTTTACTGAACCTAAGGCACCTCTCATGTTCTGTGGAGCGATCTCGGCAATATATACAGGCACCTAAAAATTCCAGATTCAAAGTTATGTAAATATATTGCTGAAATCAAAGAAGCTAGTCGAGTCTAGTATTACCGTATAAGATATTATCCCCACGCCGAAACCTTCTAACAGTCTTCCCATGTAAAGAAAAGAAGTATCCTAAACCGGAAAAACAAAGAAGAATAACTTTAAGAGCTAAAGAGACAGGACAACAACACCAAAAACAAAGAAGAATAACTTTAAGAGCTAAAGAGACAGGACAACAACATCAGAAACTTGAGTACACCAACCAAACACTTACTTTTGCAAATGATATCGAAAGCCAGCCAATAATATTGGGGATTGCAGCAATCATCAGAGACTGTATAAAAAAAACACACACACATAGTAAGTAAGATACAGCGCAAGAAAGAAGATATATTACATAACAATCAAGAAACAAAAGTGTTATACCCCTTTGCGTCCGATGTATTCAGCAATCTGACCACTAGCAATTGCCCCAACCATAGCACCCACATTGGATAGAGACCCAAACACAGAGTACTAAACACCAAACACATGAAACCCAAGTGTCAGAATACTATTCAGTAAGAGTCTGAAAAGATAAACAGAGCTTTTATATTAAAAGTTTATAACTTTTTTACCTCTGATACAGTTAAGCCAAGATCCTTAGTAATGGCAGCTTGAGTTGGAGAAGAATAGCCACACTGAACAAAAAAAAAAAAAAAAAATCAGAACTTTCAACATTCTAATAAGTTCCATTAATCAAACTAAAGAAAGTTGAGATTTTTGTTTTGTTTATTACAGTGAAACCGAATTGAATAGGACCAAGAGCAACGATCAAAACACAAGCTAAGACAGAGATGGAGCTGTCTCTGATAACTTGAGAGGATTCCAACATACTAGACTGTCTAGAACCCATCCTGTACCAACTTCCCGTGTGTAAGAACGGTCTACGAAGATCATTCCTTCCCTCTTCCGTCTCATCCCTGAAACTCATCTTTCTTCCAAGGGGGCAAAAAGAAAAAAAAAAGACTTTCTATGAAATTTTTGATTTTTAGAGGAATATATGATGTCTTCTCTTTTGTTAAAAAAAATCTATCTATCGTAGGTTGTGAGCCAATGTGTGGAGAGACGCAGACAGTTTCAGAGTTTTTGACCTCACAGACAAGCGTCCCCTCTTTGATTTATAGAATTTCGAAATAGAAACAAAACAGTACAATGCTATGTCGATTTTTTTTGTTTTTCCCCTTTTTTTATTGTAATAAAAACAAATCTTGATTTAAAAAACATTTTCAATGTAATAGATTCGTTGAAACAAATAATACAACCCACTAGAAGTTTCTATCTAGTAATGTCGCTTTGATTTATATGGATTTTATTTATATAAGACTGATCGAATCATCATTGACGCATGTTCACTTATACGACCACTAGAAAAATACTTTAATTTATCTATCTTTTTGATTACTCATTTGTATAATGTGTACTAGAACTTGACCCGCACCCCGTGCGGGTGCTTGATTTAACTTGTGTTTAACGTAAATTCATAAACCGTTGGTTTTTTACAAAAAAAATTATGTTTTGTAATTTACATAGTAAAATATATTATTTTATAATATAAATATTTAATCATAATTTTTATTTGTACATAGTAGTATATTAGAAATTTTATAACTTGATGCAATTTGATGTAATTGTACTATTCATATACTAACATGTTGTTTTTCTGTTAATTTATTTTAAAATAAAACAATATACTAAAAATTAATTTTTGAATTAGTTTTCTATGAATTGTCATTAATTTTATGATATTTTTTTTTTTAAATTGAACTCACACAATTTTATATTTGACTAAACTAAATAAGGTAATATTATATTTAAAAATTATTTTATATAATGTATACTATATATTTCGGTTTGTGTTTTTATTTTCATCACAGAGAAAGAAAAATCATTGAAATTAATTAACTTAAACTGATTTTAAATGCAATGACATAATCTGTAAATAAAAAGAAATACAAAAAAAGTATTTAGTTTATTGTAAATACAATGACTAAATGTTTCAAACAGAAGAAAATACTTAAACTACTATCCATGTTTCCAAACAATGTTTCATTTATTTTGCTATCCTTATTTTCAAACAGTACCAAAAGGTACTTCAGTTTTAATAATATAGATTTTTGCCAAGTTACTAATTTGACTAAAAACTACTACCACTTCTTATGTTTCATACTTTCAAATTTATCAAAACTCGTCCACATATACACTTTTGTCTGCGTGTGTGTTTTAGTTGTATCTTTGTTGTTCTGGTAAACGTCAATACAAGTCCACTAGACGTTTCTTTTTTTATCAAACCGAAAAGGTGACGAATGTAGTGGAAAGTTTAGCTTATAGCTTGCATCTACCCAAAAGCAATAAACATCAGAAACGGTGCTATACTTGCCTTGAAGACCTGCATAATTGAGATGAAGTTTTATAATACTATTTTTTTGTTTTGTTTTAAATGGGCATTAGGTTGTAAATAAGGCCACGACATAAAAATAAAAAAAGACAGTAGATATCACACCAAACACGTCTTATTGGAGTTATGATTCATATAGGTCCCGATTCATCCCTTGACATATAATAATACTGTAGATTCGTTTACATTCATTGGTTGTCTCGTCATCGTCTCTCACGTGTATCTGCCTATGTACTCTTGTTAACGTTTCCGGATCCGGACACAAGCTTTCTGTTTCATTGTCCCCACTTCTGCTTAGTTGGAATCTTATAGTCGACGATGCTTTTATTTATTTATTTGAAGATATTTTCAAACTCCAGTTCACATATGGATGTGTTGATCCGATTCCGAAAGCACACAGAATATACGTAAAAACGAAAATTGCAGAACAAGAATGAATTACCATCATCATATACCTATAAATATTTACTATATACTAAATGCAAAGTGTGAATAGTTACAGATTCAGCTTCAACACTGCATCTTCACCATAAGTTGTAGTTAAACTATGTTTAATTTTTTGACCAAAAAAAAAAAAACTATGTTTAGTTCATCTTTTTGAGGCATAGAAAATGATTAAATAACTAGGAAAACTATCTCTTCTTCTGCTCAATGAGTATGTTTTATTGTTGCTCAAATTTCCTTAGCTCCTTGTAAAGGATGACTGATATAAAATAAATCTTTTTCACCGTATGAATTATACAGATCAAGGATGAATTACCATCATCATACAACAAAATGATTTCACTAGAAAATGAATGTAATGTTGTGGATAGGCCTGGGTGTTTGGATCTGGTTCAGATCGGTTCCTTTTGGGTTCAGTTTTTTTCGGATCCTCGAGTTTCAGATATAATAAATACTTAAATTTTTGGTTCAGATTCAGATCGGTTATTTTTGGATCCGTATCGGTTAAGTACTTGTTTTGGACTCATGGGCTTGAAAAGTATTAAGCATTCTAACAATACGAGTTTGGGCTTTGAAATGGGCCCAGTACTTGTGACCTAAACACACATATTTACTGTTCGTCGGAGCGTGAGGATCACTCTCACAAAAGACGCGCCTTACAGAAGATACAACGACGGATCAGACTCGAGACTCGGAGACGAAGTGAGTAAGATACAATCCAAAACCCTAATTTCATCCTTCTGAATCATCGAAATTTCAACATGGGCGAACAATCCTCATCTCAACCACAATCTCCCCAACCCGAAACTCAAAACCTAATCCCGCCTCAATCCACCGTCAATCCAACCCCCCTCTCCGGCGAAATCGTCTCCTCCACCACCATCGACACCCAACGGATCACACAATTCGGCAACATCTCATCCCCTCCTTCCAAAATCCCCCTCCGTCCCCGCAAAATCCGCAAACTCACACACGACGGCGAAGACGCCAAGGCCGAGGATAATAACAAACCCGCCGCATCTAAACCCAAACCATCTCATCCCCGCGCCATAACCGTCCCGAGAATCCACACCCGCCCGCTCACACACGAAGGCGAGCTCGAGGCAGCGATTCACCACCTCCGCAACTCCGATCCCTTCCTCGTCGACCTAATCGACATCTACCCTCCGCCGAACTTCGAGTCCTTCCCGACTCCTTTCCTCGCCCTGATCCGCAACATTCTCTACCAACAGCTCGCGGCGAAAGCCGGGAACTCAATCTACACTCGCTTCATCTCCCTCTGCGGCGGGGAGGAAGCCGCCGTCGTCCCCGAGACGGTCTTGGCCTTGGATCCTCAGCAGCTTCGGCAGATCGGAGTATCGGGGAGGAAAGCGAGTTACCTCCACGACCTCGCGAGGAAGTATCGGAACGGGATCTTGTCTGATTCGGCGATTGTGAATATGGATGATAAGTCGTTGTTCACGATGCTGACGATGGTTAACGGGATTGGGTCTTGGTCTGTTCATATGTTTATGATCAATTCGCTTCATAGACCGGATGTTTTGCCGGTTAATGATCTCGGGGTTAGGAAAGGTGTGCAGATGTTGTATAACTTGGAGGAGTTGCCGAGGCCTTCGCAGATGGAGCAGCTTTGTGTTAAGTGGAGGCCGTATAGGTCGGTGGGTTCTTGGTATATGTGGCGGCTTATTGAAGCGAAAGGGGCACCGGTGGGGACGACGAGTAGTGTTTCAGGGAGAGTTTTGTCGTTGCCGCCGTTGGAAGAGATTCAGGAACAAGAACATCAGCAGCAGCAGCAGCAGCAGCAACAACAGTCACAGCAGCTTCTGGATCCTCTTAGCGTGTTCAGTATCGGGTAAGTATGCAAACTAGAGGGTTTTTGTTACTTTTTCCAAAGATTTGTGGAATGTGTATATAAGTTGATAGTGATGGACTTAGAGGTGTATAGGAGACTGGTAATGAGCTTTCGTGTCATGTGTCCAAAAAACAACTGATGTTCTAAAACACCATCTAATCAACTGATATATTTACCTGGATCGATGTTAAGTTTTGAATAATCGTGGATTTTAGATTTAGTGTCTTTCTTTCCCTCTATTTATTTATATATGTACTGGGGGTGCAGAATTATTTTAAGGATTGGTGGTGCATAAACCAATTTCTTGATTTTTAGACCCACTCCAAGAAACATATGATTTAAAGCATGCTACATTGTTTGTTTTATACGTCTATTTCTGATAATCCTTGTATGGCATCTTATAACAGGGCTTGGGGACAATCATAGCTGGGTCTCCTCTCGCTTTGCTGTCTTTGGTTCGTGGATGTTTTGAAGGCTTCTTATGTGAGATACTGTTTCTGATCATCGGCTTTTTCTGTCTAGTAAAGAAAGTCTTGGTGAAGGAATAAAACAAACCTCTTTTGTAGGCTGGGTTCCTTTGAAGACACAAAGCTGACGGACCAGGGAATTTGAGTCTTCTTAGTTAAGTCAGAGAGTGTAATGTAATCTTAAAAGTAGCTAATATGAATGACATAAGTGTTTTCAGGACAAGCTTCCTTCCTGTTTATGTCTGAAATAGCACTAATCTCATCTTCCTAAACCATCTAAGATTCGTTGCTAACATTTATCCACATTAAATCCAGGTTTATTGTTTCTTTTCTAAATCATTACCGCTGGTAAAAAAAGCCTAGCGAATTACTACCGTCAAAAAAATAACAACCACTTGTGAAATATCTCCATGTATGTATCCGCGGGTTATCAGATCTGAAGGCCCATTAACGGCCCAAACCTAAAAACTAATATATGTAGGTACTAAATTTCAGTAGCCAGGAATCGATCTCGGGACGGAGGAAAACGCTTCCAAGAGTTTTACCCCGCCTTCGCCGCAACCGCTGTTCTTGTCGCCGGTGAGTTCTGTTCCTCCAAGTCTTCCCCTAATTTCATTATTGCTAACCTCGTAAAACCCTAGCTCTTGTCTGTTTTCGTTATGTCGAAGTTTAAAATCTATTTAGTGTAAGAATTCTCCGGCGATCGACGTGTTAAGCTACAATTCGTGCTTCGTACTAACTGGTAATAACTACTACTTATGTTATAGAGAGGAAGAAACAAAAAAAAAACGGGATCAATGAATGAAGAAGAGCCTTCAAGAAGTGGTGAAGGAGAATGTAGCATATCATTGTTTGATTATTCTGTTGAAAATCATTTAAAGGCAGTGGACTCGATCTGTGCTCTATGTAATGAATCTGGTATTGATATTGAGAAGACTGATATCAACAGACTATCATCATCAGTTACACTCTTGAGGTGAGTAACAGAGTTTAACTATGTTTATTCATACAACGTTGATCTCAGTTTAGTACTTACTGTATATACCGTTGACAAGAAGCTATGCTTTAAGTGGTTGAGATCTATCGAAACTTCTGTATTCGTTTCATGAAGTGCGTTTCAAGTAATTCTTATACTTCTCATTTTATCCAACTGTTCTTAATTATTTGAGAATTGCATTGTTAATATAAAAGGTTCCATAATTTACTCTACTCGGTGATTTTAATATTCACAAATCTAATCTTATCTGCCGGGGGGGGGGGGATTATTTAGGGAATGGAGGCATTTTTGTTATGAAGCAAAAAGTTTTGGATTTTATAATGAAGCTGAAAAAGGTTGTGAACCAAAGGATGTCAGCAGTCATACTTTGCCGCAATTTTCTTCTGCACGAGCTCCTAAGGTGTGTCTTACCTTCCATTTGCTTCAACACTAGTGCTCTTTTGACTCTGTATTATTATTGCAGGTTAAGATAGATGACGGTGAATCATCATCATCATTTGGTGAACTCAGGTATAATTTAGATTTATTTGATATGTATTTTCTTAAATCCCAACTGGTTCTGCTAACTAGCAAAACTCATGCATCACTTGGAGTTTAGTGATTGAGTTAAGCGGGTATGAACCAGGACTAGGTTGATAATTTTTTCAGAATACTGTGTGTATGTATATCTGCTCTTGTTTTTAATTATCAACGAGGGTTTCCTAATCATTCTCATTTATGTGATATTCACCTCTGCAGCAAGGATTTTGTTATGCATGTTGGAGGCTCTGTTTGGGCATTGGAGTGGTGTCCTAGAGTCCATGGAAATCCAGATGCTCAGGCAAAATGTGAGGTGATTATTATGTCATATTTTCTATTTTTCATACTTAATAGAAATGAATATCTTAGGTTTTCATTGTTGTGAATTTTTACTGTTGTGCAGTTTCTAGCTGTGACTACTCATCCACCTCAATCATACAGTCACAAGATAGGCGTTCGACTTTCAGGCAGGGGCATTATTCAGATATGGTGCATTATAAATGTCAAATGCGAGAACAACGATAGCGCCCATATATCAGGAAAGAAGACAGTAAAGACTCAAAAGAAGCAATCCGTTGAGCTTAATATTAAAGGAGAACCTAAAAAGCCGAGAGGCAGGCCTAGAAAGCATCCAATAGAGGTAACAGAGCCTAAGAAGACAAGAGGAAGACCTAAAAGGAAATGTACTTCGGAGCTTCCTGTTGACCTTGATGGTGACGTTATATACGTTGAAGCTTTGTCTGTTCGGTATCCGGAAGAGCCAGTTGTTCCTGAAACTCCTCTTCCGGTAACAGAAACTAAAGCCAACAATGAAAGCTCAGGACAAGTGTTGTCGTCAGAAAATGCAAATATCAAACTTCCCGTACGGAGGAAGAGACAAAAAACCCAACGTGCTGAAGAAGCTTGCAAACCCGTCATGTTAGGAGATAGTAAGGCTATTGGAAACGTACCAGAAAAAGTATCCTCAGATATCTCTGAAGACATTGCTCTTCCAAGGGTTGTCTTATGCCTGGCCCATAATGGAAAAGTTGCTTGGGATATGAAATGGCGTCCACCATCTGCAGATGATTCTCTTAATAATTATAGAATGGGATATTTAGCTGTCTTGCTGGGGAATGGATCTCTGGAAGTGTAAGTCAACTCCTTCTCTTTCTTCTTTTATCCTCCTTATGCATTCTCTCTCCGCAATGCCGCCTTGTCTTTGTTTTCAACGGCAGGCATAGATATTACTTTTCATTTGCCATGTGAATGTAGATTGTAATCACATATAGCAATAATGTAGCAACTTTAACTAGGATGCATGTACTAAGCGAAATGATGAACAACTTTATGTAGGTGGGATGTTCCAATGCCTCAGGCAATATCAGCTCTATATTTGTCTTCAAAGAAAGAAGCAACTGATCCTCGTTTTGTGAAACTAGCTCCCGTTTTCAAATGTTCAAACTTGAAGTGTGGTGATTCACAGAGGTTAGTAGATATCTTTCATTTGCCAGTTTTTGCCTCGCGCACATAAAGCATATAATTGATTTTTGTTCATCTATTATCCTACAGTATTCCTTTGACAGTTGAATGGTCGACTTTTGGGAACCCTGACTTCTTACTCGCTGGTTGCCACGATGGCACGGTAACTATTACATAATTTTCACTTTCTTCACCTTTTCCATTATATTCTTATTTCCTTCTTCTTTCATGTGTGTAAATGTGTTGAGGAATAAGTATTGCTCTGCTCAATTGCTTTGGCTCTGTTTTTTTCTTTTCTCTGCATTAGGTTGCTCTCTGGAAGTTTTCTATAACTAAATCTTCAGAAGGTATTACAACCTGACATGTTTTTCCCTATGCCATATAGTTTTTTTTCTCATTGTGGCTAAAGAGTGAACTGTGGTTTTCACATTTGCTTTTCAATTATTATTTTTGGGTGCAGATACAAGACCTTTGCTTTTCTTCAGCGCAGATACATCTCCTATTAGGGCAATTGCATGGGCTCCTGGTGAAAGGTCAGTGACCTTAAATCACACCCATAAGATCAGTAATTCTCGTTTTCTGTTTTTGCTTTCACTCAGTTGGAGACTAAGTGGGCGCATATATAATTCCAACTGGAAATAATCGAAGTATTTTTTTTTGATAAAACAGTGATCAGGAAAGTGCAAACGTAATAGCTACTGCTGGACATGGAGGTCTGAAGTTTTGGGACTTACGGTACACTTCATAAATATCAGCTACACACATTTGATTTTTAATATTTATTTTGCGTTACTACATAACTTATTGCTTGCTTCTGATGGTTCTTCTGTAGTGATCCGTTCCGTCCTTTATGGGATTTACACCCCGTACCGAGGTTTATTTACAGCCTCGACTGGTTACAAGACCCAAAGTACTAATCGTTTCTCTTTGTTCAGTTGATTACAGTCTATAGATCAATCATTTAATGTCCTCATTAAACAAACTTGGTTTTCAAAATTTCATCTGCAGATGTGTCTTATTGTCCTTTGACGATGGTTCAATGAGAATCCTAAGCTTGGTGAAGATTGCCTATGATGTTCCCGCAACCGGAAGGCCTTATCCTAACACAAAACAGCAAGGGTTAAGCATCTACAACTGTTCATCTTTTCCCATCTGGGGTATTCAAGTATCACGGCTAACAGGTTAATGCTTTTCATGTATTGTTTGTTTAAAGTCACCTTAAGAAAACTCTCAACTTATTGCACATTATTGACGTGTTTAACTTCATCAGGTATGGCTGCTTATTGCACTGCGGATGGGTTCGTTTTTCATTTCCAGGTTTGTTTTAAAAGTCTTTAATTTTTCACTCCACCTCTTATCTTCAGTGTTTTCTAAAGATTTCTTCTTGTCTTGTTGGGCTTTACAGCTTACGACCAAAGCAGTGGAAAAAGACTCGAGAAATCGCACACCGCACTTCCTCTGTGGACGACTAACAATGAACGATTCCACTTTTATAGTGCATACTCCAGTGCCTAACAGACCAATCATCTTGAAGAAGCCAGTTAGTGAGAACGGTGAAAAACAGAGATGCCTTAAAAGTCTTTTGAACGAATCTCCTAACCGACACACGTCTCCAGCTTCAGATGCTCAGCCTCTAGGTCAGTTAAAAACTTTTACCACAAATGTTAAATCTCCTTAGCACCTTTAGACCGTATCTTGGACTGGTTTCGGTTGTACCATTGAAACTATGGTTTAAATAGAGTCTAAACCCCGATTTTTTAACGCCTAGACTGATTATTAAAAAAACAAGTCCTGTCTTGACAAATCGTTTCGTTAAGATTAGGCTAAACTGATTTTAAGAACACTGATTGAAACTAATTTACTTTGCATGTCTGCAGCTTTTGCAGAGGATGAGGATTTGGGGTTAGAGTCTGAAGCCGAGGGAACTAACAACAAATCATCAAAATCAAAGTCTAAAAAGGGGAAGAGCACAATAATAGAGGAGGAGAACAAAGGAGCACTTGTTTGTGTTAAAGAAGATGGTGATGAAGAAGAAGGAAGAACAAGAAAAGAAGCAAACAACAGTAGCAGCGGAGTGAAAGTAGAACAGTTCCCACCTAAAATGGTGGCGATGCATCGAGTGCGGTGGAATATGAACAAAGGAAGCGAAAGATGGTTGTGTTATGGTGGAGCTGCTGGGATCGTTCGGTGTCAAGAGATTGCTTCATTTGGTTCGGTCGGTAAACAAAACTGGAGATAAATGTTAGTCCTATGTAGAACAAAGATCTTGGATGCTTTTTAAATATCTTAATCATTTAGTCACAAATTAATGATATATGGGAAACTTATTCCATTCTAAAAGTTTATTGATTCTGTCGTAGAAACAAGGACCAAAGCCCTGAAAACACGTTATCAAACTGATCTGAACCGTAACTTCCTCCACTGAGAAGCAAACAGAATCTTACAAACATTTTTGTAAAAAAAAACAAAACTCTTGAAAAACATTACTAATCTTGGATGTGTGTAATAATAATAGTAATCCAATTTTGTTTCTTGGATCATCAGTATGACTCTCTGACGTTGGTGTTTAATAAAGAAAAGCCGAAACAATTTGAAAATGTCCCGGACAAAAACAAAGGGAATCCATGATTCATGAAGTACCTTTATATTGTAATGTTTGTCATACTTGCATCCGACATTGACGGCCATGGAGGTTCTTGAGCTTAGTGAGTTCTTTCCTTCTCTTTCTAGCTTCTGCTGCTGCCAAAGAGCCTTGTTTCTTCCCCGGTAGAGACATCAAAACACGGTGGCCAGGCGTGACTCCATTAGGCGAGTCAGAAACATCTTCATGCTTCAAACTAAAACCTTGTTGCGTTACAGGAAAACCATCTCCTTCTGAGAGGACTTCAGTTGCAGATTCATTGAGATCATACAAAGGTCTTGTTTCCGTTGAACCAGAATCCTCTTCTTTGATGCTAGTTGGTAGAGTTTTTGTGACCTCAACTGGTTTTGCAGAAGAATCATCGACATGGTGACCGTTTGACGAAACAACTTTTTGTGGTTCTTCAAACTTAAAGGGGACACCGTTGCTCTGATCAGGAGCAGGGAGAAACCAAGGACATGGCACGACGTAAAAATGAGTTTTCTGCCCATTATCATCTCCAGGATTCCCCTTCTCCTGCGTGGTCTTGGTTTTAGCAGGCGCTCCTCCAGACGTGGGGATTGGTGCTGTAAAACCGTTTTGACATTCCACCACTGGATTTGAAGGTTGAGTAACATGAGGCCAGCAGAAAAGCTGGTATGGATTTTGGTTGTAGATGTAAAAGGGAGTAGATGGTGTAGACATCTCAACTTGTGATGATGGCTTGGGGGAGTCTTCAGGTTCTTTTGTCTCTTCGGGCTTTACTGACTTCGATACCTGTAAAAAAACAGATATCACAATGAGATATAGCAGTGCAAGCAATAGTGTTCCTGATACCAATATGGTGTTTGATAGATTTTGTGAGTAACCTGTTCTTTTAAATGCTTGTTAATCGTCTCCAAAGATTGAAACTCTTTCAACGCCCAATCTTTTTCCTGCCAGCAGAAACGTTATTAGCTATTTTATAACAACGGTCTCACTATTGCTAGAAATGTAGATCGGTTGGTGTGCATACCCTTCTCAGATTCTCATTCTCATATGTTAGATCAGCTGCTTTTTTACTCAACTCCTCGCACATTGCCTGATATACATATGCGTAATTATATACTTACAGTAGTGAAAATAGACCTTGATGATTAGAGGTCCAAAAGAAGTAAGCATAACCATACCTGTCGTCGACGAATAGTCTGCCTAGCGGATTCTCTGTTAGCTAGTATTCTCCGGATTCTACGTTCTTCTCTTTCAGCCTATAGACCAGTAATATTAGTAGCAGCATCGTAAGTTCTCGATAAACGAAACCAAAAATAGAAAGCTTCAGGACCTCTTACAATAATAATACTCTTACCTCACTTAAATTCTGTCTTGATCGGCCACAACCACTTGATCTATTACACTTTAGCGTCGAAGCAAGATTTGGTTTAGTTATTTCACCATTCGTTTCAGTTTTAACCGGAACTTCAATTACTTCTCTACTAATCGGTTCAACTTCTTCTTCTCCTTCTTTCACTACTCGTTCCTGTTACATAAACATATCTCTTTAACCTTTTGTTTTGTTTTAGGTGAAACATATCTATTTCGAGCAAACAAACCTGTTCATAAAGTTGTTTTCCCACTTTAACTTAAATTGCTAAAACGACCAAACAGCTCTTCAGACATTTAAAAAAAAAAAAAAAAACTTCTAGATGATGACATCAGTATTGTTTGTACTAAACATGTGCTAAATTATTACATAACTAAACTGTATCATGTTCCCAACCTAATTAGTGTAATAACAAAAAAAACCGTTAATACTATTTTTCTGCTTATTTCGATTATTTTGGATCTAAATAACAAAAAAAAAAACAGTTGTAAGAATAAAGCGAAAAGACCTCAGCTAGATCCGGAGTAGGTAACGTCTCCGAGTCGCACGGAGGAGACTCGGTTTTGACTCGTTTCCTAACTCGTTTCCCTTTGCTTCCCCAGCTCGCCGCGGATTCGAAAACCTGCTCTCGCATTACCGCAAGCTGCGCCAAATCCGCTAATGCCTCTGCCGCCTCTAGCTCCGTCATGTTCGCCGCCGCCGACGTGTCCTCACCAGAAGATGAAGACGAACAACAGCTCGAAATAGGCTCCAACTCCATGAAGAAAAAATTCAAAACTAAAGATTTTGAACTAAAAAAAAAACGTTACAGGAAAAAAAAAAGTGAAGAGAGAGAGAGAGAGGGAGACTGTGTAACTCCTCAAGAGGGGAGAAAGAGGGAAAGACTAGAGAGGAGCCCACCGATTGTGAGAGTTCGACACGTGTCATGCCAACTCATCGTCTCCAATTGGTGCTTAACAATAGCACCGTGTATCTACGCCCGCCACGTGTATTATTAACCAAGTCAGCAATGGCAGGCACGTGACGAGTGAGTGCGTACGTGCGAAGCCGAGATTTGGGACCGCCGCTATCTCTTCACAACTCTGCGGGGTGGGGGAAGAAAGGCGCGGAGTTTAAGGTGAAGGTCGGTTTGATTAGCTCAGATTTTGACACGTGTAAGGGTTGTATTGGTTCTTTACGTGGCGACCTATGAGCCATGAGATTAAGTGGTTGATAACTGGTCTGCATCTTACGGTTGAGTTTTGGTGCATCGACCAGCACACAATCATTTTTGGTTATTTAGACTTTGTTGATGGATATGCAAATGGGCTGAGTTTTGGTCACTATCAATGGGCCGTTTATGTATAACGATTGGCTCATCATGTGGAGCACACTCACCCATGAGTATTATTATGACGCATCATGGATTAGTTGATTTACGATAATGATTAGAGGGATAATCAAGGAGCTCATGCATTATGAATGAAGACATTTGGGTTACACAAAATTATGGATTGAAGATTAGATAAAACAAAATCATTTACAGATTGGACGAGCTTTTTAGGGTATATAACACACAAAACCTTAACCACTCCTTCGTTTAGAAATGAATTCCCATTTCCCTACATAAAAAAAAAACGATGTTTATATGAGAAGAATGATTATGGAAGTTAATCATGTCTAACAATGAACACAAGAGACATATGTTTATCAATGAACTACGGTATAGCAAAACAGACTTACTCATTTCAATTAATCTAGCGTATCAACAAAAACAAAGATTTAAAAGAATTATAAACATACTTGGCTTTATCACCGAACCATCCGTAAACGGACTTTGCCGTGGAAGAGACGGTTTCCACGGCATCTTTGCCGCCATGTTCATTGAAAGCATTGGTGACGCTTGTCATGGCGGAGTCTATCCTCTGCCCAACCGTCGTCGGCTGTTCCTCCTCAGCCACCACCGAGTTTATCGAAACAAGTAGCACCACGGACAATACCACAGCCACCCATGTTTTCGCCATCCTATCTCTCTGACAAATTTCTTCTTTCTTTCTTTTAAAGATTCAGAAGAAATGAATGGCTTTGAAACAAGATGTTACAATCAGATAATTAATAATTTAAGATGTCTATATGAAGTTAAAACTATTTTTACGTGTTGTTCTTCTTTTGTTGGGTGGTAAATTTAAATGGTCCTTACTTATTATAATCGACGGAGAAAAACGATAGTATTTTTTTTTTTTTTTTTGTCAAAAAACGATAGTATTTTGTTTGTTTTATTTTAAGGTGTAACGATCAACCGTTAACGGTGGCTACACCGAAAGTAGTACTACGTAAGTGGCTTTCGTCTTATGGTACATATATGTTCTCGTCTGCTTTTATTTGAAAGATTATTATAATTTCTAAATTTAAATTGATAAGATATACTTTTAGAAATTAAAGATGTTCTAAGATATATAATAATTTAAAAGAAAAAGATGTTCTAAGATCGAAATACTATTGAGAAATTGGTCGCACTTATATGAAAGATGTAATCCCCCACTATGGGGTTTCGAATCGGACAACAAAGATTAAGGATCTGACTAGTTCAAATATTGCGATTATGGTTGCGATTGCGGAATTAACGGATGCAAATAATTGAGGTTTCTTGTAGTTTTAAAAGATTCGTACAACTAGTATTTCAATTAAAAACTAATGCGTTTGTGAGATATTTATGATTAGTTAACTATCAAATACAATAACAATTAAAATATATAAAAAATTATATAGATTTTGTATAATTAAAAAATAGCAAAATTATAATATTATAATAAATATAAAAATTATATTTATAAAGTTATAGTTTAAAATTTTTATAACTATTGAAAATATATTTATTAAAAAATTTATAATATTAATTAAAATATAATAGATATATTTTAATATATGTATAATTCCAACTTAAATTTTTTATTGAACATTTTAATTTTTGTATTTATATTGTTTAAAAAAAAAATTACCCTCCTGCAACTACGCGCAAACGGTAGTTAAAACCAGCTTTTGTGTTTAAGAGGTTTAGAGCGGTTCGAAACGGTTCAGAGCGGTTTGAGTGATTGTTTCAAAACGCTAACAACTGCAAAAGCTGTGTTTGCGGGTGGTAGCGGGGAAACCAATCATGCAACCTATAGGGTTGAAGCAGACAAATGTAGAAGTATAAGTTAATACAAGTAATATTTATAAATTGAGGGTTCTTTATGAAAATAAAAAAACTAACGGAGAGAAGGGTCAAGCAACCCTAATTCGAGTTCTGATCTTTTGACCTCTCCGTCTCCCACACTCAATATTTTAGATAGGGCTTTTAGGGTTTAAACCCAGATTTATCGATCTCACCTCCATTTCCGTTCAAAAATGAAATCTCTACTCTTCTCTCGCCAAGCGATCCGCCGTCTCTCACTCTCATCTCCAAAAATCTCCCGAAACATCCCCGCCGCCACGTCATCGCTTCCTCACTCCGATCTTCATCTCAAAACCTACAACGAACCAATCCGTCCACCAATTTCATCTCTCACTCGTCATTTCCACTCTACACGCGAGTCCAGACTCTCCACCGCCATTCACGAAGAAGAAGCCGCCGAAGACAACGAAGACGATGGGACTACGAACGAGTTCCTCTCCCGATTCGTCTGGATAATGCGCGGGAAAGTCACGGAAGCCTTCCCCGACTCCGACAAGAAGATGGTCGACGGGATGCTCCTTCTCATCGTCGAGAAAGTCGTGGAGGAGATAGAGAGAGGCGGGTTCAGCAACAAGGTCGGAGGAGGAGCAGGATCATCTCCTCCGCCTTCTCCTTCTTCGGAGTTCAGCGACGATCTTTGGGCTACGATATGGGAAGTAAGCAACACGGTGTTGAAAGATATGGAGAAAGAGAGGAAGAAGGAGAAGATGAAGAAGTACGTCCAGTCTCCCGAAGTTATGGAGATGTGTAGGTTCGCTGGTGAGATTGGGATCCGTGGCGATTTGCTCAGAGAGCTTAGGTTCAAATGGGCTAGAGAGAAGATGGAAGAAGCTGAGTTTTACGAGGGGTTGGAGCAGATGCGTGATTTAGACACTTCAATTCGTGAATCAGAAACAGTGGAAGGAGAAGGAGAAGAGTCTGTTGAGTCTGATGAAGCTCAGCCTCCTCGGAGTATCTCTTTGCCTAAGCGTAAAGGGAAGTTTAAGTACAAGATCTACGGGCTTGAGTTGTCTGATCCGAAGTGGGGTGAAGTGGCTGATAAGATTCATGAAGCGGAGGAGGAAGCTGATTGGAGCGAGGCGAAACCGGTTACTGGGAAATGCAAATTGGTTGTGGAGAAGCTTGAGGGTTTGGAGGAGAAGGATGATCCTTCAGGGTTGATTGCTGAGTGGGTTGAGTTGTTGGAGCCTCAGCGTGTGGACTGGGTTGCTTTGCTTGATCATTTGAGAGATGTGAACACCAGTGCGTACTTAAAGGTTAGAGCTTTTGGCCTACTTCTATAGTGTTTGGTTCTTGGCTGATATCGAAGTAGATTGTTTGAGTTATGGTTTGCTTATTGGAGATGGAGACTAGTATCAGTTAATGTAGTCATGGTTAGTTTTTGGCTAGTGAGTCCTTGGATTTGATTATTTAGTTTTTTTTTAATAGGATCACGTTTGTTGTTTATATCTATCAATGTTTTAAAATTCGTTCTAGGTGGTTATAGTCGAAACGAATTTCATAAAACTTGACTTATGTGGTTCAAATCGGTTTAATCTGTTCTAAATCAGTCAAAAGTGGTCTAAATCTGTAGAATCAAGCAATAATGTTAGTGCAAATACATACATTTGTTTCATTTCTTTTTTTTTGTCTATCTGATTTTTATAATTCATCAAAATACTTTATAATTAGACACAAAAAGCTAAAATATAACATAAATGTAAATATATAAATATTTGTTAAAGGTAGTCCTTTATAAAGCGCCTAGATACGGCCTAGCGATTTTTGGAACATTGATATCTATAGTGTTGGCTGGTTGTTATAGCAAGATGGGTGGTGCTTGAGTATGCATATGTCTATATCTTACTTACCATTGGAAGATGAGTAATCACGGTGGCGTGATCATGTTGTGAGACTGTGTTTTAAATCAATGTGGTACTGGTTTTGATGTTTAAACAGGTGGCAGAACTTGTCCTGGATGATAAATCGTTCAAAGCTAGCATCTCTGACTACTCAAAGCTCATTAATTTCCATGCCAAAGAGAACCACACTCAAGATGTTGAGAGGATTCTAAAGAAAATGTCTCAAAATGGGATTTTCCCAGACATTTCAATCGCGACTGCATTGATCCATATGTACAGTAAGTCAGGCAACCTTGAGCGAGCAACCGAGGCATTCGAAAGCTTGAAGAGCTATGGTTTAAGGCCAGACAAGAAGATCTACACCTCAATGATCATGGGCTATGTAAACGCTGGAAAGCCTAAACTAGGTGAGAGGTTGATAAGAGAGATGGAAACAAGAGACATCAAGTGTTCAGATGAAGTTTACATGGGTATGCTTCGAGCTTTTGCTCAAGTGGGAGATGCTGATGGAGCTGCAGGGATTTTCACTTCAATGCAGCTTGAGTTTAAGGATACAAACTGTTACGAAGCTTATAGCTTGCTTGTGGAAGCATACGGGAGAGCAGGGAAAGCAGATTCAGCGAAAATCAACTTCGATCAGATGAGAACGCGTGGGTTCAAGCCAGATGATAAGTGCATTGCTAATATGATCCGAGCTTATAAGAGAGAGAACTCGTTGGATAAAGCGCTGAGACTTTTGTTGAAGCTTGAGAAAGAGGAGATTGAGATCGGTGTGGTCACTTACACGGTTCTTGTTGATTGGATGGCTAATCTTGGGCTTATAGAGGAAGCAGAGCAGCTTCTGGTTAAGATCTCTCAGCTAGGGGAAGCTCCACCGTTTGAGCTCCAGGTGAGCTTGTGCTATATGTACTCTACTGCTAGGAACGAGAAGAAGACTCTGCAAGCACTTGGGGTTTTGGAAGCTAAGAAAGATCAGATGGGACCTAACGAGTTTGAGAAGGTTATAACTGGGTTGAAGATGGGTGGGTTTGAGAAAGATGCGAGAAGGATGTTTAAGCATATGGAAGCTCGGAAGTTTTTGCCTTCAGATAGGTTAAAGATAGATATGGGTGCATCACCGTCGTTTGCGTCTGGATTGAGTGGCAGAATGAGACGATAGATGTCTAAAGAAAAGGAAAAAAACTTTTGAAACGTCATCATTCCAGTGTTCAATGTTGTTCTGAGTGAACTCACAATTGAGAGTTTATGTTTTCCTCCATTGATTTAAAACTGTAGTAGCTTTTGTGTTATGTAATAATCTTGTTCCTTTGGAATTTTGGAAAACTATTCACCTGCTTCATTTTTAGCCGTGATTTTCCGGTTCCAACAAGTGCTTCCACAAAGAGTTCTTGTTCATTCAGTGCCGCTATTACCGGCCACGATTCGAAACCGGTGTTTGTTTAAACCGGAATCTCGAATTCAACAGTAGTTTTTTCAGTAGCTAATAGCTAAGTTAACTTTTTGTTCCAGTCTCGAACTATTTTTTTACGTCTTGATCAACTTTGTAGAAAGCGAATATATAATTTCCTCCACCAAGTGGATGATACTAGTGGTTTTGAATTCAAGGAGATGATAATGTCCATGTAAGATGTGTCTGCCACGCATCGTACACGTGTCAGCTAGTTCCCACTCTTCTTTAAGTCAGAAATCCTTTAGTTCAAGTAAATAAAAAAAGATCAGATAATCTGTTATGGATTTTGAGTTTTCCGTTTTAAATAATCTCCGAGGTTATCTCCTCGTTACGTTTGACATGGATCGTTATACTCAACAGACAAAACTACGACATCATATTTTGTCATGTTTTTGTTTTTTTCATCTTTTCTATAACCGTTTTATGTTCTAAACGAAAGGAAAATGTGATATATCTCTAAGAATTAATTAAATTGTCAATAGATAGACAAGATAAGCTGGTTGGGAAATCAATAACTTCGGTGGGAAGCATGCTAAAATATCTCACTACAGATTTCACTAGTTTAATCGAATCTACTACCTAAATCAGTGGGCGCTAAACAAACAAAGGTCGATGGGATTGGTTTAAAATTCTTAAATTATATGAACTTGGACCGAAATAAAATAATAAAAAAAGTTGATTTTCTTGAGGATAAGAATTATCTAGATGAGTTGCACACTTTCATGGATCACTATATATAGAAAAATGTTAACACAACTCCAACACATCTACTAAACAGAGAAATTAAAAAGACTACTGCAAAAGATAAAGAAATATCAAATGGGTTCTTTAATGTCAGGATGGGACTCTCCAACAAAGGATCCCAACTCAGGTAATCAATATAATCATGCGTACATGTAAAGATTAATTGTCATGCGTTGATACATATACAGACCTATACCATTGTAACATGATGAAACTGAAAATTCACAGTGAGAAGGTGCAAGTCGCTAACAAGAGAAGAAATCGACGCTTTCTGGAAGACAAAGAAGAAGACTGAAGAAGAACATGTTCAAGCAGTTTCCAAGTTGGTAGCTCAGGTTAAGACCAAACTATCTATTTATTCAAGCTTCACTTTAGTTACTTAAAAATAGAAATTCGTCAGCGAGTGGTTTTTTGGTGAAAAAAAGAATGATCTAAAGAAGCCTATAAATTTGTTCGCAGGAAGTTGCGGAAAACCAAGGTCAAGAGGAGAAGAGTGTAGAAGATGCTTATGAAAACCAAAGCAGGAAGAGTGGATGGTAATATATCTTTGAAATTCAATATAGTCTCTTATAACCTTTTGAGATTTATAAAATAAAAAAGTTGAATTGATGTGTGTTGTTAGGTGGAGAAGAAGCAACTGGGCGTTTTTGAATGAGCCGAGGGAGGAAGAGGGTCGACCCAACAATTACGTTCCGCAGTTCCAAGTGGCTCACATCGCCAAAATCGCGGGCTAGTAATGATCGCTATAGTCACCGGCTAATCACATGTCATCAGGGTGAATTATGATTTTAGTTATTAGTGGTCGTTTTGGTACCGGGTGTATACATGTTATATATGATATGATGGTTGCGTTAATATGTGAGAATGTGTGTTTTATCTGAGAAATGACATGTGCATGTATATTTTCTTGTTTTTGTTGTGAGGGAGTGTATACTGTATGTTTTTGATAAGCGTTACTCATCACTATGGTTTGGTTAGTAATGGGACTCTCTTTTTATGTTATCGACTTCCCCACTGTTAATATCCATTTCAGACTTAAAAATTTTAAAAAATTACCATGTTACATATAATCAGGAATCTTCGTCAACATCTTTGTCCATTTTTTAAAACCACTTTGTGTTTTGAAAGACGTGAATCGTTGGGGAAAATTCAAAGCCAACTAGTCAACTACCACCACTTAAAGACACTTTGTGGTCAAAATAAGGCAGCTCAGATAAGACTAGGTACATCGGTAACTTCACGTTAAATCCCGTGACCAAAAACGTCTACAATAAATAATGCGTCGTCGGTTCGTTTTCTTATTAAATAATCCTCCGAAACTCAAAAAAAATTCAACGGAAAAGAAGAAGCGGAGAGAAAAGATGACGAGCAAGATTCTGGTGATCGGGGCGACAGGTTACATAGGAAAAGTCTTCGTGGAGGGAAGCGTCAAGTCTGGCCACGCCACTTTCGCTCTGGTCAGAGAATCCTCTCTCACCGATCCTGTTAAGGCCAAACTCGTCGAGAGTTTCAAAGATCTTGGCGTCACCATACTCTACGTACGTTGACTATTAAACCCCTTGTATAAAACCCCGTTGACCTGCTTTCGCTTTTACACTGCTCTTCTAAGCTTTGCATAAATATGGTGTTTTTTTTTTCGATCTTTGTTGATTAGAGTCTGATGATTCTTGTTGTAATAACAAACAGGGAAGCTTAAATGAGAAAGAGAGCTTGGTGAAAGCTATTAAACACGTAGATGTCGTGATTTCTGCTGTTGGTCGGACCCAGATTCTAGATCAGGTCAATATCATCGACGCTATCAAAGAAGCTGGAAATGTCAAGGTCCGTTTCTCAACCTCTTTTTTTTTCTGTACATATATTTTTGAATTAACAGGAGGTTGTGGATTAAAGATCTACACTCCATTGTCCTTAACCACAACATGTAATATTAGTTTTGTCCGAATGTAACCACACTTGTTTGAATAGAAGATCTGTAGTCCCAAACCACAACATGTAATATTAATTTTGTCCTAATGTCACTTAGGCCTCGATTGGTACAGCAGATGATAAAGCAGTAGCAGTATGCTGCAGAAGCACTATACTACAAAAGTTGTATGCTTTCATTAAAGTTTTTAATAAAGTGATTGGCAGAGCATTAGCAGTATACGATTTTAAAATTGTCATAAAAGTTAGTAAAATAATATATTTATTTTAAAATAATATATATATATATAATATAGATTAATAATATATAATTTTATTAAAAATAAATTTTCATTATATAAATTAGATTTAATTTTTTTATTTTTTTTAAAATATTAATTTGTTTTTGGATATAACATATTACTCATATATAAAATTATAGTTATAATTTAATTAATTATTATTAAATTATAATTATTATTAAATAAATAAATAAATTAATTATATTTTATATATAAATTAATTAGAATTTTTATATAAATTATTATTATTTATGTATTGGTAGAGCACTAAATTACTTATATATAAAATTATCATAAAATTAATATATAATTTATTTATTAGTGTCTAAATAATATGTTTATTTTGATAATATATAAATTATATTATGTTATGTTTTTTATTAAAAATAATGAATGATATATGGAATTATATAAATTATATTTTAAATGTGAAATATTGTTCTTTTAAAAAAAATTATAATTTTTATTTTTATTTTTTAAAATATAAATTTATATTTAATTATAAAAATATTGTTTATATTTTTAAACAAATATAAATTAATTATATATAAATATTATTAAGTTTTATATTTTCTATATGTAAATGCTCTCCTAAAAGCTCTATATGAGAGCATTGAGCAAAGAGCATTTGGAGAGCATTTGCATTTGGTAAATGCTTTTCTAAATGCTTCTTTGCCAAATGTTGATTGGATAATAGAGAGCATAATGCTTATGCTAATACTCTACCAATTAACCCCTTAATCTTGTGACTCTAGACTTTGTTTATAGTAATTTTTCAAGTTGAATTGATCGACACTTTGTTTATAGACATATACATTACATTCATATTTTTCGACAGGATCAAGAACATGCTCAATGGATATTAGAACTAATCTTTCTTTTCGTCATACAGAGATTCTTACCTTCGGAATATGGCAACGACGTGGACCGTACGTTAGCCATTGAACCGGCGCTATCGGAATTCATCATGAAAGCTCAGATACGTCGTGCTATAGAAGCCGCGGAGATACCTTATACGTATGTTGTCACGGGTTGCTTTGCTGGTTTTTTCGTACCTAGTTTGGGTCAGTGTCACTTGCGTCTCAAGTCTCCTCCTACTGATAAAGTTTCCATCTACGACAGTGGCAATGCCAAAGGTACTCGATACAGCGCTTTAATCGTGGCTCTCAGTTCAGTATAGGTAATGATACTGTAATTCATTTTTGGTGTAGCTATTATCAACACTGAAGAAGACATTGTTGCATATACAATGAAAACTGTTGATGACCCGAGAACACTTAACAAGATCCTCTACATCCACCCGTCCAAGAATATTGTCTCGCAGAACGATATGGTCAGTTTGTGGGAGAGAAAGATCGGTAAGACTTTGGAGAAGACTTATGTTTCAGAGGAAGAACTTCTCAAAAGCATCCAAGGTGAGATCACTTTTACCAAAAGTAGTAATCTAATAGTAGTAATCAGCCAAAAGTATTACTAAAAGTCTTTAATTTCACTTGTGCAGAGGCTGAACCTCCAATGGATTTTGTGATGGGATTGATCCATATGGTACTAGTGCAAGGTGACCTTACCTCCTTCACTATAGACCCTTCTGTTGGAGTCGAGGCTTCCGAACTTTACCCTGATGTCAACTACATGAGCGTCGATGAGTTTCTCAACCAGTTTGTTTGAGAACAAACAACATCCTTTTATCTCCCATGTACTGTTTTAATAATCTGAGATCATTTTAGACGCTAATTATATCTCAAAAAGAGCCTTATTTGATTGATAAATTTGATACAACACAAAACATAACAGGTCCAAGAACATTATTTTACTAATAGACAACATAAACCTTGAACCACATCATACATCACACAACAGATGGAACTAGTAGTTTTTCTTTTAGGGGTTAACCTTATGTTCCCATCCTGCAATCACATACTTCTCCTCAGTCTTCGTTTTCTCAAACGAGTCAAGAGAGAACAAAGCTTTCATGTATCCATGAACATGTGGCAAGCTCTCAGGGACAGACCAGCTTTTGTAGTGACCAAGAGCGACCTTGAGATGGTAAAGCTTTGGTGCTAAGCTTAGATCCACCGCACTGACTTTCCCACCGGCGATGAAAGGACCGTCATGAGTCTTGAGATGAGTCTCAAGAGCTTCAAGCTCATCAAGCAGGGCCTTCTCTGATCCGTCGCTGGAGTCTTTGCTCTTCAAGAAAGTCACGAAAGTGCTGAAGATTTTGGATCCAACGGAGGCAAACTCAGGAGGGGTTTTGAGAGATGGCTCGGGGTACTTCTCCTCGAGAATGCTGGTGATGACGTCGGAATCAGATACCCACTTGTCGTCCTTTTTGAGGACTGGTACTTTCCCTTCAGGACTAATGGCTAAGAACCTATATAAACCAAAGACAGCTTTTGGTTAAGACAATGGTCAACAGTTATAAATCTAGCGACAAAGAACTCTTTTTTTTTAGACAAAGTTAAAAAAAAAACGGATGAACAAGTGAAACAAGCTTAGATCGATTTAAGGTTATGGGGGGTGAGAGAAACTGACCATTGAGGTTTGTCGGAGATGTTAATCAGATGCATTTTGTAGGGCAGCTTCTTCTCCTCCAGGGTGAGAAGAACCCTTTGGCTGAAAGGGCCTGAGAAACGACAAAACCACTTGGTCTTATAAATTTACTTCATAAAAAGAAATCAGAATTTGCAAAATCAAAGCTTAACGCTTGACATAAAAAGAAAGGGAGAAAAAGTTACAGTCGCCGAGAACATCAGGGGCACCAACGGCGGCTTTCACGCAGACTTCAAGAGCCATCTTTTACCTTCTTTTTTTTTTTGGTTGTAGCGATGGAATAATCATTGAGTTAAGCAGTGCTTTTAAATAGAGTTGCTCTCACAGACACACACACACTCCCTCTTTAGTGGTTCAACTAAACCAGTGGTCCACATTGCCGAACCTTTGAGAAGGACAATGTTATCTTTTTCCACGTGTTGTGCGTGGCAAGATACGATAATATGAAGCTTTGAATCGTGTCGGTAAGGCTATCAACTTAACCACAACACTAATGCTAAATACAGATTACAGTTACTAATTGAATGAATAAATTCGATTTAGCGTAACAATTAGTCCTTCATTTCTTTAAAGAACATATCCGGTTAGATTCAGAAAATTATCCACAGGTTTTCATTTGATTTATTAGACATAGCGGTTTTTGCTTGAACCAGAATAAACCAATCTAATTGTCACCGAGTCCTTGCCTGTTAACTGTAGCTTTAGGAAGGTGAAGGCGACACAATGGGAACCCTAGGCAGAGCATTTTCCACCGTCGGATTTTGTATCCGTGAGACCGGTCAGGCTCTCTATTCACTCTTTAGAATTCATACTCAGCTCTGCTGATTAGGTTAGAGATCTGGAACTGATATTTTTTTGTAGGTAATGGTGATTCTAGTACTTGATTAGCACAATGGATAAACTTTTATTATAAGAGTGTGTTTGTTCATATGTAACTGTGGCTATCTCTGTAGTATCAAGGCATCGGACACTGATGAATGTGTTTGATAAGGCTCCGATTGTGGATAAGTAAAGGATCATCTTTTTGGTATGGATGCGTACTATGAGGAGAGCAAGTTTCTAAGCTTCACTGTTTGGATGTTTGATTGACTGATTTGATTTCTTATATTGTGACCGAAGTTTTGTTTGGGATATATATCTGTATCCTTAGATAAGTCAACTGAGTAGTGAAGAAATGTATGCTCTTTAGTCTTCTTTTATGGTTTAGTGATGAATAAGAAGAGTATCAGACTGCTCAATGTTATGCTACAGTTATACTACGTCGTCTCTTGATGAAACGTATGAGTACATAATTTTCTCGAATTTGAGTTCGATCTTCAGTGCAAGTGTGAGTTATTTCTTCTTCTTTTTTTTGTGGTGCCTTTCTATAGGTTATATGGTTTTGGGCTTAGGTTGTCCTTCGTACGGAATGCTGTTATGTCACTGAGCATTGTTACTTTATGGTAAGCCTATTACTTTTTACCTTGAAACAGTGGACTAACGTACAGTTTTTTCTTGCTCTTTTTTATTCTCTGCGCAGGGATGTGAACACCATTATTGTTGGATCAGGAACTAATATTCAGGACAACTCACTTGTGCATATGGCAATATCAAACTTAAGCGGGAAAGTGCCACCAACCATCATCGGAGACAATGTAACCATTGGTTAGTGGGAATCTCTTGCTGTTTGTTTTGCAATTGTCTGATATTCATGCATGTCCGCCAAGCATTTGAGATACTGTTTTAAACTAGATCTGTAACCGGTCATAGTGTTGTTTTTACATAGATGCACTGTTGAGGATGATGCCTTATCGGGATGGGTGCAACACTTCTTGACGGTGTGGGCGTTGAAAAGCATGGCTTGGTTGCTTTGCGACAAAACACTAGAATTCCTTCTGGAGAGGTATACTTTTGCATTATCTGAAGACCCATAAGCTCATTTGTGCCGACATACTTCTATTGCTACTTAGTCAGCATAGCTTATATCAATAACAATGCCGTTTCTTATAATGACAATCACCTCTAATTCTGAGATAATAGAAGATTAGATGCGAAGTTGAAATACAGTTTTTAGTCTATGAATTCTTCTCCTCTGTCTGGATAAAACATAATTTATCCACCTTTTTGATGAAGTAATAGAAGTTCAACCATCATTTGAAGACTTAAGCTTATGGTCAATTTGGTGAAAGTGCATCCAAACACTTAGGAATATTACGGTTTGCTAGCATGTGAACAGCCATATATTTACGGATAGATTTAACATTTATTTAACATATTGGTCTATAATGAATCAGATATGGGGAGGAAACCCATCAAAGTTCCTCAGGAAGCTCCGTAATAAGGAAATTGATTTTTTTTCCCCCAAAGTCAGCTGAAAAGTATTCAAACCTGGAGAAGGTTCACGCTGCAGAGAATGCAAAGCCACAAAATGCGATCGAGTTCGAGAAGGGTCTACGCAAGAGGTATGCTAAAAAAAGACGAGGAATATGACTCAATGCTTGGTATTGTGAGAGAAACTCCACCGGAGCCTTAACTCCCTAACAACATAGAGCCTGATAAAGAAAGCCATGCGTCCTTCAAATGTAAACTGATTTTTCGGTGGTATGCTTTCTGATCGAAACCTTAATAATTGTGAGATGTCTCAATAAGATTATGTTTCGATCTCTGGTTTGAATAAATGGCAGGTAGAGTATATTAGAGTAGACTAAATATCCAGCTTTTGCTCGATTTTTCTTCATCTTTTCTTAGGGAATGGGTCTTGTCAGGAGGAAAAACTTTGGATGCTATTACTTTGGTTGTTTGAAAATAAGAATCAATGTTATGAAACATGAGGAGTGAGTGAGTGATTAATAATAGACTGATATGCATGTGCAAGCTCATGTGCGCCTATGTTGCTATGAAGAATAAAGATCCAACCCTTGGATACATTTTATATAATTTCTACAAAATTATTAGTGGGGTTGATGGTATTGGTACCGTGAATTACGCTTGCTTGGTCGTCTTTGTGTGAATAAATCAAATCTTGTATCGTGTATCTTTTATTATGATTCGTCTCTTTCTTTTTGTCAAACGGCCTTTCTTTTCTTGAAATAAGTATCTATTTTGCTTAAAATTTTGTCTTTGCTTTCCATCTTTCCGTTGCAGTTTCTGCAGGAATCATAACAAAATGTTCAGCCACTATAACATTGATTAATTGATTGTTTGCGTACGTACAAAGTGGTAAAGGTATGATGACACTGATGAGTCTAGCATATTATTTATAATCCATAGCTGATATAATATCTTAAGCAAAAGTAAACCATAGGTTTGCATATGAGAACATATTAAACATGAAAAAGCACTTTTAATTTTATAAAAAAAAAAGTAGCAAATTGTTATCTTCCTTTTCTTATATGCGGCGCCAAATGCAATGCACACTCAATGACACGAGTGAATATCATTCAGGGAAACAAATCAAAGGAAAAAAACGTTAGCTATCACTCTAATGTATACATAAAAATTAAAAAAATTATTTAATTATGTAAATTTTAAAAATAAAAACACAATTACATATCTATCTAATCATATTTTGACTAAATAAAAAATAGATAAAATTAATAAATTATACATTAAAATTATAAGAATACTTATTTTAAAATAATTTTTTTTAAAACGAGAAATAAAATAGAACCGATTGGAGTATTGATTATTATTTGTAGGGATAATTTCGTAAAACACCACATATCATCTTCCTCGCCTATAATCTCGTCTCCACCACCGAGTATATAAACCAAGACGTAGCCAAACCAAAAATATCGGAAAGGCCTTACAGAGCGCACACAAAGAGATAGAAAGAGATCTCAGAGAATGGTAGCGGAGGCCTTACCCGAAGCTCCAGTGGTACTCGGACTCCAACCAGCAGCTCTTATCGACAACGTCGCTCCCGTTGATTGGTCCTTACTCGATCAGATTCCCGGTGATCGTGGTGGCTCCATTCCCGTAAGCTTACAATCCAAATCCTTCCTTTTTTAAGTGTTATTATACTCAGAAATCGGAATCTCTCGATTCAAAATTGTTTGCTATTGAATTTGATGGAATTATCTCTTTTTTTTTGTGTGTGTAGGTGCAAAAGGATGAGTTAGAGCAGATACTAAAAGAGCTTAACACGCATATCACTGCGGCTCCGTTAAAGAAGATGGCTGGAGGGAGTGTGGCTAATACTGTTCGAGGATTGAGTGTTGGCTTCGGTGTGGCTACTGGGATCATTGGGGCTTATGGAGACGATGAGCAAGGGCAGTTATTTGTGAGGAATATGGGGTTTAGTGGTGTTAGTATCTCGAGGTTGAGGAAGAAGAGAGGTTCCACTGGGCAGGTTTTATTTTCTGCTCTCAACTGTTGGGTTGTGCGTTTTGATGCTTCTTTTAAAATGGTTTTTTTTGTTTCTTTTTTTAGTGTGTTTGCTTGGTTGATGACTCTGGTAATCGAACAATGCGTCCATGTCTCTCGAGTGCTGTCAAGATTCAGGTTTGTTTATTCTCGTTTTTTGAGGAATTTGTTGTTATAGTGAATGATGGTAAAAGCTAATTCTCTTTTTTCAGGCTGATGAATTAAGCAAAGAAGATTTCACTGGCTCTAAGGTTGGTAGCTAGCTCCCTCTGTTCTTTCTTTGTCAATAGCAAGCATTGTAAAATAACGATGTTGATGGTCTTGCTCTGTTACAGTGGTTGGTCCTAAGATATGCAGTTTTTAACTTAGAAGTAATTAAAGCAGCTATTGGATTTGCCAAGCAAGAAGGTCTTTCTGTTTCTTTGGATTTAGCTAGTTTTGAGGTAAGCTACCATAAATGCCCCCCATCTCAGATATGATCTGTGTCTTTACAAATGATTAAGCATTTGAGATTTTCTTGTTTTGAATTAAAAAGATATAAACATTCTTGGGATTAGATGGTCAGGAATTATAGATCAGAGCTGAGACAGCTTCTGGAGTCTGGTAACATAGATCTTTGCTTTGCTAACGAGGATGAAGCAGCAGAGCTGCTAAGGTAATACGATGTTTATATCTCCCATGCAAAGATTTACTCTGTTTCTTTTTTCCTCCACATTTGCTTAAAGTCCACAATAGACTCTTACACTCTAGATTATGAGTTTCAGGGGTGAGCAAGAAGCCGGCCCAGAGGCTGCTCTTGAGTTCCTAAGCAGACATTGCAGTTGGGCTGTGGTAACTTTAGGGTCTAAAGGGTGCATTGCAAAACATGACAAAGAGGTTTGCCTTTTGGAAATAAACTCAGTAGCTTTACGTTTTACTTATACTTAACTCTTTTCGCTTGCTTGTGATGAAAATTTGGCCATACAACGCCTTAGTTCAACTTGTGATATAAGAGCTAGAATCTCTGGTGTTTAATGACCTCTAACCTTTTTTTTTCCCAAAATCTCAGTTTTTTGTTAGATTCTGGCTGAACTGAAGGATTCTAAAGTTCATAACAATCAGTGTTTTCATCTCGCAATCTGAACAGGTGGTACAAGTACCAGCCATAGGAGAGACGGTAGCCACTGATGCCACTGGAGCAGGTGACCTATTCGCAAGCGGGTTTCTGTATGGATTAATTAAGGGATTGCCTTTGGAAGAGTGTTGCAAAATGGGATCATGCAGTGGGGGATCTGTCATCCGTGCTCTTGGAGGAGAAGTAACCCCAGAGAACTGGCAATGGATGCATAAACAGTTGCAGTTGAAGGACTTACCTGTTCCTGACTTTCGCAACTGATGATTAACGGCAGACTCTGGGATGTCTTTTGGCTTCAAATTTCAAGCAATATCGCCTATAAAAGGGCCGTGTCATATTTGAATTGCTCTTAAGCTTTATGTTCTTCACTGAGAATCTTTCACCATCCATTGTATCTGTACTTAAGTCTCACTTTAATTCAGTACACAATTGGTTGTTTTCAAGTTTATGCGGAAAAGAGGAGAAGGGCTTTTTATAAGGGTTTGAGTTTTTCTTGTGGGTGGCTCTCAAGGATCAATTTTGGGCTACCGGGCCGAAAGGAAACATGAAAACAGAGAGATTTAATTAGTCCATTTGCCTGAAAATAGTTTTTACAAAGTGAATTTCTAAGTTTGACATAATTGAGACACTAGCAGGGTGAATCCTATATGAGCTTCAGTCCTTAGAGGTGAAACATGGCAGCATTAACAATGGATAGAGCTTGTGCTCGTAATCTGATTTCATTTGTGAATTTCTAACGATAGATTTTATCACTAGACATGTATAGTGGTAGCTCCCAAGCACAAACTGAATTTTATCATATACTATATGAGTTGCAACAGAACAAGCGAAGACGAGACTTGAAGAAGATTCAGAGAATTCTTTGACATCAACGACTTGCACATATGTGTGTTGTTTGTTCAGATGTTATGTTTGCACAAAAATTGTGAACTTTAAAAACGATAGATGCAGATGAAACAAACAAACAAAAAAGTAAAATTTTTAAAAGCAGATTTGCGGAAGTCTATCTATGGTTGTGAGAACATGTTTGATATTTTTTCATACAGCCTAAAATTTGAACCTAGACACGTCTGGTACCTGAGCTGGACCACCCATATTATATAGTGTGATTATGCAAAAAAAAAAATTATGTAGTATTTAAGTGAAGGTTGTTTGAACGAAATTGTATGGTGGTCAAATCAGACTATTAATTAATCACTTATGATCATCTTTTGTCAACATCTAATTATTTCCTTCATATCGTGGAAAGTTATGTTTAAATAAGAATGTTGTGAACTTATGATTACAACAGAAAAAATTGATAACTAGTTTTCTCTGGATCTCTGAACTATCCCGAACACTTCATCTCCTCCTATAATCTCATCTTGAAGGTTGTGAGTATCAGCCATGGCGGCGGTGATGATGTTGGACAACCAATCAAACATATTTTTTTTTACTTCAACATATATGATATATATTATATATTGTGCAAACTTTAAATTATTAAGGAGCTTACAAAAGTGTGTGAATATGCTTTATAGTTTATAATTCTATAGATAATCTATTCTATTAAAACAGAAATACAAAATAATATTTATTTAAAATTATTTTTTACAGATTCTTATTACAGTTCATTTATTATTTTTCTCTAAATAATAACTTCATTTTAATTATTTTATTTATTCTCTTCATTTCATTTATCGTCTTGCCTAAATATGAAATCTGTATGAATTCAAATGTGATATATAGAAACCTTAAAATAATCAAAACTAATATATCCAAAAATTCATATAATTACATTAAAAATAACCATATTAGCTGATTCGGTTCAACTATTTTAAAATAACCTAAAAACAAATAAGAAAAAGTAATCATATTATCTAATTTGATTCAGCTTTAGATTTTAATGTATAACAACTTAAAAATATTACTAAATTATATAATGATACATAAAATATATAACACTAATTATGAAAAACAAAATATCAATTTAAAAAAATATAAAATTTAACACCCGCATGGACGGATCAATCTCTAGTTAATGTTCTTAACTACTATAGTATTTTGTTAGATGACGTTGCTTTCTTTCTTTTTTAAAACATTTGCTAGAGATCACGTTATTACTTTATAGAAACTCAAAACTATATGACACATTAATTACTTGATGCAAAAGAAATTTTTGACTTAAGGAAAAGAATCAAAGAAAAAGCAAGCTTGCTATAAAATGACCACTCTAGTTTCAAGGCACATATCTACAGCCGAATCTATATTGAGATGTTCATTAAATATTGAGCGTCTTTTCATATCGGAAATTTTTCTATATCCATAGAGGTACTCTTTCTATAAACTGAGCGTATCTGTCAGAGTAGTCAGTACATCTCTTTTCTCCAACATAATATTTTCTTCACCCATAGAAAATTGTAACATTTCCTTCATTAACTCTCCCACTTTCCCCTTCAAATTCCCCTATAAAATTTATCATATATCCTCACTTTCCCGTTTTTATTTGCCCGGAACCCTAGATTTTATGACATATATACACACCATAACCAGCCTCACGAATCCTATATACTAACAAAACAATGGAGGCGGATAAGAGACATGATGACAACACGTTTAGCTTACATAATATTTTATTCGTCGTCCAAGTCTCAGCTGCACTAGCAGTCGCCGGTTACTGTGGCTACCCGACGATGGTTAGTTTAATTGAAGGATTCATCATTTGGTTCGATTGGTTCCGTTTCGTTCTTAGAAACATTTTCTTCATTTTCATCATCCTTAACGTTCTCATCGGTTCCATATACTTCACTTTCCACAAAGCCACCGAAAAAAAGAAACCTAGTCTCAGTGATGAATATATCACCCCCGAACCCACTGTTATCTCTTCTTTCTCGGAGCCGATGGAGGTTAGAGATTATTATGGTGGTGGAGGATATCATAGTAACTCGAGTTACGTGGAGAGTGTGCAACCGTTTCAAACGGTTAATACGGTTGAGGAGAGTAGCTGTTATGAAAGGGTGGTGATGGAGACGAACTCTAAGGGTTGCAAGAGGACGATGAGGTCGGAGAAGAAGATGAGGAAGATGAAGTCGTCGACGACGACGGTGGAGTATCATCATCAAAGGAAGGAGTCGGAGAGAGTGATGAAAACGGCGTCGTGCAGGTGGCAGGCGATGATGGATGAGATGAGCAGCGAGGAGTTTCGTATGACGCTTGATACTTTTATCATGGAAAGAAAGAAAATGTATGGCTGGCAAAACGGCGTCGTGGACCAATGTCAAAACGGTTTTCCTCAGTTGCGAAAGGACGGCGTTTACCAGTGGCAAAACGGTTTCCCTCAGTTGCAAAACGGCGGCGTACACCAGTGGCAAAACGGTTTCCCTCAGTTGCAAAACGGCGGCGTTTACCAGTGGCAAAATGGAGGTTTTCCTCAGTTGCAAAATGGAGGTTTTAACCAGTGGCAAGGGCAGCCTGATTACGATGGGACTGGTGGTCGTAGGCTCGTGGGTGGTTCTGGCTGTACTAGTCATGATCCGTACTTAGCTATTTCGAATTAGAGCGAGGCGACTATGTATTAGAAGTAACAGAAAAGAAAATAACCTGAATTTGATTTCTATTTGGAGGATTTATAGTTTTTATTGTAGTTTATGTTTCAAATCTTAATTTTGGTTGTTTTCTACGGCCAGTAATTCTAATATAGATGAAAGGTTGGTATATTCTTGACATAAAAACCATCTTATTAACTGGACGTTCCATACTCGCTATACAAATAAAATGAAAACGAGCAAGAATGTGAAGAGAATTCAAGTAAAAAACATTGTTTTAAGGAGCAATGTTTAGCAAAAATGTGTGCCACTCTATTTGCGTCTTGAAGGATACTCTGTTTAGAGGATGCCACTTATTGACTAGTTATTGTTCAAAATGGTTATATAATATTTTGGTTTACTAAAAGCACGCCAGTCAAATTGTCCATCTATTTTGTTTTCAGAGTTTAGAAAACTAGCCATTATATATTTTGCTGATGGAAATACCGTTTGAGAGATTAAGCCATCAGTGCATGCACATTATGAAATTAACATGTTCGTTATTATCAAAGATTCTATAATCTTTTTTGCATAGTTGATTCGATGCATGAATATAAAAAGGATAGAGCACATTCTTAAATTTAATACTGGACATATCAGTTATTTAAAATAAATTGTTCCACTACAATTAGCTTGAGTAGTATACTTTGAGCATCCTTGTCAAAGTTTGGTCTCTCATATTATCTCACTGTTTCGTTTTTTTTTTAGTTTAAAAGAGCACCATTTGCTCGTGCTCTTAAACAACAAACTAAGTTTATTTTTGTAAAAAGCATATAAAAAGCATATGCTTTTATTTTAAATTTAAATCACACATTTTTGTTTTTGAAGCAAATGACATTACATATGCTTCATATATTAAAGAGTACTAAATCATGTCATTATAGGTCCAAAAACATATGTTATAACATGATCAAACCATTCTCACGAGCGAAACAATAATAAGAGCGTATCGAGGCGAGCTCACATACAAGAATTCTCCCACTATCTTTGCATACCTTTCAAAAAGTTCGTCCATCACGTTTTGACCAAATGTAGGTTCAAGCATCGGCTCTACCACGGCTCGTATTGTCTTAGCCACTCCTCGTCCAATAGCTAGAGCTTGGGGTTTGGAGCGTAATATGTCATAGCTTTTATCGCTGATACTCCCACCTTCCCAATCAACCGGAGTTATCTCAAGTCTATCAATCGAAAATGAACCTTCTTTGCCTATCGCATTTTTCAACTCTTCAGAGCTCGCAGCATAGTAAGGAGCGTTGAAAGCATCGATATTTTCTTCTTCGATGATACCCTTTAGATTAAGAACATAAAACGAGGGAACCTTTTAGTTATGACTTATTGAGTACTATTAAACTTGATTTGGCTTATATTATTTGTTGATCCAGTAATCATATGGGTTGGCTAGTTCTTCCAATAATCGAAGATCTTGTTGTATTAGACCAAAGATTTACATTAGTTTGATCATATATCTAAAAAACTTAGGAACTAGTCTTGAATGGGCTTTGAGAACAATCCAGGCTACATTAATTGAGATATAAAGTGATTTTCGTCATCAATCTACTTGATTTCTAATATAGTTTGGATGTATCTACTGTTTGGCATTACCAAACAAAACATATATGGTATCAAAACTATGTCTGTGTATATGATATTTATCAGTTTACATAAATTGGGTAAACTGAAACATTTGAGACTACTCAACAAATTTGGAAAATAACACATGGGTCCATATTACCAAGGATAACTTAATTGGTCAAGTAACGTGCCACGGTCAGATCCCTATAGAGTAATATGGGCCATATATATCCCCACGGTCTAATTATATGTAAAAATATTTACAACACTATACCTCACTGGCCATGGACATAAGCGCTTGAGCAAGGAGCTCCCATTGAAAGCAAGCTTCTTCAATTGTAGGATCCGGTGAGCTTCTACCGAGGAACGATAAAACCATTCGGCCTCCAGGAACCAACTCCTCGGATCGCGATCTCAGAAACTCCGAGAAATCGGTTTGGAATTGAAGAGCATAGGCCTTTTGTGTACTCTCAGGACTTGTCTTCGATATGTATATCTTCCCCCTGTTGTCTAGATTAGCTGTTATGAGCACCCCATCTTCGTTGTTCACCTCACCACATGGAACCTTGTAAATGGATGGTACTTTCATTTGTTAGCATGTACTGATTACCATGTGTAATTTTAGTGAAATGAAACAATTATTTTCTAGTCTGATGTATGATGTGTCATGTGAGAACTACTAATTTTTTTAGATGAAACAATATAATTTTTGTTTGAATTCTCCAGTAAGAAAGATTCCCACGCACTAGATTTCTCTTAATAAAAGGTATATTAGTTGCGTAAATATTTTCCTGGTGCTCGTGAAAGTTGTTTCTTAGTATAGATATTTATTTTAGCCTAAAAAAATATAGATATTTATTTTAGCCTAAGAAAATATAGATATTTATTTTAGCCTAAAAATATTGATATTTATTAAAAAGAATAATTAAATATAAGTGGTGTTTGAAAAAAAAAGAAGAATAAATAATTTTGTAAGTACGATTATCCAGTCATAAGAGTATACTATTAGATTTCATTTAACAATTCAATGTTCAGATTGTAAGTTGGCAAATGGCGTTAATTTTTTTTTTGAAGCAATTAGTTACGTAACACATACCCGTAAAAATACTTTGCATATTATAATGAAAATGAATCTCTCGATATATGCGCATTGCTTATATTTGGCAAAAAAAAAAACATACTCGTAAATATCATATATTCATAAGTAAAATCCCGCATAGAGAAACCGAAACCACACCTGAGACAACCAGTGTAAACTAGAAGAAGAATGAACAAAGTGAAGGCTCCGGCGAGGAAACAAACGTCCGTAGAAAGATCCAGGAACCGCCGACACAAAACACGGTCCTCCGCCTCCGCGTTGAAACCCTAAACCCGCCTTGTTATTATTTTCTCTCTTCTTCAGCCGGTCGTAAAACTCTGGCAAAGAAGCAAAGATATAGTTGAAGTCATTGCTAGGAAGGTCGTTGAGAGAGACTCTTAGCTCAGGGACAGGACGGTCGAGGTCAGGACACAAATTTTGGATTGTGTCTACGATGTTGGAGATGGACAATAGACTGTTGGGACCGGAAGAGCAGCCTAAGTCGGCGATCCCAAAGCTCGAAATTTCAGAACTGCTCATCATTAGCTTCTTCAAGGCTTCGTCCAATACTCTTCTGCCTAGAGATATAATGTTGCTCTGCGAGTTACATAAACATAATATATATTGTACACATGTGTTATTACATTTTTTTGGTCTAAAAAAATATAAAATATGTAAATGGATTTTGATATAAAACTTAAACCTGAGCGGTGGAGTTTTTGGCATAACTTGTTTCACCGTTTCCCTTGTTCATGTGGAGAATTCGCATCACTTCCATTTCTCACTCTATGTCTCTTTCTAAGGCAGAAGGTTAATGAAGAAAACAAGTGATGTAGGGTCGTTATATATAAGGGAATAGGGTAAGTGTGGTAAAAGAGCAGTACTATAACAGCAACAACGACATGCATCTTATGTACGTTGAGTTTATCTCTCCATAGTGTTCTCTTCTTACGAATATACTCTATATTAAAAAAAATGTTCAAGGTGGTTTCAAAGCATGTGTGCTCGTGACAAGAAAAAAATGTGCGCTTACAAGTCATTCTAGATTTCAACAATTAGTAATATAATATAATTTTATTTCTTGTTCCCAATTATATATTTTTCAGGTGATTTAGAATATATAGTTTACTCTAATATTTTCACAGTCAGATAGAAGTGACTAGGTTTGATACTTAGGTGTTGTTATGATTTCGGATAATATAGATGAAATCAAATAATTTCATTTCCATCAACTGTGTGAAATTAAAGAAAAACTAAATTATAGCGGAAAAAAATTCATTCTTGTTTTGGTTTAAAGAAAAGCAAATAAGAGCATCCACATCGATGAATTTCCTCTTGGGGTTCATTGATTCAATTGTTTATTATTAAAAAGTTTTGATTTTTTTTTTGATTTTTTAAAAAAAAAAAAAAAAAATTGACCAACCGCGGGTCGCCACGTGTTCCAGGACCCGCTCTACAGTGATGAACCGGGTTCACCGCAGAGAGTCTGCAAGAGACAGATTCATCACTATTCCTTATTTTAATATTTTTTTTTAAAAAAAACCGTGTGAACCCCATCTGAACCCCTGATGGGGGTGCTCTAACAAGACTTATGGAAATTTGGTCTCTTTAGGTTGGGCCCGCGCGCTTAGTATTTGTTCCTCTCTTACGTACATGTACAGAATATTGATCGATCATGAATCTATTCTTTGTGCTGTGTTCGTTAGAATAAATATTATCAATCTAATAACCAAAGGTCGAATGTAAATCATGTAATTTTGTATGGACATAACGGTGGAGTCATTAGAAGAAAAGAAGGATATTTCCATTTACACTGTCGATGGTGTAAACGGAAAAATGAAAATTGGTGATAAACTCAAGAAAAATTAAATTAGATGAGTCAATTTTTTTTGTATGTGGAAATATATACCCAAAACATATTCGTGACGCACAACCAAAGGGTGTCCTATTTGGTTTCTTTTGGATATGGAAAACATTTTAAGACTTTAAATTGTGATTATGATAGTCTATTATTGATTAGGTAGGATTAGTCAACAATCAACTTCCATTTCAGGATCAATTTTTACAGTTGACACTAATAAATCTAAGCCATCACGTTTTTGACATGAACTTATTAGGACTTGAAAACAAATTTTACAATTTGAACAAGCAAACAATTAATGATAACTAAAACTTCTTAATCAACGATGTCACAGAACAATGAAGGAATCGTGTTAGTCGATTGGCTGTAAACTTGTGTATAGAAACAGCTAGCGTTAATACTATAAACTAAAACTCGTATATTTTTAGTATCATCATCTTGTAAAGAAAAAAATCAGAACGGATCGATACTGAAATTTCTAGTTAAATATCATATATTAGCAGAAACAAAGAACTAGTTAACAGTTGCTTGATTGATTTTAACTGACGCACCTAAGGATTTGTCTAAATAGACTGCAGACTGCCGTTAAACTTGTATTGCTTAATTCAGATCGGTTTTGTCTTTTCGACCTTTAATGGTAGGCAAGAAAAAAAAACAAATTAGGTCACTTTACCTTTATGTTGTCTTGTATGTGCGTTTATGATACTATATTTTATTTGTAAATAGTGTTAGGGTTTAATAATGTCAACACTACGACGAACCGACCCATCGAGCTTGTTAAAAACTCATGTGATCAGCACAAGACAGAGATCACAACTCCATCCTTGAAAGATACGAGATCCTAATGTAAAGAAAACGAGATGAACTAGGCATATCAAGGTCTCAAATCTAAAAAAACATTGTAATCATACCGAATAAATATCAGAAATAAATATTATGTAAGATTTGTCATTTGACTTTATTTTGCTTGGGCCACAGGGCATACGATTCGTGGAACATCTTGTATTTTCAAAATGACATTTCGAATAATTCCTCTAGAAAAATAAATGTGAGAAAGCATTATTAAAAATTTTGGCACGTTTTTATTTGTTTCACAGTAAAGAGACGGTCTATGGTATTCAGGTATCTAAGAACGAATTAATATAGTATCGAAACTAAGCGTAATATTTTATCTATTGATTTCTTGCAAGCAAAATATCAAGCCATTTTCAACCGTTTCCATAGGTATATTCTAATTTCATTATTATACTATTAAATGAAGATTAAACAAGCAAGTTTTGGTGAACCACGTGGGATTTGCTGCCAAGCAATTTTCTAACGCGAATAGATTGCCAAAAGAGGTAGTAATTTCACGTGAACATTCTGCTTCACGTTCTGACGATGAGCCTCTTTCTCGTTATATAATTGGACATATTTGATCTACTCTAAATTCTTACTTCCGTTGAGCTGTTTATGTTAGCATGTCTTATCAGTCTTTTATATCACGTATTTGTTAAATTCTCTTAAAGAAGTGTTACATATATACATCTATTTAAATAAATAGTAGAAAAGCTAGATTTTTTAAAAAATATGATAGATAAAATATGTCCAGTCACATGGTTAACAGTGGTCATATGCTATTTTATTGCAAGGTTAAATGCATAACAAGTCTTTTTAAAATACGTTATTTAGAAAAGGAAAGAAATTAGAAACTTGTTGAGACTTAGAAAAAAAAACAAAGGATGATTTTGTCTGAATTCTATCTGTTGATGTAATAACTTAAACTCTTAACTAAACATTCCTTGTAAAAAAAACTAGGTATTTCAGTCCGTCGTGGTGTTTCCCCGTTACGATAATTTTATTTTAAAGTATTTCCTATTGAATACGTCACAAATGATAAAAGCTAATATTCCAAGTTAATTATAGATGATTGGGAGGAAAGGACCGAAGTAACTCGTGTTTGCTTACCCGTTTGGTTAGTTCTGACGAGAAAAATGAAACAAAAGAAAAGGGAAAACATGTGCCGGTATGTATTTTGGCACACTTATTTGGACTGATATTACAACCATTCAAAAGTTGATATACTGAAATTAACATCTTTTCAAAACTGATACTAATTACTTAATGAATTAAAATTGGTTAGTTTCATACTTGATTAAATTTAAAAAGTCACTCTTATTGAGAATTATATATATAGCATTGTGCGACTTATTTTACCCCATATATGATTTGGAAAATTTCTTAACTAAATAATTGGAACCAATCTTTTTTGGAATTCAAATATGAACTAAATTATGAAATACTTTGAATAAGTTAGAAACTTATGTACGGAATATATAAACCGATCGAACAAAATAAAGCCAGAATATATAAAATTCAAACCAAACTAAGAAGAATGTATTTCATCAATACTTTTAATTATATATAAAAATTAGAATTTATAATTAAAATAAAACTGACAAATTAGTTATGTATTATTTTTTAGAAAAATAAAATATATAATATAATTTTGAATAAAATTAACTTTTCAGAATCCAAAAAGACTCCAAACCCAAAAGCCTAAACCAAACTAAACCATAATCTTATTTGAATTAAATCTATTTTCTAAAACTTGAATAAAAATCCTTCTAGTATGTTGTATGTGATTGGTTATGAATGAAATATTTAAAATAGTGTCTACAGTGTATTAAAAATGCATTTACCTTAAGTCTCTAATTAATATAACTTATTGAGAATCCTAAAATTTAAAATAATTGCTATTTTAGTGGTTGATTATTTTTTTGTAAAAACCTTTTCCACATGAGAGTTCGACTAACTCTCATTCTAAAATAATTTATTTTTATATGATATAATGATAGCATACTTATGTAATAAACTTATTTTATACAGTTTTAGACTTTTATATTTAGTGAAGATGATATATTATATTATAAGGTAATTTTTAATATATTATATATAAGTTTATTTTAAAAACTTGCCTTAGACTTCTAAAACCCTTCGCAAAATATTCATACGGCGAAAAAACCATTGAATAAAATATTAAATCGAACTGATATGCTCACCCTCTTAACCTGTATTTCGACCAGCTTTCAACTCAAAATCCAGTTTAGCTTCTAAACAAGATTCCAAGGTCATTTTTTGTTGTAGAATTGTGTGTTTTGTTGATGAATATGATTAGAGAGCAAAAAAATGTCTTAAATTCCAACAACCCAAAAGATATAGTTTTGCAAAGTTGAACGATGACAATTGCACTCCTGTCCTGTCCAAATTTGGACTCTAGTATTAAAATATTAATCGAATGATCATATAAATCCTAGTTTTCTTTGCCAATAGATCCGCAATAAGATTATAAGATATGACGTAGTTTTGGGAGGGAGCAAATCGTTGAACGAATTTTCCGCAAGCTTCCATTTGCTTTGTAAAATAAGAATGTGTTTTTATGTTTTTCTATAGTAGATTGCCTTTAGATGAAAATGATAAAATCTATTAGATGATCATAATATCTAACAGTAAACCAACATAATAGTAGACAAAAATCTACGGTTATATCAGGCAAGTGAATCCAACCATTGTACTCCATACTTTATTTAGCTAGCTCTCGTAATCACTGGACGCGAAACATTTAGTACGATTTGGTTGAATTCTAAACCTCACAGTACATAGTCTCTTAATCACGAACCAAACTCCTTGTACTAAACAAAACATCACTACCGTTAAGAAAAAACAGTGGATACAAAGGCGTCGCAACTTAAACGCGTTTTTCTATTGATTTTATTATGGTTGGAAAAATTAATCAGTCTTTCATGTTTGCTAAGTTTGGTATAAATTAGATGGACACTCCACAATCCACATGCCTAATTAGTAGACATCTTGTTATGTCAAACCATGTACTATATCAAGATTCGATTCACATTTTGTTGAAGTTTGGCTGAGCCTAATCGAATGTATCGCAACTCATAGCAAGAAGAAACGGTTGTTGTGTGGCATTGTGATGGATGATTCCTTATTTTAAGAGAAAAAGTGTACTATCATTACAATTAAAAGAGGTTAATAAACTGTACCTGGAACTTGCGACGAATCCTTTGTTTGGTCATATCAACATGCAAATTGTGGATGATTCCACTTTCTATGATTCCACTTTCTTCTAACATGCAGGAACATACATTATGCAATCCATGTCACAATTCACTTGTATTTTTTTTATTGTTTTCCTTTTTTTTTTTTACTTTTGCACTTCCAATATAGCATCAAATGTGGCAAACACCAATTTACAACATTCAATAGTATCATCATGCAGATTCCACAAAGAACTTGAATTAAACTAAAATCTCACTGCAAGTTCCTTCTTATCTTATATACATATATAGTTCCACTGAAACCTTCCCCTATTATCAGAACTTTCTATAACAAGTAAACTTTGCAACTTTGATTCTCTTCACCAGCAGAACTTCTTTCTCTGTATCATATGCACAATCATTAAAACATAGATATTGTAGTGAAAGAGGAGAAAAGTTAACTGCAAAAGGAGACTAACCTTATACTTAGCTTCCTCTTGCCGGTCTATGTAACCCAAAAGTTCTTCTTGCTTCATTAAAGCCTCATGTAATGCCTGCTCAAGACCAATATTTAAGTCATTACAAGGTTCATAACAAGCATCATTGAGAGTTTTAGAGCCACCTCATTAGATGCTTCTACCTTTTTTGTGTTGATGAGCTCTGCTTCTAATGCATCCACGCGATAGACAGCAGTATTGAGCAACTCCTCTTTCTCATGAGGCATCTCGGATTTCCTCAAGTGAAGGGTTTCAATCTGTTTCTCGAGATCGCCTAGTCTGCTCACAACAGACGAAATGATGACTCTTTCATTGATGGTACTCGAAGGAGAAGGCGAAGGAGGACGAGATTCCCTTGTATCTTGTTCATCACACAGTTCATCTCTAGCGCTTGAGGAAATCAACTGTGAGTGCCTCATAGTCTGGGAAGTAAAGACTGCGAAGAAGTTGATGAAGATTGCAGTTATCCACCTCCAGATGTGACTAACACTTCTTATTGTCCACAAACTTGGTGTATGTTCCGGACCTGAAACACATTCCATTAGAGGTCTTGACAATTAAGAAGTATTAACAATTTGGTTTACAGTCTTACCTTTGGAAACAACTGAGATCTCTTGTGACTCCCAAGCAACGTCTACAACTTTGTCCACCATTGGCACACAGTCTTCATACTCGGATAAAACACTAGGACTTACTTTACCATTGGCCTTGATCTAAGATAAGAACATAATTATCATGTCAGGTCCTGTAAGAATTCTACGTTTTTGGTGCAACTTGAACGCTTACATTTTCAGAAACAGGAGTTAACTTAGGTACATGGTTATTGATATTTGTTTTAGGTGAAGCCAACTCTTCTACTTCAGACCCTGACTCTGCTGTTGATGTGTCACTAGCTTTCAACTGAACCAAGAGAGGATATTATTATTACAGTCTGAAAAAATACTTTATGCTCCAACTACCAAAACAAAAACAAAAAGCCTTACCCCATAATATGTTTGCTTATCAGATGAAGATATTTGAGCACCAGCATGCCTACAGAACGTCCCACCACTGCGACCCATCTGCATGAATGCTGAGAAAATCATTAGAATGGTCATATATGCACAAAAAGAACATAAGAAACAATCAAGAAACAATAACTAGACCTTTAGTATCTCAGGGTCTTTCCAAGGCCCTTTATCAGATCTCATACAACCTCCTTGATCTGCACAAGTGCAAGTACCACCTAGAAAATCTGGCAGCTGACTGAAAAATAATTAAATATGTTCAGATGATAGAATTATATTCTGGAGATATATGAAAATAAAAGACTTTAAGACTCTCTACCTTGCATCAATCACCTCAAGTAACTTGTTCTGGTACTTGTTTCCAAGGACCTATTAGGATCACATTGATGCAATTAAGTCTTCTACAAGTAAAAAACAAATGTTGAAGTAGATATCAAGACACAAGGGTTTTAAGTTACATCTATCTTGGAGACAGTCTTTGGGTCAAGAAACGACTTCACAGTGCCCCAAAGTAGCTTAAAACCAGGGCCAGCATTAATGATAAACATACGGTGAAGTGTCTGCACATATATCATAACAATAACACATGTTAGTAAATTATGCTCAAGAGCAGGGTTTTGCTTATAAGATGCAGATAATACCTCAGGATAGTTATCATTATCAATCTTTTGCAGCTGAGTGATAAGATCCCTCGCAGATTTAGTAAAATTCTTTAACCCTACGCCTTGGACATCAAGAATAGTTGTACTGGAGTCAATGTGTCTTTTAGCAGCAATGCAACAAGCAGGAAACTTGATGGTAACAGTTTTCTCAAACTCTTTAACATGATATCTAAGGTATCTTTCCAATGTAGTGACTTGCAAGAGTTTACAAGGGTCGACTCTTCCTAATCTTTCAATGTAAACAGGTCTTCCTTCCTTGTCAACACCATGGTATCCCTGAGGGTAGTACTTTAGAACTTGATCCAATTCAGGAAACTCAAACTCCTGCCAAGTGAAAGACAAAATCGTCATTCAGTAAATTATATGTCCACGTCACGCAACACATGAAAAATTAAAGGAGAAATAGTGTTAACCTCCAAAATGGTATCTGTACCAAAATCCTTTCTCCATTGGATCATGTTAGCCCACATCAACTTTGCTTTTCCAAGATCGAATCTCCTCGCATACAGGAATCTATAGAAAGAAGAGATGTCATGAAAACTACACTTCATATCAAAACTTAAACACATGATCTTATCAGCCACATACAAGCCATCATACATGAAAATATTATAATATGAAAATAAATAAATGGACCTTAACATCATGTGATAGTCATCAAGACTTGGAGGGAGTAAATCATCAGAGATGAGTGAGTGTCGGAACTCAGAGACATATCGCAACTCCTCAGCGTCATGTAAGTCTTCAAAGGTAAGAGATGGAGTCCTATCAATGCTTCTTCCCTTGCTTGGTCTCCTCTTCCTGCTTAGAGAACGTCTTAATTTGCTAGAAGCCTTTGAAGCTTTCTTCTTAAAGATTCCGATTCTAGTCTTCTTATCCTCCTCTGAAACTTCGAAATCTGACTTCCTTTCTCTTCTCTCATCGTTGCTGGAGAAACCTTCAAAACCTTGAGAGACAAATAATTCAAGATTCATATAAAAAACATATCTACGAGTCTTTAGAATTATTATAAAACATTCATATTCATATAAAACCTTGAGAAACAGAGATATAATATTCACTCTCAAAACAAATTTGTAAACAGAAGACGATGAAGAGATGTGAGAAGAGACTTACATGGTCTTGTGAAACGATCAAGAGAACCAGACATGATGAGAATCACAATCAAAGTTGAAGAGTCGAGGAGCCTTGACAATTCGGAAGAAAGAGATATTGAAAGTGAAAACGGTAGATGAAGAAGTTACCGAGGGAATTTAAGTTTTTTTTTTGTTTGTGGTGCAGTTATTATGAAATATAAATTAATATGTGAAATAAATGTTATTTCCATGGCCGCCGGGAATACAAAGAAATCTCTGCCATCAATGTTTGAATATTTGTTTCTACTTCTCTTTCGTCTGCCTCTTCGTTTATCTTTTGATATTTTTATTGTTATTACAATCCAAGAGCGGTTTGTTTTGTTATTATTTGATTCAGACATCAAAGACACGTGTGAAGCTCTTGGCGGGAACCCACTTCTGTTCTGATTATGACTTTTTTTTAGTTTTATTAATTTGTTTTTTCAGAACCTGTTGAATTTTGGCTTTTGCATTAAAATAAATATCTATCTGTAGACATCAAATAATTTTCTTATAGAAATGTAATTAAAGTTAAAGAGTTAGATATTTTATTTTATGTAGGCAATTATACGTGCGGTCCTACTTCCGGTAATCCGGAAACTACAATAATGCGGTAAGGACAAATTGACTAAAAACGAAATCATCAAGTCAGGACTTATTCATTAAAATTATTAAATCTAATTAGAGTGTGCTTACTTTCTGATAAGAGAGATGATCAATGTATTATGATATGTACACATCACTGATTGATTTCACAAGATAACACTACATACAAGATTCTTATATTTTTTGTCTTTTATCATCCGGGGAACTTACTAACGTGCACAAGTGTAGATAGAGAGATCAAGTATTCTCCATCACACGAAAGAGATTATCTCTTTTGCAATTTGCAAGCGTCTCTTTCACCACTTCTCATATCACAGCTTCTAGCAATGGCTTCTTTATTATTTACATATTTATATTAATACTTTTGCCTCCGACCTGCCCTGCAGAAAGAGAAACACACAACATAAATTACTAGTTTTGGCTGCCTATAATAAGCCCACAGAGTAGGTGAGGTTTTGTTTTTCTACCATACATGTGGATCATGTGTATTTCCTTAGTTTGCGTTTTGCTTGAAACTGGCCAAGCTTGTCTCTCCACTCAGCTGCAACATCCATTGAAACCAGTACACGATATTATATTTTTCTTTCTTTGACCCATGTACATAAAACACAGAAACTTGTTGACAAGACTTAAAAAAATAAAATAAGACGGAACCAATAAAAAAAGAATATGAAAGGGAGAGACTAGTTTTACCTGCTTCATCATACCGTTCTTCATTAACAGCTTGCATCATGTTGTTCAAGAGATCAAACTCTTTTGTATCAAGACAAGGCTGCCCATTTGGCCTACACAAGTAGGAAGAAAAACACAAACGTTTTTGCTAAGTTGGTAATTGTCAAGTTACAGACTAATCTCACTAGGGACATAGAATTACCGGTCTAGTTCAGTATGTAATAAACCATCAGAAGCAGGTGTTTGCTTTGATAGCTTTCCAGACTCGATGACTCTCATTCCATCACTGTAAGCTAGAAACTTGTTGACTTGGATAGGTACCTAAAAAGAGTGAGGAGTCACACCATTTTTCAAGAGTGGTTAAGATGATTCCCATGGAGAGAACTGTTCCCCTCAAAATAGAAACAAATGAGTAATATGGTTATTGTAATATAACTATGATACCTTGCATCTGACAGCTATATTAATTGCATCTGAAGGACGAAGATCAAAGCTGACACAATCCGACTTATCGCCCACCTGCAAATCCTCATTCAGAGCAGCCTTAGCATAAGAAATGGAAATGAGAAACTAGTGAGACATGCATTTGTAGACCAGAAGTTGCAAACCTTTGATATGAACAACTGTGCGAAATACGCCTCGTGAACTCTGGTGGTAACTCTAACAAGCCTAACCTGCAGAGAAAGTTTGTACTTTCTTCATTTAAGTATTTGCACTCAAAAAGAGAGGAGAAAGGAACCATAAGGCTTACCTCATAACCCATTTTTTCTACCATCTCCATCACCACTTCATACATAGTTGGCCTTGCCTACACAACCAGAAACCAAATAAGTTCCATTAAACCCTCTGTTCATAATCTCCACTGATTCAAACAGAAGCTGGAGATAATAATAATAATACAAAAACGTACTATTTTCACATTTGTCAATGCTGCCATTAGTAACACACTTGGCATCTCCACTGCAATGAAAACCAATACAAAGGAGGAAGAGATTCAAAAAACACCGGAAATAAATGAAAAAAGTTCAACACAAATGAAGCTTATAAACAAAATAAAAATGAGGGTGAGATCACATACAGACGATGATAGGAAGAAGAAGACCAGTTCCATCTTCCATTTTCAACACAATAGCAGAGTGTGGAGCATAGCTCGGAAGATTCCCTCCCTGAGGATTATTGTGGACACAACGAAGTTGCCTACCGTCTCTCATCTTCACCATGAAACCATCTGGTCCACTTCTTACCTCAGCTAATACACACAAAAAAAAACACATCAATGACTAGAATCAACACTGACACTATTTTAACAAAGGGAGTTATTTACCAGCTTCAAGTACACTAGACTTGACATAATCTTCATCATTCTCGTTAAAATTCTCTGCAGTGCTTCCGTTACCATCAGAATGAGAGCTGAAAAGACACTGTATAGTACCACCCTTACACCTCCGTACCATCAGAGTAACTGTAGCAACCTGAGACTTGACATTTCTGGTCTGATTACCCCAAAACTGGTTCCTGAGCAGCTTCCTAGGTCTCGAAACAGAGCAGTTGACTAGTGAAGCAGACAAACCCAATTGTCTGGGACGAACACTAGGGCAAACAATCGGTGCTTGAATCGACCTCATCTTCTATGCAAAACACATAAAAATGAAAACTTTTTTAGAATCCCTAATCTTTAAAACCCTAACTTGATTCCCAAAATATCAAAATGCTTTTACTTGAAATAGAATTAAATCACTGATCCCAAATAAAACCATAACAGCTGGTAGCTGGATCTGTGAGATGAACATATAAACGAAAGAGAATTGGATTTTTACCTTTAAAAATTTCGTAAGATTCAATTGGATGATTCAACAGAGGACTAAAAGGAAGTATCCTTTGCACAGACAGATCAAACTAAAGGAGGATCTCTGTCTATTTTATTGACTCGTGTTTGACGAGTTTACCCTTCTGATTAATTGTTTGCATTTTTTTTTTGCTATGTTCGTGGATAAGGGTAAAATGGAGAATTTAGTTTAGGGTGATGACGCGGGAGGGTCACTCGTGAAAAACTGACAAGTCATCAAGTAACAGTCGCCGAATAATTATCGCTGAATGGATTTGCCACGTGTGCGGCGCTAGTGTCAGTGTTGTTGGATAAGGTTGTTTGGATAAAACAATGTACGAGAGAGTGACATTAATGTAAGACTGTTTTGTAGTCTCCAAAGTCAATGTCAACAAGATGGGCTTTGGCCCATTTAATTATTTATCGGGCTAAATAATATAGGTTAAATGGCTTCAGCTTCACTAGCAACTGTCAAGCACGTAACGATTGAGGATACACTTCTCTCTCTCTTTTTTTTTGTTCACTGGGATCACTTCTCTTTTGAAATTGGCTTAATCAAATCAACCTTAATAAGTAGGATAGATTAACTATATATGAAAGTTAAGCGAACCAAAGAAACTACGAAGATGGATGACCGTTTAAATTATCCATAACAAGTTTCTTTACCGCCAGTAATAAGTTACTAAGAGCATCAAAACGTTTCTGATAAAAACGGGTTTCATAAATCGCGAGATAAGGAATGGTTTTGGTATGTTTCTTACATTATTTTGCGGGGCCGAGCATCTTTAACACGGTATACTAATGCGTTTCTTAAAGAATGGATCCTGCACTTTTGATAAAAACGGGTTTCATAAGTCACCAGATAAGAAATGGTTTTGATTTGTTTCTTACACTATTTTGCAGATCCAAAGATACGTAGCGGTCCGCGATTAGTTTCGTTTTTAAATTAAAAAACAGATTAAAAAAAAATTTAGAAACCCAAATCATGCTCTAAGAAGCTCAACTTTTAAATCAAAAAGGCATTTTCTATATATATTTTTCAATAAAAAGTATACATGTATTTTCGAGATAATACTAATCATGAAATCATTTTTTTTTTCTTTTTTTTTTTTAGGAAAGGCTTATGTACACGTCAGTGATGAGAAACCCATGCATGATAACCTTGGAGTAAAATGATCACCGCAAACACACCTCGTCATATACATACAGACAAAAATGGTGAGGACCATTTCGTCGCCACAATACAAACAAAACGAGCTTTAATGTGTTTATGCCTCTATTACTAACATTGCTATTTTTAAGATTCGTTACACACATGTGAAACTATTAGGAGTTAGGACCATACAAACAAACAAAATTTTAAATGGGACTTTCGTCTTTGTTTTTTTTGTTTTTTTTTTGAAACACTACTACATTATGACAGAATTCTATAATTCTATGCAAGATATTTTGCACACAATCAATTAAAAAAAATCACTCCTTTTCTTGTAATATACTACACTCTTTGTTTAGAGTTCTTCGTGTCTGTCATTTTGATCTCTTTTAAATTCTTATGTACATATGTTTTCTGAATCTCAAAATTTGTACAAGAATATTTTCAGCACTTATTTTTATATGCATTTTTCAAAATTTCATTCTAACAATTTTTCCACGTACAATAATATTCTGATATTTATGGTACTCGAATTCCACAAGTAACTTGGGAACATTATTTATAGTTTGGTTGGAGGATAAATACTCAACAAGTTTAATAAAGTAGTGAAACATGTAATACGCTTATGACGAGTTTGAAGCTCTCTCTGACATTACCAATACGTTACATAACCTGATAGGATGATAACCACAAATCTAGACAAGATAACCAGAAGCCTCTTCCAGCTCCGGCGAAGGATCAAGCCTCGCCGGAGAAACTGAAGGATCCTTCACAATCTGTCGAATCTCTGACTTTTCACCCCATAGACTATACTTCAAAAACGCAACCACAATCCCACCTACAAAGCTCCTCATCTCACTCTTATTTCGTTTTCCATTCTTACACATACAACCCGCCATAAACCCGACAAAACCGGGTAAATCATCGTCCAACATATCCATATGTCCGTAATCCGCAGCCACGAAATGTCCCTTCGTAGCCTTACACTCATTATAAAACTCCTCATGGTTCACTTCCGCTGGTGCACACGGTGGCATCAGCATGTTACTCTTCGGCCCGAGACCCGTACCGATCACTGCAACCGGTATGTCCAGGTCGAATGATTCCGGTTCGTACGTCAAGATTTCCGGATCAGTTCTTATGCTTTTGCTGATTCCTGCAACTGGATCTATTCCTATAAGAGCTGAAAACTTGATGGATGGGTCTAATGTTGCAGCATGGCCTAATGCAACCGCAAACGCGGTTTTACCACCGCGGCTATGGCCCACGAGTACGGTGTGTTTGCTTTTAGCGTTTACTGAATTTGGGAGGTGGGCTTTGAGGTTTTTCGAGGTCCAGTTTATCACTTTTCCAGCATCGTCCACTTCCACTTGCCCTCCCGGCGGCATAATCTTGCACAGCTACATGTCATACCAAAAAAAAACAATGATAATTTAATTCTAGTTTATAAGTTCACGTAAATTTAAATAAACTAATGATATTATATAATATCCGTTTATTAAATCTTATATATTAAAACAGAAGTCATGACTTGACTTTATGTGTGATTTTTTGAAAAATGGACTATTACTAGAAAGTCATGTTACATTAACTCTCCAATAATCTTATCATTATTATATCTTATGAAAAATCATATCTATAATAACAAAGATACGCTTAACAATTTGGTTTTGGTAAATTACCCCACACCTTCCAACTTAGTCACACAAAATATGTAAACAGATATAAGTTTAGGAATCTACTATTATTTATAAGGAAATATGTCAATAATAGTTAAATTCATCTACAATATATTAACAAAATCACAGATTCGTAATATGGAATATTTATATACCCAAAAAAAATTTACAGGCTATATATACTAGATATATTTATATCCATGTAAAATTTTAAAACTATATTGTTTAAAAAAATAAATTGTTTACAAAATTTCTTTTTAATAAAATTCTTTATAATATTAATTTATGAAGCTATAAGTTTAGTTTTTAGCAAAAATTTCTTTGAGGTTTATATTATCTTTGCAAATTAAAGTATACTAATATTTAATCAAGCTCTATTTATATGACTTTATCTAAAAATAAAATATTAATCTAAAATACAATATAATGTAGAAGAAGAAACAAACACATGTTTTTCAAACATGTGTAATATAGAAAATTAGAAACAATCTATTTGATTAAAACACATATTATATAATATTATTATGTTTGTAAAACATTTACTATACATATCGTAAATATGTGATTACTATAATATATACCAATTTACAAACAAAATGTTTATATAACTAACTATAAACAAAAACAAACACTCGCGCGGTTGCGCGGGTCAAAATCTAGTAGGTAACTTAAATGTTTAGTTTATAAATTCATGTAACAATCAACTTGCATATACAACATGTATTTTATTTGATATACAACCACATGAAAAATGAAGTACAAGTCGAATATAATTTAAACATATTTTGTTAATTAGGAGACGAAATTATATAGATTAGTTCTAATAACAACTATTTTATTAGTATACTTACATAAACTTTATACTAGAAATAATTTTTTTACACAATACATACCTGTGGGGCTACAACAATGTAGCCATGAGAAGCTACGTGGTTAATAACATCAGAGTAGAAGCAGTTGCGAAGATAAAACCCATGGAAGAATAACACGACGGGGTAAGTTCCGGCGACTGCTGGGTAGGTGACTCTTACAGGCTTTGGAGGCGCGGTCAAATCGGCTGCAGACGGATCTGCTGATTTCACGGCTGTTGGAAGGCTTCCTTTCTCAAACGCCAAAGGAGTTGCCGCCGAGTAAAACGTCTCACTGTCCTCCATCGTCGCCATTTGTATTATATTTGGAAAATGAGTGTTTATAAGACGTATGGTTTATAAAAATGGTGATGAATGTCTCGAGCGTCTCTAGTTATTACTATATAGGCGTGAGTGTTTTTTCTTATCCATTTTCGTTATGTGGTTCTTGGCTTCTCGTAGTAAACTCAACATATGTGATTCAAAGTATATCTGTGAATCCGACAAATGCAAAAGAAAGAAAGAGCACGTGATTTTCATTGTTCCAATTGTTACAAGTTAGTTATACAACTTTTGTGCGTGTTGTGTTTGATTTTGGCCTAGACGCCACGCGAGGCTAAACTGCTCGCTCTATCAACGGCCGTCATTCATCACTCGGATTGGTCTTGATGGACGGCCATCTCCGTCAACGATTTGAAATAGTTCTCAGCCGTTGGATACCAATCTGTGTGTTACACGTAGCATCTTCACATGCCTCGTTTCAATCATGCATTCGTTGCTGAATTTGTGTCCATGTTTTGGCTGTTTATAACGTATCTAGAATTTTAGAACCATGGATTCTACATTGAAGAACAAGAGCTCTTTTGTCTGGACACTTTTTGTAGTTAAACATCAAGCAATTCAACAATTGCATAATTTATTTAACTGATGCAACATCCAAAAACTAGTGTCACTAATTAAGTAACTCACATTGCCCTCGATGTTCTGATGAACTGATTCCTTTATCTTGTCGTGATAGATTCTGTTCAGCAGTGTTGTTGTAATATGTGCTTAAAAAGGGTTGTCCATCTTCTCGACAATGCTTTGCAATCCCGACTTGTAAGAAGGATATAGCAATTTAACTCCTAGTTTATTCTTCATATGTTGGTTACTAACTCGTTTTTCGCCTCTCAATGAACTCTCCTCCCGAGACTCATACAGAAATGGCTTTGTTTCGATCTTCCTTTTCCAACGTTTTTCAACCAACTCCAAGGCATATTGGAACACCTCTTCTCTTGGTGCTGGATCATCATCGACAATGTTGTAGATCTCTCTGCCATAACACTCGAATCATCAGCCTCAAATCATATTTGATCTCACAAATAAAAGTAGGGATGTACCTTGAAGATGATTTTTCAATGGAAGCTTGAAGAGCTTGGCATATATCTTCAACATGGACTCTGGACGTGAATCTCCGGGACGCTCTTCTTAGCTGACTTTCAGACAAATGCTCCCGTTTCAACAAAGTATCAATCGCACTGCAGCAACAAACACTCCTTTTTGAAAATCACTCTTTAAAAGCTTTTTCCAAGGCAATAATAACATGCGGAAGCAGAAGCAGTGAGACAACCTGCGACCAGGACCATAGATACCACCAAGTCGAAGGACTTGAGTAGAAACCCCAAGATCAAGACCTAAGCTCAACCATCCTCCCTCTGCAGCTAACCTCAGTTTGGCTGTTTGAGTTTTAGGATTTGGGGGATGACTATAAAATTGACTGAATGACCTCAGAGTATGACAAAAAAAGAGCTGCAATATAGAAAAATAGATAAAAATAACTTACTCTTCAGAGACCCAAGCACCACCATAGTCTCCATAAACACCTGCAAGAATCATTTTAACTCAATTAAAAACCAAGAAAAAGAAGAAAAAGAAATGCAGGTTGTTTCCATACTTGTTGATGAGAGATAACAAAGCCATTGAAGATTTCCACTAGAAAGCTTGTCTCTGACAAGTTCTACATTCCGCAACATCTTTTGAGCCAAAAAAAAAGATATTATGTCAGTTAAGGCAGAGACTAAACTTAAAACATGAGATAACGATTAAAAGGCAAGAGGAAAGAAAGCAAAACCGGATCACCAATGTCAGCTAAAGGCGGAATAGAAACGAGCAGGTGAGTGTAATCTTTCACTGATTCAAGCAAGCTCCATCTGATTGGTTAACAAGTAAACAAAAAGAGCTTATAAAATAATCAGATTCAGAGATTACTACCATGGGAAGTTAGAAGATTACTCAGGTGAATCAGCAGAAAATAGGTGAAGATCGATTCCTTTCTTCTCCCATTCTTTCTTCTTAGAATCACTCCTGCAAGTCCCTGAAACCACCCTGTAACAATCTCCCTCAGCTAGTGAAAAGAGCTCAATCTGATTGATTAATAGCATTACCAGTCTGCTTCTTTGAGCTTTTCCGCGAAGAAGCCACCGACGAATCCCATCCCGAGGATGAACATCCGGTTCTTCCGGGACTCTGAATCCGGTGTACCGGATCGAGAATCGCTGGTCGCTGATAATGGCCGGCAGAAGTTGATTCTGCTACGATTCGAAAATTTTAGTCGTATAGGATTGAAACGGAAAGGAATCTCCGGCGACAACTGAAAAACCTCCATTGAAATCGGAGGACTGATACTGTCAGAAGACGCAGTCAACGATGAAACTTTATGTCGCGGCTTTGAGTAATACAGTTCCTATGAAAAAGGAGAGGACTGAGCGCCGTTTGTTTTACAAAGCTTCGAACAGCACGTCGTTTCTTCTATCCAGTATTTCATATAGTAGAAGAGTATAAACTATAGAGGAATCTTGAAAGTTATCATATTTGAACGTAAACATGTAAATAAAAGAAGATTATACAGGAACATACTTTCAATTTCAGAAAAATATTATTTTTCCTTCACATATACTTCAAACATTATATAATAGGTTTTGTTAACACACAATCTTCCAACATGTTAACTGAAAACGGTGTTCATACTTTTGTAAGTATTCTTGATTCCCACCATGAATCTTAATTATACACACATATCAATATTTGGCGTTGTACTATACACAAAAGCAACCTAAACATCTACGCCAGAGATATGAGTGTGTAAATCTGCCTAGCTATAAAAATGCAAAAAAGTATATTTCTTGCGCTTCAAGAATCATGTCCTCCTGTTCCAAGAACGAGAGTAGTATCAAACAACAAAGTCGTGCAAGTGATGGCCATTGGAGAATCTGCTTTCTTCCTGGTTGTTCCCGCCAATGTAACGGTAATCCTCCTCCACACCAAACCTGTGATAGTTCATTAGCGTCACGTAATCCCCTGAATTGTTCATCTCTTGTTCTTGTTGTGACTCGTCATGAACGTTTGTTGTGTCTGCAGATGGATAAGTGAGGTTATTGTTGTTATCTCCCGGTTGCTGCTGTGACGAGGAGTCTTCTTGGTTGGTGCTGTTAAGTTCTTGAGAAGACTTGGAGATTTGTAACTCAGATTTGTAACCAAACTCTTCTTTATAAATATCTTCAACCATCGGTTTCCATAGACGAACTCTCGCGTTTATAAACCAATTAGCAACCTAATCACATAGCATAGAAACCAAGTGTGACTCTAGGACAACACAAAGTTTGTTAGAGAAGACAAAAAGCTCAGTCTTTACCTGGCTTTTAGACAGTCCTGTCTGTTTTGCAAGCATCATTTTCTCATATTCTTTCGGATATCTACAAATCACAACCACAAGAAAACACAAACTCTCTTAAAATGTTATGTAATCTGAAACTGAAAAGGGTTTGTGACTTGTGAGAGAAGAAAACCACATACGGATGAAGGAAATGTTCAAAGAGCCAAGCGCGAAGAGCAGAGACACAATTCTCAGGGAGACCTCTCTGAGGTCTCCAAGATGGTCTAACCATTCCAAGCTGCTGATGAAAATCTCTCTGCTGTCTCAACCGTTGATCTAAATACCTCAATCTCGGTATCCTCTCTCCTCCTTGTTGCTGCTCATCCAATGACTCTCCTCCTTTCTCCCCAAGTTTCTCCTTAATAATCTGAATCTGTTCCTTTATCGTGTCGCGGAGAGAGCGAAAATTGCAAGAGATTTTGTTTAGAGCTACTGATGTGTAAGTCTTAGCTGATCCATATCTTGCTACTATCTCAAATGATGAAGCTAATGCTTCCATTTGATGGTAATATTGGTTGTATCTTTGATCTACCTGTCAAAAAGCAAAAGCATACTCAGAACTTAAGTTTTAAGAGATGTGAGTTAAGTTAGTTAAAATAACTACCTCATCAACCATTGTTAACAGCTTGCTCTTCTTGTTCTGTAGCTCTTGACGTTCACTTGTAGACAACTCGCTACCACCACCACTGCCTCCTACTTGTGTATCCTTGGAAACATTGTTAAAGTCTTCACCTTTCTTCTTCTTCTTACTCATCTGGTTTAGCTCTTTCTTGACACTAACCACTTCATCAAGCAAACTCTGAGCCGGTTTAAGATACCTAGAACGCAAAACGCTGCTCATAAACGCTCTGGACGTTTCATTAACCCGATAACTGTTGTAGAGTCCTAACAACATCTCTTTGTTCTTCTCCTCCACGTTAAACGGTGACGTTTCCTTAACAGAGATTGAAGGATTTGGGGTGAAACCCATTTGATATCGCTGGTGGTGAAACGAAGGGAGAGAGATTTGATTGCCGAGGCTTAGAGACAGTCCTTGACCGTCGTGAAAGCTTAGACCGCTGCTCGAAACGGTACCGTTTGCTGTAACGTCTCCGTTGAAATTCTGAAGACCCTCTGCTCCGGTGGTTGGTGGAAGGAAAACCATCTCGTTTCGAACATTTTCGCCGAGGAAAGATGCAGCGGCGACTGAGGAAGAAGAAGCTTGGTGGTGTTGATGGTTGAGATAGATTGGTTCTTGCTGCTAACAATTGACATTACTTGAGTAATAAACCGCCATTCTTTTTTTTTTTTGTTTATTAACAGCTTTTTCGTTGTTTGAGTGAAATTGCAGGCTTTTTATTACAGTGATGTCGTTACACGATCAGTTTGGTCGGAAGGAAATGAGTTCCTGCAATAAAATAAAATAAAAGAGTCGTGTAAGGAGTGGAAGTTAAAACATCGTAATCCCCTCATATCAAACTAGTTTGATCATTAACAGTTTCGGAAAGCAACAACTTTTGAGGATTAAAGTCAAATTCTTGATAAAGTTAGTGTTTTTGGTTAAGAACCGAAGAAACCCAGAAAACCTAATGCGTGATTTGTGAAATTAAAGAGGAAAATAAATAAAATGCAGAGTTGTGATAAAAAAAATGCAGAGTAAAAGAGGTTGTGTAGCTCAAACTCAGTGACTGAAAAGCAGAGAAGATCAATTATTACATATAGAAAAAGTAAAGTCTTTTTGATGATTTCATCTTCATTGTGAAAATTTTCAAAGGGGGAAGGAAGAAAAAAAAACAGAAAAATCAAGAAATACAGTGCAGATCAACAGACAACAATCATAGAGAATCAAGAACCAAGAATTTGGATTAAAGTTATGGAAAACTACCTGTAGGCAGGAAAAAAATGAAACTTTAAAAACCCTAGAAGAAAAAAGAGAGAGATATTGTTGTGATGAGTGTGGATGTGGCTGCTATATCAGGAAACACAAATGAGAAAAGAGTTTCCCTAGAGAGACGATCAATAATTGAAAATGTGAAACAAACAAAAAAAACTTCAATCCACAAGAACAAAACCAACTCAATATTCTAAACATTGGGACACTAGACACCAACCCAATTTTAAAAAAAAATTATTTATAATGGTATCAACAATAAAATAATGACACAACCGGAAACTTTTGACAAACCTGTAATTTTTAATCTTTTCCGGCAGAAGTTTCTGTACCTTATGCGTCGAGTGTAAATGAATTAACTGATTTCTTTCTTTTTGTGTCAGCCATTCCTATATAAACACGTAAGAGCATAAAAATCACTAATCGTCATTAACCTGACGCATACTACTTAGTAGGTACTAGAGAAATTTTTGCTACAAACTAAATAATAAAAGCAACAATTTTTTTTTTGCAGTAGTGCAATGGTATGTGTATATGTGTGTTACTTTTAGTATAGAATAACATTTTGAGGAAACAAAAGTAATCTACAAAGGACATAGCCAGTTATATAAATATATATGTATTTTGAGAATTTCATGTTGAGATTCTTGAGAATTTTGCATTGGAGTTGTTCTTACTTCAACTTTTTTGATATGTGTACGTGATACTCCGAAATATTGAAAAACTTCTATAGTATGGATAACTAGGATTCCAAATCTATAATGTTTTTAAAAGTATGTGTTCTTTTTTTTTTGAAACAGTATGTGTTCATAAATCTTTGTTCGTTGCTTTGATGACAGTCATATTTCTAAATGTTAAAGTTCCTTATATTAACGTCAATCATTTCTTAATTTATTCAGCACTTTGAGTGCATAAACAATACCAAAGGCATCCATTATATGTAGAATCTTCACTATATGTAGAAACTTGAAAGTACAAAAATGAACAAGGGAAGCTGGTTTAAGGAGGAAGAAGGATAAAAGAAAAAAAAACAAAGGTGGGTGTGTGTCTGTTCAATTGCTTAATGGAGGGATTAAATGGCTTAACAACCAGTTGGTGAGTCTCTCCTTACTCTTCTGTTATACCCAATTTCCTCTAAGTTTCTTGTCTTTAATTTCTTTCTAGCTATAAACCTTCTAGCTAGCTATACACCTATATATATATATATATATTTCAATCTATTATATGTCTATATTTGCATATTCCGTAATGCAGAATACGCAAATACTATTTTTATAGATTTATATATAGATATACTAATGACTACTGTCTAGCATTTGTCTATTTGAGAGATGGTTATACCGACTTTTATTCCACGTGGATAATGATTTATTCAAAAATCTAATGTATATGCAGTTAGCTGCTAAGGGATGATCTAAATGTAATAAAAATTTGAGATGGTTTACTTCATTGGTTTCGCAAGTATTCGTGTGACTATGCAGTATGATTATGTACCAGCGAATAGGCTTTTCATGAATGACCAATACAAAAGATCTTATAGGCCCATTAGCCTGCCAGCCCGCTAATAAAAACGGCAAGCAGTCCATTCCAATTACCTCGAAACGGCGTAAAACCGTGACACTGATCCATCTTCTTCTTTACCAATCTCACACTCGATTTCCACACTCCGGCGAGAAAAGATCCTTTAGAATTTCCCAAAAATGGATTTGTAAACCCTAGTGACATTTTAATCTAATCGAAAATAACTAAATGGGGAAGCCTTCTTCAACAAGTCTCTGGTTAACAACGCAGAAGAAGAAGAGATGGCCACTGATGATTCTACTCGTCTTATCAGTATCTACCGTCGGAATGATTCTCGTCAGATCCGCCTTCGATTCCTGCAGTGTTAACGGAAACAGATGCGGCCGATTCGTCGCGGAGAAAGAAGAGACCAGCGGTATAAAGATCGGATCACCGAATCCTCTAGGTTTCATGAAATCGAAGCTCGTTCTCCTCGTCTCTCACGAATTATCCCTCTCAGGTGATGACTGATTCTTGGGTCGAGGTCAAGTTTTGGTTTTTTTGAAGTGATGGAAGTTAGTTTTGTGTGGTTTTTTCAGGTGGGCCTTTACTGTTGATGGAGCTCGCGTTTCTGTTGAGAGGAGTTGGTGCTGAAGTGGTTTGGACTACGAATCAGAAGCCTGTTGAAGCAGATGAAGTTGTTAATGTTTTGGAACATAAGATGTTGGATCGTGGAGTGAAGGTTTTTTTAAGATTTTAACTCCTCCGTCCATGATTTTGTTCTTTTGACTTCTTATTATAATTTAATCTTGTTGATTTGTTTAGGTTATCTCAGCGAAGAGTCAGAAAGCTTTAGATACAGCTCTGAGTGCTGATTTGGTTGTTTTGAACACTGCTGTTGCTGGGAAATGGCTTGATGCTGTTCTCAAGGACAATGTTCGTAAAGTTCTTCCTAAGATCCTCTGGTGGATTCATGAGATGAGAGGTCATTATTTCAAGGCGGAATTAGTTAAGCATCTTCCTTTTGTTGCGGGGGCGATGATTGATTCGCATGCAACAGCTGAGTATTGGAAGAACAGAACTCATGATCGCTTAGGGTCTGTTTTCCTCTCTTTGTTTTCAGTTCTGTTTCAGTTTTTGTTCTTATCTTGGTTTTGGGCGTTAATGTTTTACTTTGAAATGTTGTTAACACAGGATTAAAATGCCTAAAACTTATGTCGTGCACCTAGGGAATAGCAAGGAGTTGATGGAAGTTGCTGAAGATAGTTTGGCGAAGAAAGTTTTGCGTGAGCAAGTTCGAGAATCTCTTGGAGTGCAGAGTGATGACATACTATTTGGCATTATCAATAGTAAGCTGTCTATCACATTTATCCTGTATAGTATCTTCAAAATGATCAAGAATTTACTTAATTTGCTTTTCATCACAGGTGTATCTCGAGGAAAGGGCCAAGACCTATTCCTCCGAGCCTTCCATGAAAGTCTAGAAATAATCAAAGAGACTAAAAAGCTTGAGGTATCAAAAATGCATGCAGTGGTAGTAGGAAGTGACATGAGCGCACAGACGAAATTCGAGACAGAGCTACGCAGATTTGTCCAAGAGAAGAAACTGCAGAAAGTTGTCCACTTTGTCAACAAAACAATGAAAGTAGCACCGTATCTAGCAGCCATTGACGTTCTTGTTCAAAACTCCCAAGCCAGAGGAGAATGCTTTGGAAGAATAACAATCGAAGCCATGGCCTTTAAGCTTCCTGTACTTGGCACTGCAGCAGGAGGAACAATGGAGATTGTAGTGAACAGAACAACTGGTCTTTTACACAACGCAGGTAAAGAGGGTGTGTCACCTCTTGCCAGAAACATTGTGAAGCTGGCAACAAACGTGGAGATGAGGACAACAATGGGGAAGAAAGGCTATGAGAGGGTTAAAGAGATGTTTATGGAACATCATATGTCTCATAGAATAGCTTCTGTGCTGAGAGAAGTGTTGCAACACGCAAAAGTTCACTCACGGACAACAAAATAGTATTATGTTTAGCATGGAAATGCTATTGTTGTTACACTTTATTTTACACTCTTGTTGTTTCTCTAGCTTTTTTTCATATTCATCTGTTTATAGAAACAACAATGTTATTTATCTGGAAAGGAAACTCAATGCGTTTAGGCGCATGTTTATTTTACTTGCAACTCTTGATGGTATAAACTTATAAGCATCAGGCCAACCATACAGAGGTTAGTTCTTGTTTTGTGCAGACGAGACTTTTCAGTAGACCTTGAAACAGGAAGTCCTGCTGTTGTATTGAGGCTTACTGTTGCCAAGCCAGTGCTGCATATGAACTCCAACGGCGTCCAAGTAAGCGCTGCTTCTTCCATGTAAACCCAACACTTTTCCTTCCGTCGTAGTTGAAGTGAAATACGTTCCGGTCTCTTCACCGTATGGACCGTACTTGCCACGGCTCGTGAAGAAACTCAGAGACTTGACAACATTAGTTGTTTCTGAATTGTTCAGAGGTCCGTAATACCCTGAAATGCACGTGAGCATCTCATTTGGATACTCAAGTTTAATCTGCAAGAGAGATTCAAGATCAGCATTAACTATGAATGGTTGTGATGCATCAAAAACCAAAAGAATCGTTTGTAGTTTTACCCTGTGTGTGAAGACTCCATTGTTACCACCATGTTTAACGGACCAAACAGATTGTCCATTTCTATCGTATTCGACTTGTAATGAAGAGATAGCATCATTTCCTCTTGTTACAAATATCTGCTTGATCCCTGAAAACACACCATCGTCCCATGGTTTACCTCCGTTGCCTCCCCACGGTCCAGGCCCGTTCGGTGTTGGTTCTTTGACGACTCCACGCTCAAACTGTGAACATGATATAAACTCAACAAGTAAGCTGCTATAAAGTGTTCAATCCTGAAACCCTATAACCATTGTGGAATCTATAACTTACCTCTTCGCCACGGCCGTTTGCTGCAAGGACTAGCTTATTAGCCCATGGGGAGTTTTCGATTACCGCAACTCCAGAGTTGTTATGAGGAACAATTGCATTGTGAGGAGATGGCTTGAGGGGACTTATTTTGCAGTCCATAACATGAACACCAATTGCATCAAGAAACAAACCTTCTCTTCCAATGAATCCAACAACTTTAGCATCATCCGTTTTATGAGAAAAAGAAGGTCCTTGTTCTTCTCCAAAAGGTCCATGTTTTCCTTTGTTGGTGTGGAATGTCAGTGACTTTATCACATTAGGTCCCATGTAGATCAACGGTCCATATGTTCCAGTTACATGTGTTAGAATCTCTGAAGGGTAATCAAATACAACCTGCAAATTGTATTCAAACCAAAAAAAAATAGAGAGACTGTGATATATGGTGTAATTTAGCTTAAACAAAACTCCCACAGAAATTTTAAATTCACACACCTTTTCATGTCTGAATCCTCCCCTGCCACCATGCTTGCTTCCCCACACAGCTTGTCCTCTAGAATCATAACACACCTTCATGGATACAATCCCGACACTGCGTGACAAATTGATTTGTCTAATACCGGTATAGATCCCATCGTCAAATATGATTCCACCGGCTCCACCCCAAGGTCCATAAGTTTTGGCACCACCTCCAGTTTTTGGCTGCACCTTCTCAGTATCTGTCACCACCTGATAAATACAAATTTGACGCTCTTTTGGTCAAAAGCGGGTAGAAAAATCGAAAGACATGAAATATTAACATAAAAGTCTTGAAATCACCTTATGCTTGGTGATCTCAGCACCAGTATGTTCTTTGGACTGATGATGAGAAGGCAAAGCTGAATCTTTCTTCTTGAGTGCAACAAATATGTCATAGTTTTGACCTACACTTCCTTGAATCACTGAGTATTCGAATTCCTTATCACCACCATTGCGGACATTTTGATGTGAGTGCATAACAATTTTCGACGATGGATTATCCTCTTTAAGAATTTGTTGAAGGTGAACACCAATAGCATCCAAATAGGAACCAGACTTCCCATGGAAACCAGTAACCTTCGACTCTGATTTTGGCAATGAGAAATATGTGCCTGACTCAACACCAAATGGTCCATACTTTTTGCGGTTACTCTCAAAGGTAAGCGACCGAACACATACATGTCCCCAGATGTCATAGCTGCCATAGGTTCCATGCACTGAAGTCAAATACTCATGCGGGTAATCAAGTATGACCTTAAAACAAACGTTGAACGGTGATCAGTTTCTGAAAACTAAATAGGATTAGTTAAGGGAAAGAGTATCTTTGTCTTACCTTTTCAAAATTGGAGCCTCCCTTTCCTCCATGTTTTTCAGACCAAAACGAGCTTCCATTCTTGTCATACTCAACTTGGATGGAGTCTATACTAGAGCCATGCGCTATAACTATTTGCCTTACTGTGGTGAACATTCCATCATCCCATGCATGACCACCTTGGCCTCCCCATGGACCAACCGATGCAGACTTCCCTTGAACACTCTGCAGCAACAACTTCAAGTTAATCTCACATAATCATCATAACTGCAATATCAGGTTTTCACAGTGCAAAATCATAATATAAAAATGACGAATGAGGCTAAAGAAAAGATGTTGCCAATACCATCCTCGGACTCGGATGATCTCAAAAGACTCGAAGCAAGAGTAAGAAGCTAGAGTGAAGAGATAGTTGACTACTGCGACACATAGCTTAGGCATCTGATGGGAATTTATGATGGATGAAAAGGTTACGTTTGTGGTTGGGCATTTTCTGGAATATATAAAATCAAGTTGCAGAATACACGTCATTACAAGCAACTCATTCGCGTTTCCACTATCAAGGGAAGTCATGGAAGGAAAACGGAATCATATTCTTAAAGAATCATATCTTCCAGGATAACAAAAACTCGCACTATTGAACCATTCCTAAATTGGTAAGGTTCCCTATCTAGTGCCCATATTAGTAAGCAAAATGACTTCAAGACACTACTGGAGTTAAGGAGCTTTCAAACTTCAACCAAAATTTACTCAAGCCATGTTACTAACTCAGTAATATCTTCAGCTGCAGAAAATATATGATGATGAAACATTAAGTGGTTTTATGATAAAAACGACAGCTCAAATGAAGTTTAAGTAGTACCTTAGTAGCTTGTTAATCACTCTACCAATAATCTTTACAGGAACAATCACCATTCTTAAAGTGGTGCAAGCATCTTGTGTCCTCCAACAATATTTCACAGCTGTATCTTTTGGAGATATACTTTGCGGTATTATGGCAATCCCGGCACATCCTAAAATTTTTCAAGATCCTAATCGTCTTAGGTTCACGGGATGAGGAAATTAGACCAAAAGCCATGGCAAACTTTTCGCTGTGAATTCCACAAGTTTCTTCCCTGCCTTCTTCTTCAATCAGAAGTTCTCCATTGTATTGGTCATTTCTATCATCCATCCTACACAGCTTTTCCACCCATGGATACAGCACATCAGTACATAGTGTAGACTGATCACCAGTTGTGAATGTATGAACTAAATTTCTAGCTTCAATCCAGCTCTGTCCAGTAGGTTTCTTAAGCAGTTGTTCTTTCCTTGGCTTCTTTCCTTCTAAAGATCTCCCAAGTCTTGCACCTAAGGCATAGATCTGGGATACCAGATTTTCAGTGACCGGGTTTTCAGGTTCCAAGGAGAACAAGTGCTCTGCTGCATGGATTGCCGAGTCAATATCACCGTGAATCCTGCAGCTAGTTAAGAAGCTCTCCCAGATGGGTGGCTCTGATTGAACATTCATCTCCTGGATAAACTGCAGCGCTTCTTCAAGTCTGTTGGATCGTCCGTACAAAGATACCATAGCACAACAATGTTCCAGAGCAGGAATGATATGGTAATGATTCGCTATGCTGGAGAAGACTTTCTTTCCTTCCTCTACATTTCCCATTAGACCGTGTGCGAGAATGATACTCGAAAGAGTTCCCCTATTTGGCTTAATCCCCTCTGTCTTCATCTGATCAAATAGTTCAAGCGCTGGACCATAGCTACCATGCAAAACATAACCTCCAATCAGCGAGTTCCAAGTTATGATGTCTTTCGTTTTCATATCCTTGAATATCCTTTCCGCGTATGCTATATCTCCTGACTTAGCATAAGTATCTATTAAAGCGTTTTTAACAGCATGGACAGCATCTAGGTTTCTCCGCAACACACAGCCGTGTATCTCTCTTACCATTTTAGCCCCAAGAAGATTACCGCAAGCAGGTAAGAGACTCAGTACAGTAACTGAATTTGGCATGAAATGAGAGAACTGCATTTTCCTAAAAAGTTCCAGTGCATCGTCTTTCTTTCCGTTTTGTATGTAACCCGCAATGATTAGGTTCCATGATGCAGTATTCCGCTGAACTTTCCCATCTTTTTCCATCCTCTGAAACAGATCCATAGCTTCACCCTCGTCTCCATTCTGAATATATCCAGAGATCATCGTGTTCCATGTGATGATATTTGGTTTGACATTTTCCTCCTGCATCCTTGTAAACAACTCATAAGCCTTCCCGCAATATTCCGCTTGGCAATAACCTGTTATCATTGAGTTCCAAGTATACACATCTTTGTTCTTTATGGAATCAAAAACTCTCCTAGCTTCTTCAAGCTTCCCACATTTGGAGTACATGTCCACCAGAGAATTCCCCACAAGAACATCATCCATAAACCCCATCTTCACAGCAATAGAGTGAACTTCTGATCCTAGGTTGAGAATTTTCAAACATGAACAAGCAGAAACAGCACTCATAATAGTGACTCCATTAGGCACCACACCAGCTAAAAACATCTTCCTAAACGTATCCAACGCCTGATATCTCTTCCCATTATGAATCAACCCCGAAATCATAGCTGTCCAAGTAAACACATCGGCAGTTACACCAAAATTCTCCATCTTCTGCATCAAATCCATCGCAGCATCGCATTTTCCAAGCTGGTGGTAACCTCCAATCAGTATGTTCCAAGTAACAAGCCCCGGGGAGATCCCTTCTTTCTCCATCTCCTCAACCAAATCAACAGCTTCTTCATGTTTACCGTGCTGGCAGTAAGCTAAAAGCACCGAGTTCCAAGCAACCACATCTCTCTCCACCATACGTCTAAAAAACTTCGTCGCTAAACTCAACTCACCACACTTCGCATACACTGCCAAAATCGAGTTACTAACACGGAGACAAGAAGTCATCCCGAGTTTCACAACAACGGAATGAATCAACCTCCCAGTCTCAACATCACCGCAATTCGCACACCCTTGCAGTATCTTGGGAAACAAGAAATCATCAGGCAAAACACCTTCCTCCATCATCATACAAAAGAGGTTAGAGACTTCTCCCCACCGTTGCTCCCTCGAGTAAGCACCAATCATAGCAGACCAAGTATACAAGTTTCTCTCACGCATTGAATCGAACACCTTGCGTGCATCAACTAAACACCCGCATTTCGCGTACATGCTCAACAACTTCGTCTCCACAAACACATCCCGTTGCGGAAACAGACCGTCGAAGCGAGCGTGGAGGACACGACCGAGATGGACGGAGCCTGAATCGATGCAGGATTCGAGGAGGTTGAGGTAAGTGCTACGTTTCATCATCTTGGTTCCTCGTTGGAACATGGAGTCTAGAGCTTTCTCCGCTTCGAGGAAGCTTCCGTTTCTACAGAAGTAGTCGAGTTGCTCGTCGGGGGTGGTGGTGATGGGTTGTTTCTTGGTGACGAAAGAGAGAGACTTTTTGTTTGGTTTGGGATGGGATTCTGGTGAAGTCTCTACCTTTGCTGGAATCTGATGGTAGTTTAAACATGTTTTGGGGAATGATGGTATGAAAAGCTTCTCCATTTTTATCTACAAATGATTGGATTCTTTCTTCTTTGGTTTTTCAACGGAAGTTTACAGAGTATGCACGGTGAAGACGAAGAGGATAAGGAAGAAAGGATTCAGAACTTTGGTAAGTGGGAATCCTTCGGCTACAAATATGAAACATGATAAGAATTTCAACTACCAATGAATTTTGGACACGTGGCACTTGACTGCTCGCACAGTTTAGCTCATAGATCAGTAAAACTTTAAAAGTATGTGATTCATAGATTCGATTTATACTATTTAAGTCTTTTGAGGGGGTAAATGAATCTGGTTCCTCTCTGTTTAATATTTTTATGTATTTTTATTGTGTTCATGTCTTCTCTCCTTTATGCCGTTGAGAGAGTGACATCTTATTGCTACCCGAAGATATTTGGACATGGCACTATATGTTCACCGGAAGTTCTGAGAGCATCTCCAACCCCCAATTCATAATTTATTTGGAGTAATCACTTTTTTGTTTCTTGATTGGAGATGCTCCGAGGCTCTATTCTTTTATAAGCTCACTGAAACCATGGAGATGCTTTGCTACAGATTGTGGGGTAACTTTTATGTTTTGTACGTTTTGTATATTGAGTAAAAAGGCAGTAACCAAATGATGAAAGCATGGTCTTCAGATATGTATAATATGTTGCAGACTCGGAAGAGATAGAGATAAATTAAATTCTACATTATTCATCTCCATCCACAATATCCTCATTAGCATTAATGAAACTTAAATAAAACTTGTGTAACTTATTATTATGTCTCATAAAACGATACTAAGCATTTGCAACACCAGTATGCTTGGCTATTGTGGCGTGAAGATCTTCCTTCCTTGCACCAACGACCTTATCCACAACATTTCCGTCTTTGATGAACACAAAGGTCGGCATTGCCTCTACACCAAACTCTTTAGCTACACTCTGTTAGAAACAGTACACGTGTTAATATATATATATATATATGACATTCGGTAGGTGTAATAAATAATCCTGAGTGCAAACAAAAGAGTGGTGTTGACCTGCAGTTCATCCACGTCCACCTTAAAGAAGATGGCGCTAGACATGAACTTCTTGGCCAGATCGGCGAAAACTGGAGCAATCATGCGGCATGGTGGACACCATGAAGCAGTGAAATCTATCACAATCTACAAAAACAATGAAAACCATTACAAAATATTTTAACACAAGGATCACTCTGATCTGCAATAATGCCAAGTGAAGAACAAAACAACAGAACACAAGAGAAAAGAACAGACGTGTTCTGTTACATGAGTGCAAAAAAAGGAGTGGGAGAGTCAGAGTCGAAAAGAGGATTTTTGGTTAAGGACCGGTTTGATATCAATTTTGACCAAAGAGAACGAAGTATGACACTCTAAAAACTTAAAACAAGAAGAGAAAAAAACGATGATTTTCACTGATTTATATATCGTTTTCATGGCATATTAATCAAAGTAGGTTGCCATCTCCTTGAATCAATCCGTTGATTCGGCCCAACGGAAACCAAACTCTAAACAACCCTAGTATTCCACGAACAGATACCCTAATCAACCAATCACACGCATGAAATGAAGGGGAACAAAAAAAACGAAAACCTAATTCAAAAAATCAAAACAATACAGAATTGCATGATTAAGTTTATCAATCAAAACAGTCACCAGCTTGTTGGTTTGTTTGGCTGTGTCGAGCTGCACGGTCCATACATCATTCGCGTGACAACCGATCACTTGTCCCTCTTCTGCCGCCATTTCTTCTAATCTGATCAAACTGATAAAACCTAAAATTATCAAACACTCAAAGCGACCTAGCTTATAAAAGACGAATCCATATTGACAGAATTAACCCTGGGTATTTAGGGTTATTACGAAATGGCATCCAGCTGGGCCGTGGGCTTCCTAAAGCCTCATGCACGTAGACACGATAAGGAAAACGTTTATTAATATCGAAAATGTCGATGAAGTCCATTGAAGAAGCGGTCTCCCGTGTCCCAAGTTCAAAGCCCCTCTTCCACTCATAAATCAAAACGTGGTCACACTAATGAACTAAAAATATCAGATAAGATTTTTTTCTTTTTCTGTGGAAACATATCAGATAAGATCTTTTTTTCATGTGGAAACAACTCGATCCAAGTACTAAACATTGATTAATATTTCTACTCAATTCTCAAAAAAATACGAAATTATACAAATTACTTTGAAAAAACTTATAAGAGAATTGTGACATGACATAAAGAATATCCATAGTAAATTCCATAGAACAATTCAAAAATTCAAAAGGTGTAGTCAATATGATTTTATGTAAAATATATAATATAACCCATCGATCGAATATAAAAAAATGTATAAATGGCTTTACAATGGTCTGATATATTTGTTAACTTTATTGAATAAAATTATTTAATACTAGCATTTTAATTAAAACTCAGTTCAAAGAAATACTAAAAATCAACAGTTATTGGTTCTGGATTACTTATAGTAATAAATTTTATAGTTTTGTTACTAGAAAATAATAATTCTTAAAGTTACATATACAAAATAACAAATGGGCTTTATAGCTCGATCTATTTCATTAATAATCATTCATTTCTTATGCAAACTATATAGTTTCTTCTCAAATTCTGTATTGACTAACAAAAATAAATTAAATAATGTATTTTCATTAAAATTATATACTATTCCCTCCGTTTCTTATTGTAAATAGTATTAATAATTTTTTTTGATTAAAAATATAGGTAATTTCTTATATTTAGATAACTTTTATATGTACTAGAAATAATGTGACCAATCAAATAATATCAATTTTTAATAATTAGTAAATTTTATTAATTAAATACTATGTTCTAAAATATAACAACTTTCTTAATATTTGAAAATATCAAATGTTTATTTGAATTTTATTTTTTCAATTACTTATAACGTGTTTACCCGCCCGTATGGTGGGTTTTACCTAGTTAAATATATATTAGTATACTTTTTGAGCTAACAAATTCTAGATCATTTTGTTTAGAGTTAAAGAATAGGGTTTTAGGGATAGTATTATGAATTTTAAAAAATAAAAATAGATTTTAAAATCTATTTTTGAGTTAAAAACTTAAAAATATTTATTTGAGAGAATTATCCAATTTTTAATCATTGATCATTAAAAAAAATTTAGTAGATAATATTTGACTTTAAATAAAAGGATTTTCATAAATTTTAATCTCTTTCATTTGTAGCTCACCACACAAACCTCCCCCTCTTCCCTTCCTTCACCCTCCCCTCCAATGGCGCTTCCAACCTCACTCTCACACTCCACAATCAAACCCACGCCGCCCTATCTCTCCACCTTCCACAAACCCCTAACTCTCCCACCCACTCTCCTAACAACCAACCGCCATCGCTTCCCAAAACAAACCACCTTCCGCTGCTCATCCTCCTCCTCCTCCTCAAAGCACCACAACAACATCAACCCCTCCAAACCCGACGACCTAATCGAGCTCCCTCTCTTCCCCCTCCCCCTCGTCCTCTTCCCCGGCGCCACCATCCCCCTCCAGATCTTCGAGTACCGCTACCGCGTCATGATGCAGACGCTCCTCCAATCCGACCTCCGCTTCGGCGTCGTCTACTCCGACGCCGTCTCCGGCTCCGCCGCGGGCGTCGGATGCGTCGGGGAGATCGTCAAGCACGAGCGCCTCGTCGACGACCGGTTCTTCCTCATCTGCAAAGGTCAGGAGCGGTTTCGCGTGACGGATCTCGTGCGGACGAAGCCGTATCTGGTGGCGAAGGTGACGTGGCTGGAGGATAGGCCTGGGTCGGGGGAGGAGAATGTTGATGAGCTGGCGAGCGAGGTGGAGGTTGTTATGAAGGAGGTGATTCGGTTGTCGAATAGGTTGAATGGGAAGGAGGAGAAGGAGTCACGAGATTTGAGGAAGAATCAGTTTCCGACTCCGTTCTCGTTTTTCGTTGGGAGTACTTTTGAAGGTGCGCCGATGGAGCAGCAGGCGTTGTTGGAGTTGGAGGATACGGCGGCGAGGTTGAAGAGGGAGAGGGAGACGTTGAGGAATACGCTTAATTATTTGACTGCTGCTTCTGCTGTTAAAGATGTCTTTCCTTCGACTTAGTTTTGTTTTTGCGGTATCTTTGAAATGTCTGGTTTATTGGATACATTATATTTGATCAGTGTGTAAAGTTTCAGAAACGTAGTTACGACTAGATTGGTGGAGATGTTTTATAGGATCTTCTTAATACCAAATCATTGCTTGTTGTGTTGGCATTTTCATTGAAAAGCATGTTAAGTTGATGTACAAAGAAGCTTGCTATATCAGAGTTTCATTGCATAGTTGGATGAAGAAAAGGATTTTATTTGAGTGATTTAACTCTGTGACCAAAGACTAGTCTAGTGATTCATGTAAGGTTTTTAATAGCTATTCTTGCTTCTCCGGCTTGCCTCTATGGTCTAAGAATGATCTAGTGATGCAGGTTAAAGTTTTTGATACAATAGGATTGCTTCTTTGTGTTGGCATATTCGTTGAAAGTCTGTTAAAATGAAATCCAAAGAAGTTTGCTTAAACAGAGTTTCAGTGCCAGATCCTAAATTCCCATCATTGGACCACGTAGTTGGATGAAGAAAAGGGTTTTACTTGATTGATTGTCTTTATGTTCAAAGACTAGTAGTCTAGTGCTGCAAGTCAGGTTTTTTTAACACAAATAATTTTTTGAGTTTGCTATTTCATTGAAAGGCCTGTGAAAATTGATATACTGTACAAAGAAGTCTGCTTCATCAAAGTCTCAATAACTCGGTAGTCTTTTAGTACTAGAACTGATACCGGTGATGGTTTGAGGAACATGTAGAAAAAATTGGTATAGATGATGGTTGGTAACAGAAAGCTGAAATATATAATCTTTAGAGGCTAGTGGTAGTTTGACATTGTGATTCTGTTGACACGGGTTAGGCTATGCTACTTGAACATGTGCCTCTATACTACTTTAGCTGCCTTCAGTTTCTTTGTCAAGCCATAAGCTTTAAAGTTTTAATTGATTGGGATGTCGAGTGGTGTTATTTGCATAAGGGTCCAATGTGGTTGAAATCTTTTGTGTACGGGGCATATAGCTAAGTTTACAGTCATCAATATTGAAGAGATAGATTAGGGTCTAGTGGGTGTAGAGCGAAGTAGAAACAGCGTGGGGACGTCTTTTATGGTCAAACGCGGCTAATACGTTCAAGGAGATTGCTTATCATCATCAAGTTTGTAGACTCATCAGGATTCTAAGTAAAATACCAAAAGAGCACCAAATGAATTTGCCTCTTTATTCATCTTCCTTGATTTCTTGTTTTAAAATCTCTCGGAGACTCACTTGGCCTGGCAATGTTTACTGTTTGTAATGAAGAACATTGAATCTGTGTTCTAAACTGGCAGTGGAAAAGATAACCTTTGTGTGGGATTTTACTGACTAATATTATTTCGTTCATATTAGTTTAACTTATCGTAGTGATATTCTAAGCTGTAAGTTAAATTATGAAAATACAGTTGTGAATGGTGTTGAAGCAACGCAGAAAATATCTAAACAACGACGCGTATACATCAGCTCACGTGATTGACTATTCCGCCGCCAAGAAGACTTCTCTTTCGTGTATATAAAAAGAAAACACTTATCCTTCCATTGTCCACATAACAAACTATCATCATCCACTCAATAATATCACAAACCGGATCTCAAACAATCAGTTCCAAAACATGGCTCAGAATCAACCAATCTTTCCAATAAAGCCAGAAGGTAATAATAGTAGTAATCTACTCAAATGATTCTGTTCTACAAACAATTTGATTCTGAAATTCTCTCTTTTTACAGAACATTCAGTGCACATTCCCGTCAGCATCGAGCGTGATTCAACCACACTCACAAACTCAAACCAGAAACCAAACCACTGGCCAACTATCCTCTTCTCAACCATCTTCGTCATCATAGGCCAATCCATAGCCAAACTCCTCGAAAACTTCTACTACGACAAAACCAACCGAACTGAGATCAACCAACACCGTCAAGACGACGGCGTATGGACTCAATCTCTCCTCCAAACCGTCGGATTCCCTCTCCTCCTCCTCCCTTTCATCATCCTCACAACCAAAAAACACAACAACACTTCCGTCCAATTCCACTACAAATCCTTAGCGGTAATCTACATCTGCATAGGAATCATCATGTCGGTTCAAGGAAGACTCTCCGCAATGGGAAAGCTCGAGATACCGTTTCTTCTCTTCACACTCATCTACCCAACAACGCAACTCCTCTTCACTCCCATCTTCGCACGCTTCATCAACAAAATCAAGTTCAACAGATGGGTCGTCATCTCATTGGTGTTAGCCGTCGGCACCGTAGCTCTCTCCTTTACATCCACGTTCGGCGGGGAGCCAGGCTCCTCGGAGGAGAGTTTCTCAAGAGGCATCACGGCTGCTCTCTTCGCCGGCGTATGCTTCTCTCTCTTCCTCTGTAACATCCAAAACGTCTTCGACAACTATATCTTCAAACGCACGGAATCTTCAACCACCATAAGGAAACCAAGTTTTGCTTCCGTTTTCGAAGTCATAATCTTCTCTTCCCTCGTAGCTACACTCATCTCTGTAGTGGGTCTTCTCGTCGCCGGGGAGCAACACGATTTGAAGAGGGAGATGAGTGGTTTCCAAAATGGGAAAGGTGCGTATGTTATGGTTATGGTGGGACAAGCTGTTTCGTGGCAGTTGTATTGGGTTGGGATCGTGGGACTTGTCTTCTCTGTTTCGAGCGTGTTGTCGAATGTGATTAGTGTCGTTACGTGGCCCATAGTGTCGGTGCTTGTTGTGAATTTATTTGACTTTGGGAACTTCACGGGGGAAGGCGATGATGAGTTTGATATTTTCAAAGGTGTCGCTTTGATTACTGCCGTGTTAAGCGTTGCCGCTTATTTCTTTAGGCTTCACAAAGAGAATCGTGATAGTGCGTATTAAGTTTTTTTATTTTTCCTTTTTGATTTGTTGGTAAATTAAATAATCATAAATAGTTTTATTGTTTATTTGTGTGTAAGTATTAGTATGTTGCTACAAAATGTAATTTATCTAATTTATCTATTTCAGACATTGGTTTCATGGTCCTCTCAGTAAAAGCTTTCTTCAATGCCACAATGGGGTCTTGTATCGAGTTTATGTGTTGCGGTTCTTCCACAGCCACTTCTAAATAACATGTTAGAAGAAGTGTCATCAAGTGAAGAAAATTCAAAATATATAAAGAACACAAGCCAAAGCAAAAGACCAGACCTTGATCCGCTGGGAGAAGATACTTATCGGACCAACACAGTGTTGGGCGTTGTTTACAGAAGCCAATGTAGAAATGTTACATATCTCATAACTAATCATCTCCATTTTCAACTAAAACAAACACCAGACAGAATAACGGTCAGCTAAGATAGATTTGGAATAATTATCAGTCATGTTTTCGTATCCGTCAGGTGGATGTTGCACGTACTTATATGTACATAAGAGAGGTTAGAGAAGTATCGAGTTTAACTATATGTCCTATCAATCTTTATCTCCCATAAAACACAAGTGCTTATGCGGAGGCGATGACATTTTATTGGAACTCGTTTTTGACGAAATGGTTTTAGACATCTTTTGGTAAGTTTCCGGATGAAGACGTTTGTCGGAATAACCAAATGTTTGACAGTATAAAGTAGTGTACTCGTATGTCAAAATCAGAGGTTAGTTTGAATGAAAAATGAATATTTAAGTGGGTTGCTTATAAAGCCTAAAATATAACATTTGTAAAATGTCCTACTTGAAAATAAAGTGAGAAATAAAATAATTGAAATGAGTTCAAGTTCGGATTCGGGATTCGACAAATTGGCTTGTGATCTAAAAAATTAATTTATTTTACCAAAAGTCATTTGTAAAGTATTGACAAGTCAACAAATATCTATCTTATTTGCTAAATTTATAATTTAAAACATTATTTATTTTTTGTAACATAAAAGTAATAATGTCATTAAGTAGAGAATGAATTCTCATTGAAAACAAATTTCTTTCACTTTATGGAAAATGATCATTGATTTTTCTGGCTATAAAATCAAATCATATTCTTCTCATTTTGTACACCAAGAAATCTAAACACATTGATACAAACAAGGAAAATAAATTATCCCATTATGAAATAATCATGATAGTATTTTTCTCTTATTTTGTATCTGAGTGTACAACACATAAATATATTCGTTAAGTTTCTGATAGAATGACGCAAATCAGAAGATTTTTTGCAGTTGTATCTTGTGATCCATTAACTATCGCACTACATGACGTATTTGAATTAAGGAAAAAGATAATATCTCGATATTATCCGTATTTAGCATTCTTGATATTTATCTTATTTCAAACTTTGCAACCAAATGACCATTTGTCTTGGCCAAGACTTAAGAACTACACAAATAAATTCGTGGGGTCAACAGCATTCAAAGCTGTTCAATGGAAGACCAACAATCTACCGTTTTGATTTTATTGCCAAACATGTTTTTTCTTTCCCGATTTTTACTATGCTTATCAAAATATCTAGGTTGAGACGTATAACAATCCTACATGCAAAATTACAAAGATCTATATGAAGAAAATTTAGATTAAAGTATTCCTCATGAGTTAGCACAAAATTTTGAAACAAAAGAATACTAAACCATATACTTTCATGAAGTTGATATGTTTGAGCGGTTAAAGAATATTCCCCCGTCTTCATTGACTAGTACCCTGCCTAGGTCGACCTCTCACTGTATAAAATAAACACCACACATAAGATTTTCCAAAATATCATCCAAATACAGCAAATCTTTGAATATTGAAGCCAAATCCATTACAATCTCTGAGATCAGTTCCAAGATCTGTCACATATATCAGAAACCATGGCCAAGAATCATCAACCACTTCAAACCAAGCCACAAGGTAAAATATAACTCACTACCCCCTACTCTCTCTTACTTACTTCGAATCTTGATCTATTCGATTCTGAATCTTTGTTATTGTTCTTGATTTTGCAGAAACATTTGTGAATATACCAGTCTATACCAAGCAAGATTTGATCACACTCGGAAACTCTAACCGGAAACTCAACCATTGGCCAACAACCATCATACTCTGCATTATATTAGTCATCACAGGCCAATCCATAGCTCTAATCCTCGAAAACTTCTACTACCACCAAATTGACCACACCGAAAACTATCAAAACGACAGCGTTTGGACTCAGTCTCTACTCCAAACCGTTGGTTTCCCTCTCCTTGTCCCTTTCTATATCTTCACCGCCAAGAAACACAACCAACAACAACAATCTCCAAACACTTCCGACCAAACCTCAACCAAGTACATAATATCTTTCTCCGGTCTCATCGGAATCCTATGTTCGAATCAAGGAAGATTGTCCGCCAAGTCAAAGCTCGAGCTCCCATTTAGGGTTTTCACACTCATCTACACAACGCACCTCTTCTTCACTCTCATCTTCGCAGCCTTCATCAACAAACTCAAACTCGACCGTTGGATCATCACCTCACTGATCTTGGCAACCACCACCGGACCTCTCACCTTCTCTTACGGAAAAGTCTCATTGTCTTCTCCTCTACTCTCTAGCCTATACTTCTCTCTCCTCCTCTGCGTTATCCAAAACGTGTTTAAACGTACCAAGACCCCAAGCTTTGCCTCCGTTTACCAAATCCTAATCTTCTCCTCCCTAGTCGCAACTATAATCTCTGCAGCGGGTCTTCTCCTCGAGGGAGAGTTAGATGATTTGAAGAAGGAGATGAATGGATTCTTGAAAGGGAAAGGAGTGTACGTGATGGTTATGGTGGGTCAAGCCGTTTCGTGGCAGGTTTACTGGGTTGGGATTGTGGGGCTTGTCTTCTCTGTTTCGAGCGTGTTGGCTAATGTGATCAGTGTTATTACATGGCTAATTGTGTCGGTTCTTGTTGTGGTGTTTTTTGGTTACGTGAACGATGAGTTTGATGTCTTTAAAGGTATTGCTTTGGTCACTGCCTCCTTAAGTGCTGATGCTTATTTCTATACGCTTCACAAAGAGAAATGTAACTACTGACGTGGCAGCAATCTTCAAAGGTTACATTTTATTGGTTTTAAAAAGTATAATTTGTAAGTTTTGTAGTGAAATAAATGTATACATTATGTTACAGAAAACAACCTCACATTATAGTTCAAAAATTTCAATTTTTTTACAACCTTTTCTTCTTTTCTGTACACACACAAAAAAAAATCTGATGATGACTCTTTATTGAGCAGTCCTGTTGTGTCTTCTTAACTACACTTCTTGTATTCTGGTTTAAGTTCGTAAGTATAACCACTCCTTGCATTGTACACACATAGCTCTTTGAGTATCTCTTTCAAGAAGCTCTGAAAATAGCAAACAGAGTTTCAAATTCAATGAAGATGTTGAAGAAAATAGCTTTAGATAGATAACATGTAAAGCTGTTTTCTTCTGCTGTTTCTGGATAAGAGTCTTTAAGAAGAGAGCATACCTCTGGTTGGTTGGTTATTTTAACAAGCTGTCTCAGTGTCCATTTCGGTTCTCTTTCAAATAATTTGAACATTTTTGCTTCCACCTCACTACGATCGCTTCTAGTCCTTTTTTCCCTCTTAAGCTTCTTTGTTACCTGTTTCATTAATTAGGGCGTGAACTATTATCACATAACAGAACCGATTCTCATTGAAATTTAAAGAGAAGAGAAGCAAAAGCATTACCAATGCAGGCTTGGGAGTCATGTGCTCTCCACGGCAATCATCAAGAACCTTTCAAAGTGATTTCAAAAAGAAGCTTTTTGGTAAGATAACAATACTACAGGCTTAACATGTACTTAGATAGTGATAAAAAAAACCTGAACATGTCTATATTCAACCACCGGTTTCATGTTCCTCTCACGTAAAAGCTTTCCGTATTCTTCTATGCAATCATGGGGTCTCATATCGAGTTTATGTGTCACTGTTCCTTCCACCGCAAGTTTACCTAATGCCATGTGTTTGAAGAGTTGCCATCAAGTAGTGAAAATTTAAAGTATAATGAATACTCAAACCCAAAGCAAAAAAGACCAGACCTTGATTTGATTCGGAGAAGAGACTCACAGGACCAACAAAGTCTTTGGATTTGTTTACAGAATAAAGCTTCGAAATGTTACATAGCTCAGCACTAACCATCTCCATGCTCAACTAAAACACATAATAAGAGAGATCTTTGCCTAAACTACTAACCCATGCATCAAGAAGAGCAAGAATCAAAGCTGATGATGTTATCAGATTACCTCATGCGACAAAATGGGACGCAAGAGATCGACGGACTCTTTATACTTCGCCAAGAGAACAAGTTCATGAGAAAAAGAAGAAGAAGACGAAGAAAGTTGGCGCCAAGCCTTGTCGACCCTTGGTGGACACTTCATTAGCAAAACCATTTCGTCTGCTTTCTCCGTTTCGAGTTCTTGATATTCTTCCACCGATAATTCTGACAATCTTTCTAGTTCCTCTGCGAGAATCTTCTCTCCTTCGCGCAGTTTCTTTCTCTGGATCTTCTTCTTCTGCATTTCGGGTTTCCCCATTGTTTCTTGTTCTGCGAAAGCGGGAAAAGAGAGGTGAGTACTTTTATAGTTTATACGAGGCCCAATAATACGAGTATGTACCTTTATAGTTTATACGAGGCCCAATAAGTTTTGTCTAATTTTGAGTTATAGGCCCTTTATTTTTGTTTTTTTCTAGGGTCAAAAGGCCCTTTATTTTTGTTAAATGATTATTCAAACATGAAAACTAGAGAGAATAAAGTCATTGAATCTTAAAAAAGTCATTGAATCTACAATATCAAACCTTTTCAAATTTTCGTTTTGTTTGATATGTAGAGAGGAACTGTTGATTTACTTTATGAAAAGAAAGTTTTGATGAATATAATGTCATATCAGTCCCAGATATACACATGTTGTGTGGGATCATAGAACTAAAACCCTATGTTATAAAAATCTGTGGTTTTTTTACCTTGACCATTGACTCTTACTATGTTTCTTGACCCCTTCCATTTCTTTTATTTTCCAACATAGTTATCCTCCTCATTTTCTCCAGTAATTAAAAGTAAATGGTCCTTTCACAGTCCTCTTTTAAGTGTACTAATTGACCTATATACACACTTCTAAAACGAAAAGAAACCCTTGTGTATTAAGCATTTTAAGCCTATGAATTTACAGAGGGATGGTTGCTGACTCGACCAATCTACTAACTAGGTATTAATGATAATCCATATGTATATGAAAATGATCGGTTTACTCAACAAGTCGGTAGTCCCATCCACGCAAGTCATGTAGACAAGTAGTGATAACCATATGTATATGTACGTTCATCTACAACACTTAAAATTTTATACAAAAAATCTACAACAATTAATTCTTCACATGTCATGAATTGTCATCAATCCTCTTAAATAGTTTTGTTGTTTTTATTCACACTAATTTACGGTAAAATCCGATCGTCCACAATAGGTCGCCTGTCTCCAAGTGAGAATGGTAACTGCATACTAATGATCAAATATTCATTTTCACGTTAGAACGACAACGTGTATCTATCTAATGTCATTATGCCGGCAACTGGAAAACGATTAGAGCTAATTGTTCGATTTTATTTGAAACAATACATAGAACGACTTGATTTACATGATTTAATCCACCCTCAAATTTGTTTCATGTTTCTGGAATAAAAGAATGAAAATTGAGTATATTTAAAAAATGCTAAATACAAAGAAAAACAGTGTTTCTGGAATAAAAGAATGAAAATTGCGTATATTTAAAAAATGTTAAATACAAAGAAAAACAGTTGCACTTGATGTAAATAAGTTTTTGGTTGAATAAATTTTACATCCATTCAAAAAACAATGTCCAAGATGGGTTTAGGAACTGATGATGGTTTCTACTGTTTCACTCTGTGGAAATTGGATTGGGCAGCATAAAAGTGACATTCATATAAGTAGATTTGAAATTGTTTGCTCAACTGAACACGAAACCTAGTTAAGTCCTGTTTAGATCCGGCAAGCAAACGGATAAACTGGGAAAAAGCAGCTTCGAGTTCAACACCAGCCAGAAAGCTAGTTCACTATCAAACCCAAACCTACTCTATACAGAAGAACTAACTTCAAAATAAAGACCTTATTAAAAAAAAAAGTTGGTAAAAAACAAAGAGTTATGTTGATCGCATTGGGAAGATTAAAACATTAAAAAAACAAGCAGAAGATCAGACTTGTAACTCTGACATCAACTTAATTGTAATAATAATATCCCCTTTCTCCCAAGAAAAGATATAATAATAATCTCTCATTTATCTCTAGAAAACGTACGAAGTGCATGTTAATCAGTACTCTCACAAACCCTAGCTAGGTACGAAAGTTACCATATTGTCCGACAACCACAAAAACCCTCGAAATAATAAAATTTCGTACTCGTTGTTGTCTGATAATTATAAGAGTAATCACAAATATTTTAAAGATTTAACATTACAATATCAAGACCTAGGAGATGCAAAGAAGGGTGTAGCGGAGGTGATAAAAGAGTTAACCGGAGCCACCACCGTAGTGTAAAGCGAAGAAGGGTCAACTGATGCGTTACCAATATTACTCGCGGTCACGGCGGTTGTAGTAGCGGCTGCAGCGGTTGAAGCCAAGAGGTTAAGATGGTATTGAGAGGTTTCTGCGGCTACGGCTGCAGGGCTTGAGCTGTAACGGTGATCATCTGATGGACCTTGGTCGTAGAGAATGCCTTTGAACATGTGTCCACCGATGCTCACAGCAGTTTGATATGCATACTCTTCATCTTCATCGTCGATTGAACTGACTCTCATACACCGGAATACCGCCGGTAAACTTATCTCTGGCGGCAAGTGGTTACTCTCAAACCCTAATCTCGTTAAAAATTAAAAAGATTATTATAATGTCCAAACACAACCGATATTTTTTGTATCAAAATATGGTTCTTGAATCATTATAATCGAATGAAACAACACACCCAAAATTTGTTTATTTCTACATAATGTTTTGACTTTCAGGAAAATATTAAGTAAAAAACTAAATATTTGATAGTAGATATAAGTATAATCTCATGAAAAGGATTAAACCATTTGTGACGTCAAGATTACCAAAGAACAGTGACTGCAAAATTAGAATCATTAAAATCAAACAGCTAAAGAGAAAACTAAACTTTTCTAAAAGAGCAAAATCCGGTGGACATATGCATATCCATTCATTCACAAAAAAAAATTAAAAAATAGATCTCAAGACCCTCAAAAAAAGTTTGAAATCTTTAAAAATGTTTCAAGATCAATTTAGGTTAATTAAAACTCAATAATACCTGAAGAGCTAGCATAAACTTCACGGATGCAAGCAAGAGCAGATCCACCACCACCACCTTGACCTACATTTTCTTCGTCCTCTCTATCATCCCCACCGCCTGAGCTAGCTTCTCTACCCCGTTTAACTGGCAAAGCAGCTAACTGGGCCTGTCTCTCACGGCGTTTAGCAGCCGGGACCCACGTACTCTTCACGTGGGTTTGGCAATCAAACCCTCGGCTCTTACAACAAGTACGGCATCTCATATGGGAACAGTCTTTCTTGGCTTGATTCCCACAGTCTTGGCAATTCATGCTTCCTTGCCTTGTTACTGTAAACCTTCCCGTAGAGGATCTCACCGGCTCATGGTCTGGGACCACGTTGAAGTATAAACTCCGGTTACTACTCCGGTTATTGTTATGGCTGCTACCACTTGGGATCATACCAAAAGAGTATAAATTTGTAGGAGGAGTCACGTGGTTTTGTTGTTGTTGTTGTTGTTGAAAATATTGGGGTGGCCAAATCTCAAAACCCTTGTTGTTGTTGTAGATCTCGTCTTTATATAGATGAAGATAATTGTTGCTCCTGTCTTCATTATGATCCTTGTCTTGATGATGATGATGATGATCTTGTTTGTTGCTATCTCTACCTCCTAGGTAGAACAATCCAGCCATTTCTTTCTACTTCCACATCACAAACACACACCACAGGAAAAGAGAGAGAGAGAATATTTTTGAGACTAACTTATCAAAAAAAAAAAAATTATGAGACTATGTTAAGGGTTTGTGAAATAAATGATTTTTGGGATTCGAGTTTACCTTTTTTTTTTTTTTTTCTTTGCTCCCTAGCTCATTAATTTCTAGACTTGAAGATGTGTTAGGTTTCTGAAAGGAGCAGTGAAACTGGGAGCGGATGAGAGAGTAATGATGGTAAGGAAATTTAAGAAACTGCTGCAAACGCCGCCAAGGTTTATTGCTTCTCCTCAAATCATTTAAGACATTTGATTATTTGATCTCTCTGTCTCTCTCATCAAGAACTCGAGTAATTACTGCTACTGCTGGTTTTCTCTGTAGAGAGAGAGAGAGAGAGAGAGAGAGGGAGTTAAGAGATAGAGAGTACTATGAAGATATTCTTGGGAAATTTCTCTACAGTTGTCTTCCAGTTTAAATGAATCCCCATCACAATAAATATCACATAAAATAATAAATATATATGTGTATATTAGGGACAAGACAAACTAAACTATACACTAAATATGTTTTTATTTTGTTTTCTGAAACTATTACTAGACACTGTTTTTAAAGTAATATCTTCTAGAGTAATCATTCGATTAGCTAGATATTGGGATCCTGATGCCAAAAAATATATTGGGATCCTAGTTACTCTTATGCTTTTTTTCTGTGTCCTATAGTGTCTTGACAATATGTCCATGTTTCTGCGATTTTACTTGAAACAAGCCAAACCAATAACCACAGTCACAAAAAAAAACCAATAACCAAAAGAAAAAAAACTTTAATAAAACAAAAACAGCCTCATATTTTCCGCTACTCCGTTGATTTCTTTCTTCCTAACGGTAGACAGGGCGCCACGTGGCTAATGATTCAAAATTTTCATATTTGCACTTCTTTCCTTTTATTTTATGAGAAATTACATTCTATATATAAATTCACTATCTAATCAAAAACATCATTATTCTCCTTATTTCTGTTCTTATATCTCTCTTAACCTCTCAATAGAAAACTAACTCTTTTTTTTTTGGTTATTTCACAGTAATGCCTTCTTACTTCTTTCCAATGTTTTTCGCGGAACTGCTGAAGTGATAACCTAGACCAATCCCTCAAATCCAGATTAACAGATTTTAGTTAAATGTATTTTTCATTCTAGTAATGATCACGATCAATAGTAGTACTGAATAGAATAGACAACTGATGAAACTAATTTTTGTTTATTATATATTTTCTGTAAAATACATATGTATATAGTTTCTTTAGTTAAGAGCTCAAGTTTTAGATAATTCCTTACTTTTACAAGTACAAACACTCAGGTGGATATACTAAAAAATCAGAGCGCGATTAGACGGTCTTTGACATACTTTAACTGATGTGATGGAATATTTATTCTATTTAAACGCTGCCTCGTGCGTTTTTATTCAGTAATTAACAGATTCAATTGCTTAATCAAGTTAGGAAGCCTCAAAGGTACTATTTGGCTGAAATATTAAAAGGTACTTAACCGTAAGATTTATAGAATTCAAATATAGTTGTGTTAAAAAATAATAATTCAAATATAACTATCTTCGATCATTTCGGTACGTTGCTAACATTATCATTTTTCACACATTTGTCCTTACTTTAGTTTGCATACCATTAAGATCTCTAAAGGAATTAACATAACTATCAAATGGGATTCTTCTCTGGTCCAACAAAATGTCTATATATATTGCGGAGTTTATCAGAATATAATGTAACCCATAATCACTATAATAAGAGTAACTGATTCTCATAATTGAAAGTTTGAAATTAACAAGTGTTATGAATATCCGGCTATACAAAATATTTATATAAATGTGCAATTTGTTTAGTGGGTGTGCTTGACAGCAAACCCTATACTCTAAGTTCTAGGTCACGAGTAATGGAGTAATTATCAACTAATGGATGGATAGGATTAACTACGTTCTCCAACCAATCTACTCCATGAAATGGTTCAGAGGTGTTAAAATATTAAAGACGTTCAACTGATATGATTGTAATTCCTCATAGTTAAATCCGTGAGTTTATTGATTCGTATAATTAACCCTGGCCATATCATAATAGTCTATAAACTAGTATTATTGGAGAACATACACCTTTTGATCGGCGTGAGAGTGAGACCAAACAAGCTAATCCACTCCGGTACTCTGATCACGTGGAACCGCGTGATTTAGCGGCGCAATTAATGTTAACTTAGCATTGTAATGTCATTTAGTTTTGTCATTTAGTTTTAGTTCCACTAATTCTATTTTATTTACTACGCGTAATCAAATTTCCATTTCCCTTAGTTTGTGTAGACGTTCCCTAGCTTCTTTTTGTTTGGCTTTCGTTCTGACTTACCGCAAGTATTTTGTTCTTGTTTCAAATAAGTATGCATTATTTTTTTTCTTTTTATTTATATACCATCAAAAATTCTAGAAATGGCTTCTCTTGTAAATTAGAACCGTAGGCAATGAGATTGTACTATATATTGTTCAAAGGAATAATGATGAAAGTTCCCAATGGTTTTCTTTTTTTTTTCTGAAAGCGAAAGTTCCCAATGGTTTTCTGGACCATAGGGATCAACATTTTATGGTTTGTTCAAAAAAAAAAAGGGATCAACATTTTAGTGGCATTAGAACACCCTCATTAAGAATATCTAACCAAATATTTTTGAAATATTAATATTTTCAAAATATTATAGATATTATAATTGTTGGGTTTGATATCTCAAAATTATGGGCTTGGTACTTTTAATTAAGTTTTCCATATTTCTGAGATATTCATAATAAATACTAGTTTATATAAATACATATAACAATATTTTGCTTAGGAATTCATTATTCATGGGTGAGCAACCTCTGGTAGATATGTTTTTAGACATCTCGTTCTGTATTAACGAGGAACCAACCAATAACTTTCACAATTTTTCCTTTTAACGGCAGAAGGGTATATTCTTTGGTGGCAATTTATATATTGTATTGCGTGCTGTGAAAAATTATTGCTACTGCCTACTGATATACTAGTTGTTAAACTGTAAATGATTGTTGAACATAATCACATGATCTTGCTATGGTTTGTCAATAGACACACATAAAGGTAAGTAGAGAGTGGGGAATGCATGACTTGTTTGGGGAAGTTTTATAGACGAAGAGAAATCCCAATTATTATGTCTCTGTCTTTCTTTCTCGAGCCTTGTGCTTACCTTTGGCTTCATCTCTCTGCCTCTCGTTCATGAAAGTTAAAACTTGAAGTCAATCATTATCCTTGCTAGCATATACAAGCGGTTTTGTTTGGGTTAGTTGGCTAGCATTAATGTCGAAAAGATGTTACTGTGGTATTATTAGTTTTTTTTTACAACAACAAAAGAATTTCCTAACGAAGGATGTGCCCAAGCTGGAAACTCTATTGTTAATGGCTATGATGTTAAAACAGGAGATTGGTTTAGTGATAAAAATTAATTTTATATAATAATATTTTTTCTTCAGACGGTATACAAGTGTAATATATATAGTTGCAAATGGTATTTCATAATAGTATAATTGGTGGAATCATTATGCGTTTAGTAAATTTTATTAGTTATATTATTTGAAAATTTTAATACATTTAAACAAATTTATTTTTCATCATTTTAATTAAAGCAATCAAATTTAGTAATATAATTTTTCATAATTAAATTACACGCACACATATATTAATAAATCTACAATTATTCAATCAACGCAACTTTTTTACATAATATGCATCTTCGTTTAACATGTATCCAAAAAATGAAGAAATCAAAGAATATACATGAACAAAAAAATGAGCTTGTCCGGTCATTGGTGTATGTCTCTTTCGATACCCCTCATTCAAGAGGTTCCCACACCTTAGCAGAAAAGCTGACATGTGAAAAAGAGATGATTTCATTAGGGTTTGACGCATACATGATGTATTCACATTCCATTTTTGCATCCTATCTCATATTGATATAGGTGATTGTACATTGAATTATATACCGAGTGCGGGATAACCGGATAACATGAGTAAACCAAACCTATCTCATCTCGCAAAAACATCCAAAATGGCTTTCGATGAGAATTGCTTATTGTATTTGTCCCCTTTTGTACAGTAGAAGGCAATATCCTCTTCAGGAACTACATTAGCCTTCTATATGCTAAAAAAAAAATTCTTTAAATGAATATGAATGTACATATCTTACAACTAGATTCTCGATTATCATTGAGAAATGAGAGGGTTTGTAATCACCAAAAACCTTTGCCAACATTGAAGTTTTACTTGCTAAACATATAAAAAACGAGTGGAATTTTGTTTCTATGTATAGTTGGTCCAAATTGTAGCTTGGTTTTTGATGGCTAGACTATTTCTTATCGGCAACTACATGATATTTACAGCGACGACAGCCGATAATTAAAGATTAGTTTAGGATTCAAATATAGCATCTTAATAATATTGAGAATGAAATCAGTCCCGTACATATTGACAGAATTTCTCTAATCTCATTAAATTTAGAGATTATTTGCTCACATATCCTTTTTGGACCATTAATTAGTGAAATACACATGATTTGACTTAATTAATTATATTGACCATTTTGTCCTTCTTTTACATGCAAGTGGCACTCCCTCTCTCCTGACATTCTCTCTCCAGACACTCTCTTTCTCCATCGAATTGGCAACCTCTCTTTCTCTTTCCTTCCATTTCTCTTCTTTCTTATTCCCAAACTCTCTTATGCATTCTATTTTCTATGTAAAAAATTATTGTTGCGAAAAAAACTTATTACTTTTTTACTACTATTCTTATGAATCTAAATTATTTAGTTACACCACATTCTGAGAAAATCAGCATTGAAGTTTTTTTAAAATCGCCAAAGATGTTAACATTGATGTTAGCTGTTAACAAATAATGTGGATGTCAACTAATGTGTTAACTGTTAACAAATACTTGTATCAGATGTAAAAACAGATGCATTAACTGTTAACAAATTTTGTAAATGTTAACAAATGTGTTAACTGTTAACAAGATATGTATTGTAAGTGTTAACATATATGTTACTTGTTAATAAATTTTGTAGACGTCAATACATGCGTTAGGTATTATATGTTAATAAATAAATATTGTTGAAGTTTCATTTCTTTATCAACATGAGTAAACTTAAAAATCATTTACATATAAAATTGTAGATGAGAAAAAAATGTAGAAGGAAAAGAAAAGTATAA